TGTTTGTTTAGGACCCTGTGATCACTGCTCTCTGCACTGTCAGTTAAGCAGATCACATCCCTGTAGGCATGCTTATCCAACATGCTTATGTGGAAAATCGCATTGCAGTGCTGGATGGGTTTCTACTACAAAGTAGGTCATGTTCCTTTCTCTGCAGTCTTCTCACAATTCCCACTTTTCCTCTGAGCTTTTTGCCCTCACAGTGTGTCCCAAGCCAGCTGTCTGCTTATGACTTGTTCCCTCTTGCCTACCTAAGGCTATTATTCACAGCCTCCTTTCCTCTCTTTCATAAGCCAGTTAGCAGTTTCTCAGTGTCAGTGAAACATCTTCCATGAGCTGAGAGTCCCTTCCTCCACCGTCCTCCCTTTTTTTCCCAAAGACTTCTAGCAAAGTACTTGCTTTGCATTCCAGTTTTTAAGTGATTTCTTCAAGCAGCCATTAACGTCAATAATCGATATTACATCTGAGCAAAAACAATACATATCTTTTGCACCGTTTCTTCTCACCTAGGCATGTCCCAGCAACCTCTGGGAGTTCACTGATAGAAAAGCTGTCAGACAACGTGGAGACTGCCTCCAAAGGCTCTTCTGGAATAAGACTGTGCTACAGCCCAGAACACAGGAGCACCCAGACTGGCTCCCTGCAGCTCTGCATTTCTCCTCCTCACACCATCTCCTCCCACCCTTCAAATTAGCACATTTGTTTTCTCCACACAGCTGCACAACTCAAACAAACTGAGTGGAGATGACCTCATTCCATATCCATGCCAGAAATAATGGAGATCTAGGATCACAAGGCACATTTAGCAGAAAATGACATAGGAGATTATATGAAATAACAGCTAGGGGTGGAATAGAAGGAGAAAAGGGCTGAACCACATAGACAGGATTTTTTTTTTCAGTTCAGCAGTGATGAGACCAATCAGATACTGTGTCATGCCAGAGAAATGAGATAGAGATGATGGGACAATGTCACGAAAGCCAGCTTGATGCCAGGAGATGTAGCCTTAAAATTCATATTTAATTACTTCACCTCGTATCACCCTATTCAACTGCCTTACACAAATCAAGATAGCTTTGTTAGCAGTTAGTGAAATACTATAACACAGTTTTAGCACAAAGATAGCATTCCTCCAGTCTTGAACTTTTTTCCAAAGCAGTCATTAAGTTTGCTGCGTAAAGTTCAGCTGGTTTTATATTGTTCAGAAAGCACCATCTCACTACACACATTTTAGAATGACCTTCATCTTTTAGATGAAAAAAAGATGCTTTTTCTTTACACATTTTTTTCATTCTGTCCTTGAATATTTACTGATTACGTTCTTTTATCGTGAGTTTGCCATGCTCTGTCTGTATTGCAGTTTTTTCTTTATCCAAATGTCTTACTTGAACATATACTGATTATGTTCTTTTATCATGAGTTTGCTATGCTCTGTCTGTATTGCAGTTTTTTTCTTTATTCAAATGTTTTACATTCAATCCAATCCCATAGAAGTCACTCAAAAAGAACTTCCAGGCTCATTAAGTTCCCTGAATTCTCCAGGCTTCCTGCTGATACAAAGGTATGCTGAACTTGAGAACTAATACAACTTGTCAGATTTATGTATTTTTTTTTTTGCTCTTATAAGCTGCAGGTATTTTCCTTCTTCTCTAGCATGTATTAGGCCGATCACTTTATAACTGTAAGAGTATGTTTCATGTAATTTGTGTAACACAAGAAAAAGAAAATTACAGAACTAACTGAATTAACAGAATCCATGCAACAAAATTAAAGGCACTATGCTTACTTTGGCATTGAGATAAGAATCCTGGCAAAACCAAAGGTATTTAGGATAACTGAAAGAAAGACAGAGCCACAGTATCTCACTGTTTTGTAAAGTGCTGCAGATAAGAGGTGGAGCAACTCCTTTGGAAACTTCCCAAAGATAACTGGGATTATTTCTCAACACGACTTCTGACCATGGCAGAAGTAAGCACAACAACTTAAGAATGCAAAGAATTCTAGCATACAAAGAAGATATATGACTAGTTACTAAGTTATGTAAAACAAACTGCAGATTTCAAGGCTTGTTTTAGAATTCTAAAAACAATGCAGAGAAGTTGGTTAGATATTTAAAAAAGGAGTCTGTATTTTGACACTTTCGAAGCTGACAAGGAGTGCTTCAGGAAGTCAAATGCAGATATGTCACAGATTGAACCAAATAACCTATGTGATACCACGACAAATACAATCTAGCTTCTATGTTGGCAGTCAAGTGAGTCATGCTGCAGAGCCAGGAGCTGGGCTCCATCATCCATACAGGTCCCTTCCCACTCAATGTCCTGTGACTCTGTGATTCTACAGTCAATAAGAAGGCATTACACACAGCATGTGGGGCACATTTTTCCAAACTAAACCATGAGCCAGGTGCCAGGAAACATTCAAGAGCCCTGAAATAATTAGAATATTGGATGAAGCCCTGTGTCATGTCTCCTGTAGTAGAAGAAAGCATCTCAACATGAGCAAGTCCTGGCAGCTTAGAAAAAAAGTGCCCAGGGACAAGCCACTTGTCAATGCTAAGGTTCAGATTGCATCCAGATACTATAGAGTCTGATGCTATGTCTGTCAGTGTCTTCTTGAACTTATTAAGAGAAATACATTATATGTCATTTGCACATTTGACAAATAGCAACTTCACCCTTGAAAGACACAGTTTGTTTGCAAGGTTTGCAATATGAAATATTTTTTCTGTGTTTTGAGAAAAACAAGTCTGGGTTCCCTCTCTGGAGGTCTTTGCTTTACTTACATTAACAATTCCCATCAGGACCGTGCCTTTCTAAGCAACTTGTTGCACACTGGAGACAACAGAAGCAGTAATTAGAAAGTCGGCCAGACAGAACTTGGGTGAGGAAGATGATTAAATATGTGCTCTATGGGGTACACAGCAACAGTTTCCCCTGGGTTCCACCTTTATCCCTCCCCAATGGTCAGCTCAATTAGCATTATTGCTAACTGATTTCAATCACGATTTATATGGACTGTAAGTTAGGAGAGTTCAGGTGCATGGAGGCCTAGCCATGGTTGTGCTTATGGGAAATGAGCAGAGGCACTGACAATTTACAAAGTCCAGTCTCTATGGAGAGCACAGATGCTCTTATTTACAGCTGATATTTCTCTCTCAGGGAAATCAGTTAAAATCCTCATCTAAGGCACCATTTACAATAAATTTTTGTGTCCAGCATCTGTGTATAAACAAAAATACATGTCTATATAATACTTTGCTGTTACTCAATTTTGTTCTATTTCCTACAATACAGCAAGCTGCCTTTGGATTTTAGATCTGTTTTTCAAAGTATTTGTGGACCTTCCCTGACTTTACTTTATTGATACCTTCCCTGGGCATAGTACTGAACAACTAAATGAAAGTTGACCTAGGAGATCCTGCTGAACTCCACTTGACACCCTTTTCTAGTTTGGTAATAAACAACTAAGAACAGCCCAGAAGCTGAAGTGATCCAAACAATTTCACACTAATTCATAGAATTTTCATCAAACCCAGGTTTTCTAGCACTCTTATAATAATGTCCTGTCAAGCAGTGCTAGAAATCTCATCAGACTCAGAAACATAATGCAATACCATCTCTTCCATAGCCACAGGGACTGCAAATATCCCCTTTGCTGAAGAAAACTAAATTATGAAGACACAATTTGCTCCTGACAAACTTCTACTTAGCTCTTTGCTATATGCTGGGAATTTGCAAACACTTTTTTTTAATCATTCCTTGGTCTGCTGGCACATAAGTCAACTCATTCAGATTTCCATCTTTCTCAGGTGGCACTGTGTTTAATTGACAGCCAAAAGGGTGCATGGTGATCTGAGACTTTCAACTGCCCCCTTTTGGGAAAGGTGCTGAAGATGCTTAATGATTCCACATTTTAAGTTTGGAGAAAACAGCAAGTTTCCACACGTTATGAAGTAGTAATTTTGTCATCCCTGGAACACTAAACTAAAAAATTTCTTCCTACAGTATTGGTCCATGTGCAACTGGTTTCGGATGCTGTGGCTGGTATGAGCTGCAATTAGAGCCCATCAAGAACTCCAGCATCTCTTTACTTTCCCCCTTCAGTAGGTTTCTGGTTTTTAATAAAAAGTTTCATGTGGCAGCTTGTCTCATAGGCATGACAACTCTACTTGACAATTTTTTACAGTGTGTAGGAAATTATCTCTAAGGCTCTTGCTTCTGTCATATTTGGTTAAAATGAGCAAGGAGCTCTGAGTTTATTAGAGAAATGCAGTATTACAAGTACAATCACGTTCCCCTTCTTTCCATGGGAAACAAAGTCAGTAATCTTCAGACAAAGCACGCTGAGTGACAGAACAATCCATCTGTTTGTGACATCCTGCCAACTAGAAATACTAACTCTGAATAAATAGTATCTTGAATTATAGATACACTTTCTACTTACTCAATAGTTTCAAGTCCAAGACTACTACTTCTTACTCAATGGTTTCAAGACCAGCTTATGGGAATCCAGAAATGTTTCAAGTAAGGGAGGGGGATTGGAACTAGACGATCTTTAAGGTCTCTTCCAACCTACGCCGTTCTACGACTCTATTATTTTCTGTGGAGTGAGAGAAACAATCACAAAACCAAGTATAAGGAGTGGTGTAGGTAGAAAGCTATTTATACCAATTATTTCCCTAAGGTGGAAACACAATCTAAGATAATGAGCACAGAAGACATGCACTTCGTTCTCCCAGACATACTCACTCAGAACCAGTTTTCTGGATTTGTGGGAATAAAGGCCACTTGTTTTCAGGTGTTTCTTGCTACATGTCTGCATTAATTCACATGCTTGCAAATGAATCAAGTATTTGTTCTACTTAGATTGTAAAAAAAAAAAAAAAAAAAAAACAGCTGGAGGTTTTGTACTTAATGCAGTGTCTCTCTTCCTCTAAGATTCAAAACTGCTTTTACCTTTCTGAGATAAATTAACCTCATCACAGACTGTCCTTCTTCAAAGCATTATACTGGCTGCTGTACTTCTCTACACAAACACGAAGCATGAAAAGGCAAACAGTATTTATTCTGAAGGCAATTTAATGTTCCAAGTGTTACACGCTTTCCACAAATACTCAGTATACAGACTTCAAATGAGATGCAAAACAGAACAATTCCTTACACACTTTTTACTGAATGATTGTTTTGTCATGACAGATCTAAACGTCCTTTCTTAAATATTCTTAAAATTTAACTCACATACCAACATCTATCTATAAAAAATCCACATTATGTTCAACACACTATTGTGTTCCACTAGTTAAACTAAAATGCTAATTAAAAGAGAAGTCTAGAAACCCAGTAACTTCCTGCCAGCAAAGGAAGGAAGCATTCCAGGATTTTAAAACCATCACTTCATACTCCAGGATAACATGCCTATTTGTGCACGCTTCTATTCATTTTTCTGATAAGGGCGTGTATAAACCCCTTGGTGTGCCAATTACATACTTCTTCTGTACTGATGTTATCCTAAATTGGAGCCTTAGTTCAAAGTATAATCCGTAAAGCTGTGAATATGCAAAACCTGCATTTTTTTTTTCATTTTTGAAATAAATGTGGCTTTTGTTGGAATAGAAGTTAATAATAATTTAAGGTAAAGTGCAATAACTACATCTGAAAATGCTGGAGTGCCCTTATACCTGGAATACCCCCAATCTACAGTGTAGTTTCGTACAATGGATAGTAATATTTGTTCACAGCATCTCTTATAAAAAGTATGAGGGTTAGAGGTTAGTTAATAAATAAATTTGAGATTATTCTGAACTATACCTGCATTTATTCACTTCTGCAATAGCTGACTGCCCTACATTTTTTAAATTATAAAATCATTCCTTTGTGAGCAGTCAGACTCTCGGGCAGAAGACAGCAGCTGTCTGCAGGATGGTTAGAGCCCTCAAGTCACAGTTTTCTTTCAAACAAAATATTAAGTGGAAAGTCTCCGATCATTCTGAACAGTACATATGTTTGCAGTCATTAATTCCCCAAGCAATACTGAAAATATTTTATTTATAATAATAATTTAGTAAGCAATATTGAAGAAATCTAACTCAAAGTAGGACTTTATCTGAAAACAGCAACCCTAGCTGGGCTCCAGACAATAAGTCTATCAGTATAAGGATCTAATCACAAGATTAATACCTGAGAATTGGTTAAAACCGAGCATTTCAGAATCAAGGAGAGAAGAAGAAAAAATGGAAAAAGTAGCTGGCTTCCAATGAGTAACAAACATTGCTGTGTGTATAGTTACAAACAAGTTTCATACAAAAATATGTGCCCAAAACCATGTTTCTGTCCAACAAATCTACAAGCAAGTGGTATAAATATTCATTGCTGCAATGAAGTAAACAGATTTGGCTACTTTTCTGATCCATTAATCAATCTAACAGTAGGCTACTAACCCACCTCAAAGTTCTCAAGAAGTTATATCCCCTACTAACAACTTTGCTTTAAGGGTAATAGCATACACATCAGTTTCCATTTTCTAGCATAAATTTGAATACAAAATTACTTAAAAGGTTTTACAATGCGTGAAAGCTAAGTTCTTGTTAAAAGCCATTTTCCTAAAGATGATACTGTACGGAGTACATACTCATATTCATAAAAAATAAGTATATGGGACTGAGTAGCAAAGCACAGAGAAAATGTTATTTCTTGGTCTAGTATCCGAAAAGGAAATATCACTTAACGCACATCTAAATCCTTAACCTACTTACAGTTCTGATATTTGGTAGAATTTAAGTAGACTCCATTTTCTCCAAGCAGTCACAACTATATTTTAAAAAAGCTTACCTACACTTTGCACTGTTTTGTTATCAGATCTAGCTGATCTGCTAGATTAACAGCTTGCAAGAACCATAGGCATTCCAGAACTTCAATCCCAATGTAAAACTTTAAACTAACTGTACCCCTTACAAAACAAGCTGAAAACTAACAGAAAGCTTGAATCTGCTATTCCTTTCTAACACTGCAAGACTGAGTATCACATTTCATTGATTAATGAAATCTGTCTTTTATCTTTGTTTTTAAGCAGGTACCTGTATTACCTATTTTTTTCTTAAATATCATCAGCAGAGCACTACTGGACTACTATTATGTCACTTTGCAAAGCTTTGTTGAGAAGTTAACTCTCAAATTTAATATACAGCCAGGTACCCCAGGAGTCTTAGCAATTTAACCACACTGTCAATTTTGGTCATCTGTGTTCTGACATATTTCTGTATAAGCTTCAATAACAAATTCAATACCAAACATGTCTGCAGAGGTAGAGAAGGATTTCCACAACATTTCTGCAAGAGGAAAATGTGCAGCATATTAATGTCCACAAATCAGCAGAAATATAGAAACATTCAAAACCCCTGAACTCCTATTTAGTTTTAGGGACTGGATCTTCTGTCAGCTATTTCCACACTTACACTGTCTAATTGCTTTGACCCAGATATCCAGTGATAATCACTTTGCACTGGTCTCCTGCAATACTTGGGGAAACAATCAAATGCTTTCTGATCCAAATTGATGCACATCCAGACTCCCCATGTTACACTCCAGGATGGGAGGAACATGAGCACGCCCTTGTGGCCGATGTGCAATTACATCTACTTCTCAGCTGAAAAGGACACATGCATCAGTGCTGAGGACACAAAAATGGCAGCAGGCCTCTTTGATAAGTTTCTCTTATAAAGAATGCCTCAAGACAGAGGTTAACAAAACTGAACCAAGCATCAAAAATGATCTACTGCAGGGGCTTCATTTCTAGTCACTGACACTTGGAAATAATTTTTATCAAATGAAATGCTACATTTAAAAAAAAAAGTGCAAAATAGAGCCAACCAGAGAAAATAGTTCAAGGGCTTTCATGTTCCTGTTACCTCTCTCTTCTCCGGAAGGAGGAGAAAGAACACAGTTGCCACCTGTTTCTATGACTTTGGGAAGGCTGTTTATCTTAAGAAGAAGATAAAATACAACCCTATTCATTTATCATTATTTTAGATACTATCTGAGCTGGAATGAAAGTTGAAAATCCATCCCACTCCATAGCTAACTTCATGTGATCTTCACCGGTGATTTCTTGTGCGCGCAGAGGAGGGTGACGTACGGAACACCAATGAATGCCCATCTCTCACTTGGCCAGAACTTTATGACAGGGCCCTGCTCAGGGATCTCGGAGGCAGCGTCGAAGTAAGCGAAACAGACACAGCCTAGGTAAGCCGCAAGGCAAATCAAAATGTGCCTGAGAATAGAGCAAACCACCCCCCCCAAAAAAGAAAAATTCAGTAACATGACTTCAGCAAAGTATTATCAAATTATTATTATATTATTCAGTATTATCAAATACATCAGCATGGTTTAAAATCAGTCTGTTACTCTCCTTTCCCTTGTCCCCAGCTGTGCTACTAAACGCCAGCAGGCAAAGAATACAGAGAACACATAAAGCTACAGAACTGGAGTTCATCCTCTACATAAACTGTCTGCAGCTTTCTGGTCTCCTTCCACCTTACAGAGTTGTTTAGAAATGATGAATTATAGCACTTTGGATAAGAGGTCACAATTTGCTGTGACAAAAGAGAAAATATATCAAAGCTGTTCACTGCTTCCACTTCATCCTCTACTATTAACAGTGGATGCTTGAGCCTTTATGGTCATTGCTTCAGTTGAGCAGTGCTTTTGGATTTTTAGTAGCCAGAAGGGACAAGAAATTCAGTTGCAATTAATCAACTTAGTGTCTGAAGAATGTGATCAGGCAAAAGAGCCTTCTAAATCTGTACCCTGGATAGCGTGAGACTTGCTCTTGGCTTACAATCTTACCAGTAAATCCGTTTAGCACTAACCAGAAATAGCCACTAGCAGCCTATGGACACAGCACAGAATGATACTGTGGTGAGGATCTGTCACGCTTGAATCAAACCGTGAGATTATGCACAACACTTACCATACACAGTGCAAATAGGGGAAGTTAAATGACGACCAAATTTCACAAAAAGCTTTGTCACTGATCCAGCAGAAAAGTGCTAACATCCACCAAAGACCTGAAAACAGACCAAGTTTGTACACACGCAAGTTTTCACACCTGAGGAGAAAAATGCAAAGAAGCTACTGTAAAACAAAACAGTATTTGCTCGATTCTTGATGCTCTCTGGCTCTAAGTTGCAGAATATAGGAGGGAAAGGAAGGGGAGGGGAGAGGAGAAAAAGGCTAGGCACATCTTTAAAACACCTCCTATGAATGTCCTGAATGGTAGAGCTTTACTTACAATAATATGACTCTGACATGAGGCACTGGTGAGGTTACAAAACAAACATCTCAATCAGTATCTGTGTTTTGGGCATTATCTTAAATAACAAAGAGCAAATGGTGAGCAAACACTGAAGCACTGAGGGGATATGTAGAACAACTAATTAGTCAAACATCCTGTCAGTAACAACCAGCCACTCAGCTATCAGTCAATTTTATTCACATTCTATCTTCCATTGAACTGCAACTATATGAAGATTGATAATAAAGAGGAACAGGATGGGTTTTTTTTAATTAGTTGGTTGATTTTTCCCCTACAATACTGCAGTTCCAGAGAACTAGTAAGGCAAAAGACCAGAGGCAGAGGATCCAAACAAGTATACTTCAGCAGGCATTCACATCCCACACAGAATTCTTCACATTGACTAAACTGCAATTCTCTCCCTCCACAACAAACCATATTTGTTAACATAGAGGTACACTACAGTGAAAACATTTGCTGTGATCACATGCAGTGAGGCCTGCAGGTAATCATCACCAAATACAATAAGAGATGCAAGAGTATGTACCTAGCACTGCCTGTGTTACAGGTCTATTCAAAAGCTCACAGTTTTATTCCCCTATATGATGCTTTGCTCTTTTCCATGTCTTGGAATTACTCTAAGAACTGTGCAGCTTTGATCAAAAGACTAAAATAAAAAAAGAAAAAGGCAGCATCAATATTCTCTTCCAGTTAATAGTTAGCTCTCTACCCACACTTGCTATTTTGAGATTAGGCCTCTTGGTACCATTAGATGCAGCCCCGAATTTACAATGCAAAACTAGCTTGAAACATGGGTAGTCCGATGTGGCCAAGGAATGTGTGGCTCAGTTTCCCTGTCTTCTGAGCAAACAAAGCTATTATTTGGGATTTTCCCCCATTTTTTTCCAAATTAATTGTTAAACTCTGAGTGTTCTTCACAAGAATTTGAAGTGCTACTAGATAATTCTTGCTTAATGAACAGTCATTCTCATGCCAGTGATGCATACAATAAGCATCTGCTCCAAATCAACTAATGAGATGACAAAGTAATTTGTTAAAGTTACTTGTTTTAGCCAGTTCTCAACAGTAAATCAGTGAGCCAGCTGTCCAGGCAGTACAACAAGGAATACTCAGCCTTCAGAGGGAGACACTGCCCGCTATGTTCTTTTGCATTCTACTGGGAGTACTACTAGTAGTAATGCCAACTCTGTCTTCAAGCTAAAACTTTTCATTACATTCTTCATCATGTTAGACACTCTTAACTACTAGCACCCACAGATAATGCCTCCTGCCTCTCTGTGGAGGAAAAGCAGAACTGCAGCTGCTATCACGGCTTTGCCAAAGGAGTCCAGCTAGGGATTCAGAAAAAATGAAAATAAAACCACAAAGTACTCTCTACAGAAACATTTTTCTGAATACACTGCAGAACCAGTAGTCTACCTGGCTCTGATGTATTGCAAGCTAAGCAAATTGCACAGCTTTCTCCATAAATCTGTAAGGTATTTTTTAATCTTGAACGTTTTAGTTGACATTTTTGAGGTGTTTGGGATTCAGAAACTCTTCAGACTGAGTACGAGGCACCTCTATAGCTAGTGGATTTAATGACAGAAAAACTACCTACTGCTTAATCTTGTTGGAAAATAATTTTCTCCAATGTCCTCTGCACAAATTAGCTTTAGGGTCAGGCATTCTTTTTTTAAGTCATCTGTAAATAACGTTACAATCAAAATCACACTAATCTTTAGGTATCACAATCTCTGCTTCCATGACTAAGACACCTACATGACTTCCACAAAAAAAAACAATACTCCACACTGTGTAACAAAATGGCTTTTTTGTTTGGCTTGAATTCTCCAGCTCATTTGACAAATAGCCTTTAAGAGGCTATAAAAAGCATGAAGAAAAGACTAAGGAGATTTTTGAATTGCCTAATGACTTCTAGAGCACAGCTACAAGGATTCTTGCTTTTATGAAACAAGCCAGTGAGAAAAATACAATTTGACAGGATTATAACAGAAACCATACTGGTAAACTCTCTTCCCATTCAACAGGTAAGACTACACTGCTACACTGAGTAACCGTGCATTCTGACTGAGCAAAGGTTGTGTGTACAGACAATATGGAGCCTTTCCTGGACCTGTCTGAAGAATGTAAATAAATATGTGCAACTGTATTCCATTTAAAGTAAGCAGCTTGACCTCAAACAGACAGCTCTTTTAGTCAGTGAGTGACCACACTTGTCAGTATCTGAGTAGTTTTATCACCAAGGGGAGAAGTAATAATCAACATTACTTCAAACACTGGTGTATCCCAGACATTTACTGTATGAGGGACAGGGCTGATGCAAACTTCCAACAGTATTATCTTCCAATGTCACGGCACCCATAACAAAACATATCAGCTTTTCTTCAAAGCAGAATAGTTGCCGGATGTTGATTAATAACATGATACGAAGTTGGGAGGATTGGCTGACACGCCCGAAGGCTGTGCTGCCATTCAGCGAGACCTGGACAGGCTGGAGAGCTGGGCAGTAAGGAACCAGATGAAGTTTAACAAAAGCAAGTGTAGAGTCTTGCACCTAGGGAGGAATAATTCCATGCACCGGTACAGGTTGGGGGATGACCTGCTGGAGAGGAGCTCTGTGGAGAGGGACCTGGGTGTCCTGGTGGACGACAGGTTGGCCATGAGCCAGCAGTGTGCCCTTGTGGCCAAAAAGGCCAATGGCATTCTGGGGTGCATTAAAAGGAGCGTGGCCAGCAGGTCGAGGGAGGTGATCCTCCCCCTCTACTCTGCCCTGGTAAGGCCTCATCTGGAGTACTGTGTCCAGTTCTGGGCTCCCCAGTACAAAAAAGACAGGGATCTCTTGGAAAGAGTCCAGCGGAGAGCCACAAAGATGGTGAAGGGCCTGGAGCATCTCCCCTATGAGGAAAGGCTAAGTGAGCTGGGTCTGTTTAGCCTTGAGAAGAGAAGACTGAGAGGGGACCTGATCCAGGTCTATAAATATCTAAGGTGTGGGGGGCACAGTGGCGAGGCCAGACTCTTTTCAGCAGTGTGCGGAGACAGGACAAGGGGAAATGGCCAGAAGCTGGAGCATAGGAAGTTCCGCACCAATGTGCGCAAGAACTTCTTTACGGTGAGGGTGACGGAGCACTGGAACAGGCTGCCCAGGGAGGTGGTGGAGTCTCCTTCTCTGGAGATATTCAAGACCCGCCTGGACGCCTACCTGTGCGACCTGGTGTAGGGATCCTGCTTTGGCAGGGGGGTTGGACTCGATGATCTCTGGAGGTCCCTTCCAACCCCTACGATTCTGTGATTCTGTGAATAACTTGATTTTGACACAGACAGCTGCCTTTATAGCCTAGTTTTAAACTTCTAACTAGTTTAACCTTTTAGTCAAAGGAAAAGTGAAGTGAGCAAGCTGCAACAATGAAATAGAGTTTCTCTACAGTGAGACTGCTAGCAGCAGAATCAACTACACATAGACAAACATGAAGGCAGAGATGTCAGCTGAACAAGAATATCCTACCACCTATCTGCTCAGGGAAACAGTTACTTGCATGAAGAGAACTCACTAAATCATACTAATCTGATGATGCTATAATCTTCATTGTTATTTGGCTTGGACCAGCCAACAGAATAATCCACAGCTGCTTTCTAGCTGACTGCATCCCTGTGAGACCCATGAAGGAATTTGTTTGAACAGAAATAAGAAAAAAAAATGTATAATGTCTTGTCTTTCGGGAGTGAGTATGCATTTAACTGCCTTTTGCTCTTTTGATCATCTTACATCCACAGCATGTCCTTAGCACTCTGCAAGTTCTGCACTTAAGAGCATAAGGCTCTTCTCTGCAAACAGTCTCTCTTCACCAGAGATGAATGAGTGGCAGAAAATTCTTACTTGAAAACAAAGTGATTTGCTAGAATTCACTACGAGATTTATAAGAGCCTAGAAAGGGAATAACTCTGTGACATATTATACCAGAACACTTATCTAAGCACAGAGCAGTAGAAACTTCTTTAAACCAAGAGCTTCTACTTCAGCAACTTCCTCTCCTTCCTTCCCAAAATATCTGTGTCACAGATTCAGAACCATAACAGTCTGCCAGGACTCAGACATGTACCCCCATAATGACTGTAGCAGTGAAGAACAGGAAAATCAGAGGCATTAAATAATGTCTCAGTTGTTTTTTCTTCAGCAAAAAGAGATGGGACAATCCCATTTCTAATTTAACTTTTTCAGGGATCAGCATAGCTTAAAATGAAATCTATAATTATTATTTACATCAAAAAATATCAAAGCTATTACATTATCCTAATAGGTAATTCAGAGAGCCATATATCACTCTAGGTCCATTTTTAATCATCATTTCAAAGGGAGGTTTGTCTATGCCTGTAATTCTCAAAAAACTGATAGGTAAATTCCACATATTTTAATGCAACATGACATTCCACATGGAATTTCAAAGAGCAAGTACATGTAAGCACATTAATTCCTAGATATTATCCAACAGCATTCAAACCTTAAAGACACTAACTATTCATCCTCTCACGTTTCTCAGGAGTTCATGCCTGGAAAACTGAAATGGCTGTTCAAGTAATAGGTCAATGCCAGAAACAAATCTCCCTTTGCCCTGCCAGTAGTTTCCTGTGCTTTCTTAAAAATGAGATGCACCCACCACCATTCTTAACCTACCCGCTTTCTCCTCTACATGGAACTTCCACGCTGCTTCCCGAATTTCTCTGACAACAGCAATAGCTGCTGCATAGCAGAACATCAAAAGAGATAAGACACAAGAACACTTCTTCAGAACATGATTAGCAAATGCTTACGCTGCATGGGAAAGTAACACCAGAATAGGATAAGGTGGGGAAACAGGACAATCTAACCAACAGTAGTTAGAATGCAGGCATTTTGTCCTACTCTACATTATTTTGATGGACATTTTTAGATGCAGTGTAAGAGCCAACATAAGTTATAAAGTCTGTCTCAAACTCCTTTCCTACTCTTCTCCAGTGTCTATATGCTGATGCTTGCCTGGTCCTTTCTGCCTTGGTGAGAAGAGGCAAAAAATGAGTCTCTCATGGTTATGGTAGGAACTCTTTAAAATGTTAAAACAAATCTCAGACTGCTTTCTACCTGCATTCTGTTTTCACAGTTTCTAAGGTGACTGAAAGCTACCCTCTGTGACCTAGTGATTAATCTTATCTTTGTCAGTCTGGCTCCACTGTATTATTTGTGTAAGACGGACAGTAAGCCCTGAGAGCTGGCATATCTTCCATGCATGCTTGGACCTTGCTCCCTGCAGTACCCAGGCTGTGATCATATGCTCATCTCACTCCTGTGCAGACTACAGTAGAAAAGCTGTTAGTGGAGTGAAACTCGCCAAAACTCCACAATAAATAGAGTTAGATCAGGTTGAGGGTAAAGATACACTGCAAGAAGACAGACAACAGCTGATCTAGTATAATCGCCTAGGGAAAAAAAAATCCTTGCCAAAAATGTCTGAACTTACAGAGCAATCTCACGCCAGATCTGTACAAGGAAGAAGCATTTCTAATCTGCTATCACAAATAATGAAGATCTACTCTATCATTGTATGATGGCCTAAGGATCTCCAAAGGCAACACTGCATTCAGGAGAAATGTACTCACCTCTTCAACTCAGCAATGAGTAAAGCTGTGCAAGGAACACCCAGAGTCATTAGTGAGATGTTGTTGATGGCAGGTTTAATGAAGGCAAGGCAGGTAGTAACTCCAGACAGGACACCAACAGCAGCTTTAAACCGGCTCCTGGAAGTTTTTTTGTGAAGAAAAGTGCTTTTAATTCAGAGCTTTTAATTAGTAAAGACAGAAATCTTAACACAACTTTAGTAGTGTAATAAAACTTACATTTTTTTGCGTGTGGTCAAGAGTGCAATGACAGTGTGCTTATAAAATGGATGAGAATCCTGCACTGACTTGTACATACAAAGTTAACCACGTAGCTAGCCCTTTCCTGAACTATAATTTTCCAAAGCAGAAAATATATATACACATACGTGTGTGTGCATACAGAGACCCACACTAATCACTGGTTTCAAAATCTTAAGATCCTGCTCTGATTCTCCTTCTTCCACAAGAAGTTGAGAGAAGGTCATCTCTCTATCCAGCACTGTACTTCCTCAAAGCAGTTTTGTGTCATGATTCCTCCTGCTTTTAACATAGATTTTTAGAATATTTTTTGTTACTATTATTGTCCTAGCTTTTAGAGCCACATTACAGTCTGTTTAGTATGTTCTTAGCATCAGTGAAGTCACAGATGGGCCACAAATGGACAGTTGACAACTTTTAAAACAGACATATATTGTTTTTTAAATTTCAAATTTGGACTTCAAACAACTCATTTCTAGTCTGTGACAGGACTGTGGAAGATACAGGACCATTACACTGCTTCCAGGCTACTGACCCACAACTCTATAAAACTAGCTGATGTTCACGGATGGCTGTTTTCTCCTTAATTCCACATCTCAAGTAGAATCTCAGTACACCTGTGTATCACCATTTGCTGATTATCAGTATTATCATCCTCATCTTCACCAAACTCATTTCTCAGGCCTCTTGTTTCAAAGCATTTTAAAGTTGGAAGGCAACAGGAAGTTCTGATCTGATGTGAGTGCTTTAATGACTAAAGATACCATCAATCAGTCATGGTAGATAACAGCATTTTCAACGAGTACTGGGCACAAATAATTCTAGAAAAATAAGTTAAGCAAAACATAGAAATATGTATGTGTATGTACACACAAATATCCCAAAATCACAGAACTGTGGGGGTTGGAAGGGACTTCAAGAAAACATCAAGACCAACACCCCCACTGAAGCAGGTTCCCTACAGGAACAGTACAGTCACCCAGGTAGTTGTCCAGATGAGTCTCAAACATCTCCATAGAAGGACACTCCACAACCAGTTCCATTGCTCTGCCACCCTTACCATGAAGAAGTTCTGCATGACTGTATGGAACTTCCTATGTTCAAGTTTTAGTCCTACTGCTACCATCAAGCCTCATTCATTTGCCTCCCACCACCCTTCAGAAATTTATGAGATCCGCCCTCAGTCTTCTTTTCCCCATGCTGAACAGATCCAAGATACTCAGTCTTTCTTCATAAGAGAGATGCTCCAGGACCTTTATCATCTTTGTGGCCCTCTGCTGGAGTTCTTCTAGGAGATCCCTGTCTTTTTTGAACTGGCAAGCTCAGAATTGGACACAGTATGCTAAATGTAGCCTCACTGGGGCAGAATAGAGGAGGATCACATTTCTCTATATATATGTGCATAAAACTGATCTGTTCTGAGATAGACTTTTTTGTCATTGAATTCTTTTTTCTGTACACTTCAGAAAGAAATCAAAATCTTAACAAATACTGACAGTATTTAGGAAAGTAGTATTGTGAAAACATGCGGGTGGGGTACATCCTTCAGTTCATCTCTGTATTTTTATGGATCAACTATAAACAGCCAGATCATTATGTACCACTTTAGTTTTATCACCAAGTTGAGATAGGATTTCTCCACAAAAGTGTTACTACTCCTTTTAGAAAGGATATCGCTTAACCTTATGGCTGATACTACAAATCTATGAAGCAAATTATTAGAATATGGTGATATATAACGTGCAAGAATTCCTTCAGGCTTTCAAAGAACAATGTATGTGCAGTCAGAGAAATTATTCAAGAGACTTGAAGTCCTTCACTTTAACTAAATGTCTAAAAATCATGTCATCTACCAAATAACCTCAGGAAAACCTCTGTTTGCTCTTCAAGTTTATGGTGTCTTACAACAGGACTACATTAAAGTATGAAAAAATACTAAATTCACAGTAACTTGGCAAAGCTATTGCATTATGGACTACATATGATAATTCAAGATATACTCCTCACAGTGCAAGCTATTTTGAGGAATACTTAATGCAGCCAACAATCTTCTCTATGAAAGCATTTTCTAATTGAGTATATGTCAAGGAAATAAAAAATAAAGAAAGCAGAGAATAGTATAAAGAAAGAGGAAGGAGCCTTAGCAGTTTTCAGAGAGCAGAACACTGGCGCTGTGACTTCAACTTCTTCATTATATCAGATTTTTTATGCATAAAAGAAAAATATGCACAAAGATTACAGCATATTTTCTCTGTAAGGGGGAAAAATAACAACCAGATTCTTTAAACTGATTATAATGCTCTTCTTGTTGAACTTCATGGCCTCAGCCCAGAGAGGGCTTGGGGCAGAATGGCTTGAAGACTGTGTGGAAGAAATGGACCTGGGGCTGTTGGCTAATGCTTGTCTAAACAAGTGTCAGCGGTTTACCCAGGTAGCCAAGAAGGCTAATGACATCCTGACATATATAAGAAATAGTGAAGCCAGCAGGAGCAGGGAGCTGATGGTAACTCTGTACTCAGCTCTAGTACATCTCAAGTACTGCGTTCAGTTTTGGCCCTGACTACACTACAAGAAAGATACCAAATCCCTGGAGCTGGTGAGGGGTCTGAAGCATGTCTTATGAGGAGCAGGTGAGGGAACTGGGATTTTTTAGACTGAAGAAAAGGAGGCTTGGGGAGGCATTATAGCTCCCTACAATTTCTTGAAAGGAGGTTGTGGCAAGGTGGGGGTTGGCCTCCTCTCCCATGTAACTAGTGATAGGATTGGAGGAAATGGCCTCAAGCCGCACCATGGGAGGTTCACACTGGATATTAGGAAAAAATTCTTCTCTGCCAGAGTGGTTAGGCATTAAAATGGGCTATCCAAGGGAGGTGGTTGAGTCATCATCCTTGGAGGTGCTCAAGAAACATTTAGATGTCATACTACGGGACACAGTTTAGAAAGAAATATTAGTACTAGGTGGATGGTTTAAATCTGCAATAAAGAAAAATCCATTGCAGCAATGAGAGACTTCTAAACAAACAGGATACTTAGTCTTTGAATACTTAAAAACTACACTTAACCTCTGACTTAAATGTCAGATAAACATTCAGCTGACTTCCACAGGTACGCTCTCATATGTACACTCTCAGATATACAAAAGGAACAGGAGAAGATAGTATCTGTTACTTTATTTTAGGTGCAACTTATATAAACTATTCATGTCTTTCTAACAAGCTAACAAGAATAGGCTCTTTCACAGTCATTCATCACATCCCAAAACTCAAAGTTTCAGGGCATAAAACTCAACATCAGGAACATAGACTCAGGACTTCTGAAAAAAAAGAACATAAGATGAGATGTTTCAAAAGACAGGCATGTGTACAACGTTGCATGATTACCTGTCATTCCGAAAAACTCTTGGTAGGTATCTTCTAGGGAACCACATGGCAAGAGCACACATAAGAACCCACAGAATAGCCAGCTCATCCAGCATCTGGCCCAGGAAACTGAGGGTGGCATGAAAGTAAACAGATCCAATTCCTGAAAGAGTTGGTCAGAAGTTACAGTCAATAATTACAGTGCTGTACAGACTGAAACACACTGCTCATTATCAGGAATTCATAGCAAATAGTTCACACAATTTGGTCTAGAGAAAAACGAAACAAAACACCAGTCTTCTAGAAAAGCAAACTAAAACATCAGTACCTCATATTAAATAAATAAATCAATAAATATAAAATATAAATTAAACACATACATTACCACAGAGGGAGCTAAAGGTGCCATCTCCAAGTGCAGAAGTAAAAATACACAAAAAAACATCGTGTAGTAAATTTAAATGTAAATGCGATTAAGAAATGAATTCAAATGCTCTTTCTGAATTTTCTCAATTTTCTCAATAACACAAGAATGGATAACATGAAGATGGAAAGCAGCAGGTGATGATTATATGATCTAAGTTTACAAGTGGAAAGTGGCACATGGCCAACATGACTCTGAGTACCCCTTTAATGTTGTCAGTGCTTGTAGAACTGAAAAAGCTTAAGAATTTGCCACCTACAATATGGCTAAATCTGTGGATCAATCAATAAAATGTCTAATTTCTAAGCAAAACCTGTTATCTTCTCCAGTTTTGTTAAGAACTCTTAGCAATCATTAATTCAGCATCAGAGGATGGAGAGTCAGCACTGCTCTAGAGTAAGCCTGGATGCAATAATAGAACTTGTACAAAGGAAAGACAAAAACGATGCAGAACTAAGGTCAAAGTCCCTCCGGACTCCAACTGCAAGAGCCATTTTCCTTTCAGAAACTACATCTGCTTTTGCTCCAAGCAAGTGCAAGCAAACTCTTCTACAGACGTCAATATTGCTTTGTTTTGCAGAAACAATCATGCACAAGCAGGAAAAACCGATTTCCTCTCTCATTCATGCATGAACAGGCAAACAGAGATTAATCAACTTACCGACCACAACTAGTAGAGTCCATATTAAATATATTCCGCTGTTGAAGCAGGTTGCATATTGACGGAATAAGCACATGCATATGGGTGGTAAAACAAAAAACAAGACGTTGCTTATCTATAAAAAGAAAAGAAGTATCACGAAGACAGAAAATAAACATTTAGTATCTATAGGCTAATCTGTCTACAAAAAGTCAGTCAGTGATACCTCAGCTCAATAAAATGTGGTTCTCAGATTCTGCCAAAGGAGATCAGTTTTTGTAAAACAACATTAAGCTGAACCTCATAAGCTAGTAATAGCATAAAACTCCAAGCAATGTAAGTTGTGGCTAGTCACACTTTTAAATGACTTTTCAAGTCTATTTCCAGAGGAATTTTATTATAAGTCTACAAATACTCTGCTGTAATTCAGGAAGCCTTCAACAGCAAGCAGGTTAGCAACAGGGAGCTCTAGCAAGTGAATTCTCTTCTCAGTGGTTGTCAAATCCAGCATGGAAAATGCACCAGATGGGCTGTTAAGTTTTGTTGAAGTCAGGTCACTGAACAATTGCTATTGTTTGGTAGATCTGAAATACAAAGTTAAGCTGAAAGAGTTAGAACCATTTTTGTAGGGTTAAGAAAGCCTTAAGTTGTAAATCCTCTTATACTTTATTTTTTCTCCATTACAGAAGTAAAAAAATACAACTGAAAACTAGTAATAGGAAGGTGAAAGGGCTGGTAAAGTAATTCAGACAATTGATAACTTTATTATTTTAATGCAGCATATAAGTCTTGAACAAAGATCCATTCTTAATTGCTTAGCAACAATCCAAAGCATCATTCTTTAGTTACATGCTGAAAATGCTTTACGTGTCACTAGCAGGACTAGTACTGCTGTTACTGCAGTATCACACATTCTTTCAATAAGAAGTTGCGTATGCTGAAGGCCAGCCACAGACATACTGTTGCTTCACAATGGGACAAGGGCAAGGATGAACTTCTCAGCCTTGATCTCCCTACAAACCCCATAGCTAACCCAGGCATGTGACAAAATAATCTCTAGCAACATTCCCCTAAAATGGACTTATAAAAGAATTCTATGATAAACAGCATTCCTTTGGGATAGATCTCCTCCTCTCAGACACTCATGGACACTTAATGATATGAATAAAAATCTAACAGAAAAGGATTCAGGAACGGCATACAGAGATGGCATTTATTCATTTCATAACTATCCACCATTCAACACTGTCTCAGACAGTGTGAGAGCAGAGGTCGCAATGACTAAAATGGGCACATCTAATTTAACTTTTGCAAGACTTACCAAAACATACTCCTAGTTTGGCATCCAAACTGACAATAACTACAGCAGTAGCTTCTCAGCACCATCTACTTCATGTGTGCCACTTTCCTTCACACTAAAGGTACCTCCTCAAAGACAAGCTGCATTTATTTCAAAATTCATTTAAGTAAAACACTTAGAAAGATCTATCACACGTTCATTTTAGAGATGTAAAATCCCATATCTTCTCTACCTAGAACAAAACAAGAGCAGCCACTAGAAAACCAGCAGGAAGAAATTTCTGTATTGATACAATCTTTAGACACCTTAACAAACTAAGATCTGCTAGAGCATGAAAAGGCTCAGCACACAGACAGTTTCACTGCCATGAGCATCTGGTTGCCTAATGGTGGGGTGCAAAGACAAAGAGAAAGGAAGGGATGGATAGAAAGACAAAAGATCTTGGTAGTTTTTGGAGACAAAAAGCATGAGTCTCCAGGCCTGCCACAAGGACAAGTCACCATGCTTCTAGCAGTTGGGCCACACTGATGACCAATCTGAATGGGGAAATAATAGAACAGAGCCACTGCTCTGCTCCCACTAGACTGCCCTTCTAAACCAACATGAGGAAGGACAAAATCCTCTGGCCAATTAGCTGTTCCTACAGCTCATTTTGACACAGACCACGTCCCTCAAGGACTCACACATTTTCACAGAAAACACTCACACTGCTCAGCTTTGAACTGCCAGCTTACTCTGCCTGGCTCCCAGGCTTCTCCAGATCGTGGTAAAAGCAGGCCAGACAGAGCTTATCAGTTTCATTTAAACACCTTTACAAACTGTCATCTAATGAATCTTCTCTTTCTGCAAGCTGAAGTATGAAACCAGCCTCACAAACCAGGTATGAAAAAGCTGTCTGCAGTGTCATAGACAAAGCACTTCCTAAGTAGCAATAGGAGAACATTTATAGAATTTCCTCAATCCACCAAGGCAGCTAATTTTGCCACCACTAAAACAGCAGGGGGCACCTAGCAATGCCAGAATGCAGCATATCCCTGAGGATGCAACAGAAAGACCAAAGACTTATTTACAAAGAATGCCCTAAATCAGATTTTAAGAGACAAATTTGCTTAAGCCACATAAAACCTCAACATTCACCCAAACATGCTCATGCAAACATCTTCCATTCACATAAGAACCACCCACCTCTGTGCAGCAAAGATATACTGGGCCATCTGGAACATACACATGGACCAGAGTTGTAGCCTGCTCCCTCCTTTTACAAGCAGAGAGTGGGAAGGCTTTCCTTATCCCACAGCAGGTTGGAAACATAAAAAATGATTGGCAGCAGGGATGATAGAATATAAGCAAGTCCTTTGAGAGCCTCAGAGTGCTCTAAACATTTTAAGCCAAGGTTAGGTCAAACAGATATCAAGGAAAAAAAAAAAAGAAACAACCCAAAAAACAGTTATAAACTAAGGAATGCGAAAAAAAATCTTTTCATCTGTATAGCCAGAACTGACCAGTGAAGTAAATCAGACTAAGTAATCACAATGAGTATGGCTAGATTGCCATCACTGCAATCTACAGGGAAATTACATATAATTGTAAAATCTGAAAGAATTTTGATGCCAGAATTCTTTTCTATTAAGTTTGGAAATATAACATGATACTACTGCCTCTCTTTCATGAAATAACTCAGTTTTGTTTCTTGTATTCCATACACAGTAATTTCCACAAGCTGTATTTATACCAGAGCTCTGGAACATGATCTGAAATATGCTGCTTAAGCTATCTTAGATACAAGTTCACAGTTAACTACATCAACACGAGAACTGACTAGCTGGCTTTCATCCTCTGCTATCAGCCTGCCTCCCTAGAAGAACCACACCGTCAGAAACACTGCCAGGATTAATGCCAGGTTTCCCAAACAAGTGAGGCATCTACCTACTGGGCTCTGGTTTTAGAAAGTATGTTGCATAAACAAGTTTTCATGTAATACACAATTGGCCTATATGATTTGGTAATGCACAATTCAAAAGTCTATAAAGTTAAGATCAGTGTAAGAAGTTTAAAGAAGAGAAGTACCTAGAATTTCCTTTGAGATTTGCAAAAGGTAATTCAAAGTTACAGTAAAAGGTAAGAAGTCCATCAATAAGTGTCCATCCTCTGGCATTAAACAATTCTGGACCTCTACTTTTAATTTCCAGCTACTTACGTGTATGAAAAGAATACAGGACACAGATGGAATTCCAGCGGCCAGCTCAGATCATGACCATGTAATTTTGCCCACACAGTCTGTATGTGACATTTCCCATGGTCTTACCAAAGATTATTACTATTTGCTAAGTCAGACGGCTAGCAGCTGCAGCATTCTACCACTGAGGCTGCACGTCTTATGAGAATGGGAAGCAAAATTGGAATATCTCCTCAGTGAAGTTAGAGGGATTGTATCTTCAGCATTCCGACACAAGAGCACACCACATACACTGCAAAGACTAAAGTAGTAAAAAGGGTGTTGCCAGAGTATAAGCATATTCTCAATCTAAGATCCTCTAAAAACATTTATCTCCTTGCTACTACAGACCAGACAAGAAATAAAAACACTGGCAATGCTCTTCAAATGGAAATTTGGCAATAAATAGATGCACAATTCAATATAAAACACTAAACTGAAAAGTACCAATTTCACTAGTAACAAAAAAATGTTAGTTTCCAGTTTTTCAGAAAAAAAATAAATTGTTGTTTTGTTTTCTTTTGCAAATACCTCTGCACATGTAATCTCTTTTAAGTGTGTGGAGGTATGTGCTTTTGCTCAAGAGTAAGATTACACTGTATAGGGATTAATTATTAAAAAGAAAAATTAAAAAAATAAAGAAAAAGCTAATATTTTCTTATAATTTCCTAGTTATGAAATATTTTTAGTGTGTAAAATGAAATCTTGGACGTGTATGTTTTATAAAAATTGTAGGACTAATTTGTACAGAACTGCTGAACAGATATTCTTCTACTCACTTAATCCTGATGAGCACTTTGATTTGCTTTTTAACAAGATCAAGTTAAATTTTCTCATAACATTAAGGTTGGGTCCCACAAGAATAATTAAATGGATCTTTCTAAATATGTTTCAGATAAGCTGTTCCAGTTTTCTGCTTATATATACTGCATGAGACCTCAACGACATCTCTGATCTTAGCTGTGGCAGTCTAAAATGCGGATTAGCAAGGTTTTAATCTACAGCTTGAAGACCCAGATCCCACATTCAGGTCTGCTGAAGAATGTTACCTGAAACTTCTGAAGGTTTTGAGTCAGTGTCAGAACAGAAACATCCAAGAAGGAATAAAATTCAGAGTCCACTTGCAGCGCCTGTCAGGGCCAAATCTTTCTTACCACCCTGTAAGAATCTCTCTCTCCAGGAACACAATCGCTCAGCCCCCAACAATTCACTGCAAATTAATTTTCAGAAGCTGCAAACACAGACGTCAGTCTCCATAATCTCTTCACTACTGAAGCATGTCTACCCTCAACACAGCCTCTATTCCCCATGTTTTTGATGTACAGTTAGCTGATTTGGATGAAGCTTTGCAATACTGGGAGTTTCAGGGCAAACTTTGTGTTGTGCCTCTCTGCTAGTCTGGAAGCTGAGTTAATCACCTGGACATACATGCAGCTCCCAGCATTTTGCAGGCTTTTTGCCACAGCTAATCAGCTCAGCGCAGTCAGAAGGGTATCCAATCCCCTGCATTGCTGGCTTCAAAACGCATCGCTTCTTCAAGAAACTTATTGTTTATTCTGACCTTTTCCTCCCTTTGTTTTTGGTTCTTGCACAGTGACATCAGAAACAAAGAAAGCAGACTGTTTCTGCTCACACACCCTCAAACACAGACGATACACCACCCAGATGACTTTGGTGCTGAGCTACAAGGAAAAACAACAGGTTAGCCATGTACACCATGCACAGTTGAATTATTTGCTACAAATGGAGTGCATCCCTGGGTACACACTCCCGTGAGGGATGAACACTCCAGACACCTCTTTCTTTCCTTCACAGAAGTGCAGCACCAGCATCTGAAGTTAGCAGTCAAGAAACACAGACTGAAAGAGAACTCAGATGAGGACAGAATTTGGGTAAGAAACTAAAAGGCCATTTTGAAATACAAAAGTCAGACAAAGCAGAAATCCCACCTCACACCTGCCACAGAACATAAAACCCAGAGCAACACCACAGGCATGTTGTTTGCAGGGCTCCCTCCCGGCAACATGGTAAAGCACATCACCAGAAAGCCCGATGTATGATCTCACTCCCAGTTGGATCCGTTTGTCACTGCGAACCCTCAGATGAATAAACAGGATGCCGAGAGCAGCACTCCCCTCCCAGGTCTCTGCTGTGGGGAATACGTTTCCACCAGCGCTGCCTAGCAGCACTCCCCAGCAGCTCCTGGGCTGGGATGACAGGAGTCAGGAGTGAACCAGGGCTCCTAGAGGAAGTAACAATTACTTCGGTCCTCTTTCCTCTCCCTCCTTTTTTCACCTTTCTTCCTCTTAGCAGCACTGCGCTGCCTGCACCCTGCAGCCCTCCGTCAACCCGCTCCTCTAAGTTTGGCTCTGGGAGAAGGCAAAGCTCTAAAACACGGTTTTGCCTCCAAACACCGAGCGTGCCCGCTATCGGCCCGCCCCTGCCCGGCACGCCGTCGGGCAGACTTACACCTGCAGCACGGGACAGCAGGCGCGGCAGCCCGGCACGGGACACCCGCGGGCCGGCCAGCAGCGGGCAGGACGCGCACACCGTTCGCTCGTGGCTCGCAGCCCTGTGTAAACCTCCTGATTTTTGCGCCTGCGACACGAAACCGCACAGCTGGCTGTCATTGCTGGTACCGCGTCCAGCGGGACACCCGCGGAGCCCCTCCGCGAGCCCCTGAGCACCGCCAGCCCAAGGGGCACCGTGTCGGGCAGGCGCCGGACCCGCCCTCGCAGCCCGCGGCTGTGCCCGGCCCGCGGACCCCCCCTCCCGCCGCGCACCGTGTTGTAGAACTCGGCGATGGCGGGCACGATGGTGTAGTTGTCCTCGCACCAGTCCACCTCGGAGCTGCCGGCGCGCAGCTGGTCCCACCACAGCATCGCGCCCATGGCGCCCGCCCGCCCCTGCCCGGCGATCGCGGCTCGGCGGGGCGGGGCGGAGCGGGGCGGCTCTCCTCCCTCCCACCTCCCTCAGCCCCGCCCTCGTGGCGGGACGGCCCGGCGTGCGGCGGTGGCTCGTGCGGCCTGCTCCGTGCCGTGGGGCGCTCCGCAGGCGTTTCTTTCCTGTTTCCCTGCCCTCTGCTCAGCGCGCAGCCTGCCCGCCTCCCTTCCTCCCGCTCCCAGCCCGCCCTCCTTTGTGTGCATTAACGGTACTCGTTCTAACGCTTGGATGAAAATGCCTGGCTTCTCACGTTCTTCTGCGCTGCTTTGCCCCTTGTCCTCCCGCTGCACCAGGCTGAACAGAGCCCGGCACACCATCTCGCTGCACCATCCTCTGCACTCCTGCATTTTGGGTTATTTATAAGCAGTGATGAAATCCCCTCTCGTCTGTGGAAGAAGCCACTTCTCAGTGGCTGAACAGACCCAGGCTTTCCACACAAAACAGATGCTCCAGATTCCTAATCATCTTTGTCGCCCTCAGCTGGACGCACAAGAAGTTTCCTTTCTTGAACAGAGCAGCTCAGAACGGGGCACGGTACTCTAGATGTGTTCCTGCAGGCACTTCCAGGTTCTTAGGCTGGAGATGGTACACCAGCTGGCCCAGCATTCCACACCCCCCCACACACACTTCCCACTGTCCGTCTGTCTGTTCATCTGTCTCTCCCTGTACAGTCACAGACAGTGCAGCAGACAGGCAGAAGAGAGCAAGCCTCTGGAACTCAACTACTGCATCTGAAGCAAAGGTTTCTAGCTTACTCAGGCCTTGGCCTTTTAAAGGTCTGTGTGCAGAAACACCTGGTCTTCCCCCCCAGAAGACAATTTGCACACAATGATGGTATTTCCTGTTTCAGCCATATCAACTGTTAAGTTCTAGGACAGATCTAGCAACTCAAGACAGTCTGCGACTGCATCGTTTGTCTTTTAATGAAAAAGGCATTTTTTCTAAGTAAAATTGGATGGAATACTTTTCCTAAAGAAACGATATAAGTGTAACCCTGATTCCCAATCATAGAATCATCAAGGCTGAAAAGACCTCTAAGATCATCTAGTCCATCACCATGTCCACTAAGCCATGTCCCTCACTGTCACATCTACCCCTTCCTGAACACCTCCAGGGATGGTAACTCCACCACCTCCCTGAGCAGTCTGTTCCAATACCTCACCACTCCTTTAGAGAAGAAATTCTTCTTAATATCCAACCTGAACATCATCTGGTGCAACTTCAGGGCCATTACCTCTTGTCCAATCACCGGATGCCTGGGAGGACAACCCTCACCTTGCTACAGCTTCCTTTCAGACGGTAGAGAGTGGTAAGACCTCCCCAAGCCTTCTCTTCTTCACATTAAACAATCCCAGTTCTCTCAGCTGCCCCCCAAAAGACTGTGCTCCACATCCTTCACCAGCTTTGTTACCCTTCTTTGGACAATCTAATTGTATGACATAGATGCAAGGCAGGATTTTCCTCTGAAGATGTCTCATGGCACTTGTTAGATTCCCCATGCAGCATGAGGAGGTATTTGACAGCAGTCAGCATGATTTAGCCATCAATGCAGTCCTAAAAATCTTTTTAGTGTCCCATGTGTCATGCCTGCTAGCCACATTGTCCTGCCAGTTGCTAACAATATGTAGATAGTCAATAGTTCAATTCTTCAAATTTTCTAGTTTTCAAACACTATGTCAACAAAAGTGTAATGCTAAGGCTGTATGTAATGCTTCTCTAAACAACTGTGCTCTCTTCCTCTCTGCTTTCTAAACGACATCAGGCAAAGTGAAAATTACTAAGAAATACCATTTTGCATCAGTATACCTGAGAGATAAAATCATGTCACTATGTGTCTTACTGTTCAGTCAGCTGGCATTATTCTCCTAAAGATGCAGACTGTCACTCTAGGATTTTGGTTGTGTCATTCCCAAGTTTTTATTGTAAAAACAAACAAACAAACAAACAAAAATTTTTAACAACATTTGAGAGTAACATCCATACCTGAGAACAGACATGCCCCACATTTTGGAGGTAGGTGTCAGTTGGAAAACCTCTGTTACATGTTTTTAAATGCTGCAAGCTCTCTCCAGAGAAAGTTTTGGCTTCCCTGAAGACACTTAAGCTTTTTTCAGCACTCCCAGTTCCTTTAAGCAATCCCTTTCCCAGAAGCTCGCTGCTTGCAACTCCTGGAGTCTCTGGCTGTGGTTTGTCAGTTGCACCAACTCTGGACTTCTCCTTTTCCTGCTCTAAGCAGATAGTACGATTGCTAAATTTGAACTCTTGCACAGTGGATACAGTCACATTAGCCCTGGAAAGCAAAAGCATGAAGTGGAAGGAAAGAAGTGCATTTCTAGCAATTAACAAAGCCGTCCACTCGGTTTCCACAAGGGACAGTTACTCAAGCTGCAGTGACCATGCAGCTACGTGCCCGCTTGCAAGGCCGGGCTGCCTCACATCGTCCCGTTACGTAGCTGCCCGTCGGCCCGCACCTGCGGCAGTGCCGGGGTTTAGGCGGGCCTGGAGTTTTTTCTGGGACTGCTCAACGACCCAACCTGCTCACGACAGCCGGAAGCAGCTCAACCACCGCCTAGCACTGACGGACCGGAAGCTGCCTCCCGCCACGCCCCCTGGCGAGAGAGACCTCGCTCGCCATTGGACAGCCGCGATCACGTGGGGGCGGGCGCGACGCTGGCGGGCCGCTCTCGCGAGGCTTGGCGAGTGTATGTGCGGGTTGCGGGCGGAAGTGCGGCCTTTTTGTGCGGCGGCGCAACTCGGGGAGGATGAAGGTAAGTCTGTGGAGGCGGCTGGGGCAGTGCTGCAGGACGGCTGGGTTCCCGCGCCACAAATGAGCCCGGCGCTGCCTCTGGGTCTGCTGATGGGGTCCGATGGGCTGCGACGGCGGGATCGGGGCGCTTCTGTGGGCTGGATGACGGTGGATTGCGGATGGTTCGAGATGGCGGCCGCGCGGCTCCGTGCCCCATGTTGGGGCCTCTTCCTGGGTTGCGGGCTCTGGGTTATGGGTCGGGTCGCTATGTTATTTAGACTCCTTACGACGGGCAAGAGTAGAAGGTTCTCACCGGGAGCAGCAGAGCCCCAGCGAGGAGGTATTGGAGCTGGGCCTGCTCCTGTGGCCTTGTCTCTGGGAAAGTGCTAGGCAGCTGTCCCCGAGACTACTGGCTCTGCAGGTAGCCCTCGGGAAACACAGGTGATGACTAAGGCATAGCACGGCTATTTCAGGTTGCCTGTGTTGTTTCTTTGATAATATACGTGCAAGGAAGGGAGTACAGCTTTCTGTTACCTGTACTGTCCTTTGCTTGTTGGCAGTCAGTTTAGAGGGCATAGTGCTCTACTTGTGGTGAAGATAGTTGTAGAGGGTTTTGTATCATTCTTGGCACACATGAATCTGCAAGTGCGGTAGTAAGAGGTTACTGCTAGTAAGCAAATAGAAGCTTTTGGATTTGAAATGTCAAGGTGAAGCTAGCAGTTCAACGCTAATTTTCTCGGGAAATGTCACGTGAGAAGTTTCAACTAAATTATTTATTATTTTTTTCCTACTGTTAGCTCAACATTTCTTTCCCAGCCACTGGCTGCCAGAAGCTTATTGAAGTGGATGATGAGCGCAAGCTGAGAACATTCTATGAGAAGCGAATGGCCACGGAGGTTGCGGCTGATTCTCTTGGTGAGGAGTGGAAGGTAAGAGTCAGAAAGATGTGTCAGGTGCAGTCAAGTTGCCTGAGTTTTCCAGTTGATAGGGAATTCTGTGTTACATATCTGGCAGGGATGTTGAAAGCATCTCTTAAAATGTATATGGAATTTAATGAATAGGCTAGGTTGTTCTTTTTTTTTTTTTTTTTTTTCAGTTCACATCTATTAAACTGTTTTGCTGGATTTTTAAATAGTTTTCTGTTCTTGATTTGGGTATCCTGCCAGCATTCAAGACAAATGAAGACTGTACCACAGAAGTCTTAATTGTGTACCGAACAAGTTCAAAGATTGTTTAAACTGTTAAGTGCACGTGAGAAAAGGCATGTTGAGCTTGATGGATAGTTTTGGAATAGCCAAATGTCAATATGGGCAGTCCAGCTGAGCTTGAATAAGCTGATATATGTTGCTGCTGTCTCCCCAAGGAAACCAATAAAAGCTGTTTTTTACCCCTGACTCTTTAGTAGAAACTCTTCTTTTGTATGCATATATGCAGTTAGTGATGTTAACAGACTTTGGCTAGGTTTAGCATGCAGGAGAAGAAAAGGTTAGTAGGAAGGGTTGGGGCTTAGTTTAATGTGTTTTATGCTAACTTTTAATAAATAGGAATTTGCTGCTTGGATACATTTCTGAAGAGGCAATACATGCTATTTGGTCTATGTAAAGACACATTTTACATCTCTGTTAAATAAAAAGCCCGAACTGTTGAAATGATGTTTGTTAAAGAAATACTTAGTGTCTGCAGTTACAGTAACATATCTCATGGTACAGCATTTGTTAGGAACAGGATGTTGTCATCTCTGCCTCTTCTCATTGAACTGATAGGGATGTGAGCAACTAAGAGGTGTATTTCTCTGTTTCTGCAGGGCTACGTTGTCCGGATCAGCGGTGGCAATGACAAACAAGGCTTTCCTATGAAGCAAGGTGTCCTTACTCATGGACGTGTCCGCCTTCTGCTCAGCAAGGGCCACTCCTGCTACCGCCCCAGGAGAACTGGAGAGAGAAAACGCAAATCTGTTCGGGGTTGCATTGTTGACGCCAACTTGAGTGTTCTGAACTTGGTCATTGTGAAAAAGGGTAAGGTGAAGCAGTCAGTAGATAGAAATAGGGCCCTGCTTGCTAGTGGCTGTAAAATTCTGTAGAATACAAACTGTCTCAGTCTTAACTAATGCACTTTGAAGTTCTTTAGACATCAGTCTAAATACACATTGAAGTTCTTTCTGAGCATTATATTGTAACTTTTAAAACTGATCACTGGGAACTGAAATATTTTCACTATCACAGCAACATTATTGCATTAAATCAGAAAGTGCAGTCGGAGGTTGTACTACTGGCAGGTGTACCCCAGATATTATCTATCTACATAAGCTGCTCAGAAAGTAATGCTTCCTATGTCTTTCTTTGGAAATGACAACAGATCCAAAGACCATAATAACATTATTTGATAGAGCAAGTTCTCAGCTACAGAATGCTACTTTTCGACGTAGGCACCACCATTAGCTATACATTTTCATCAGCAATGAACAAGAGCAAATGTAATAAAATAGGAGGCATTACTTTTGGAGCAACCCTCGTAGCATCTTGCTTTTATAATGCATGTTAAATTAAAAGGCAGATACAGTTTAAGAGATGCAGAGTTATTTAACGTATCTAAACTTGCTTTATCAAAGGTGAAAAGGATATTCCAGGGCTGACAGACACAACTGTGCCTCGTCGTCTTGGTCCCAAGAGAGCTAGCAGGATCCGCAAGCTGTTCAATCTCTCTAAGGAAGATGACGTTCGCCAGTATGTTGTGAGGAAACCTCTGAATAAAGAGGGTAAGAACTCAGGTTTTACAGCACTGTGATTGCATGTCATTTTCAGCAGATACTGAGTTTCATGAAGTGAATGATATATAGTAGTACAGCAAGGGGTTTACTGTCATAGTATTAAAGCTCTGTCAGCTGTTAATTTATGGATTAAACAATAGACATTTCCCTTTTTCCCTCATTTCCATCCCACCACTTTTCTCTCAGTCTACTTTGGCGGAGTTTGAGTTTAAATATTCTACAGATCGTAGTGCGTAGTGTCATTATTATGAGTTCTAATAATCTGAAAGGAATTTTAATAAACTAAGGACTACTTTGGGGTAGAATGTCCGTGAAACTTACACATTAGGTGGAGGAGAAGAGCAGGATTGTATAAAAGGTACTGTTAAGACTTTTCCCCAGTGCGTAGAACAAGCTACAAAATGACCTTTTCTTGAGAGGGCGCTGTTCTGCTGCCCATTCATCTGTTTTTAGAGCATGTAATATGTTTCTGTTGCATTTGATCAGGTAACAAAAACGGTAAGGATTAAAAAAAGGATTAAAATAACAAACTTAGTAAAGAATTGGCAGTACGGAAGCGTCTTAGGAAAAAGACTGAGAAGTGAAATCTTATTTTCTGCATCGTTGGAACTGTAGTGTCTGTTAAAGACTGTGATTCTTGTCGACACAAGACAGTGCTTGTGTCTACTGTAGTTAAGCCGGATTGAGTAGTGAAATTTTACAGATGTGTATGTGTAAATGGAATTCCAAGGTCACAGCCTGAAACCAATGGGTGAGCTATGTGAGTGCCTGGAGCAGATGGGGGGGAGGTTTAGAGCCACCCCTTCTGTCTCCATGATACCTCCCTTGCCATCTCAGTCTGCATGGGTTCCCCTTTCCCTTCACCCTTCTCTGCTGCAACATAAGGGGGAGGGTCACATCCTCAGCTCATCCTTTTCTCCAGACTCATACAGGGAGGGGTGAGTTAATTCCTCTTGGATATATTTTCCTATAGCACCTATTCCTCTGTCATTGCCTTCATTTGCCTTACAGTGTGTATTGTTTGTAGTAGAGTTCAGAAAGCTTGCTCTGAAATTGAGATGATAAATTTCCCAGTTATCAAAATGTTTTCGGTATAGGGAAAATGTTTTCTGACAGGTATTTTGAGAAGCAAAGTATCTTCACAAAACTGCAGAAATTTAGAGATGTGATATTTAGTGTTTCCCTACTGATAACAGATCAGTGTTAAGACTGTATTCTTTTAATGTTATATGGACAACAATTGGGTGATTTAGAGTTAGTGATAATAAGTGTTAGAGTAAGTGGAATGTGCTATTTTGCAGTGGCTAGAGGGGCTTATATCCTCTCTGGAAGATAGCTTGTCACACTACTGATTACTAATTTGTTTTAAGGCAAGAAACCCAGGACCAAGGCTCCTAAGATCCAGCGACTAGTGACTCCTCGAGTTCTGCAACATAAGCGCAGACGTATTGCCCTGAAGAAGCAGCGCACTCAGAAGAACAAGGAGGAGGCAGCAGATTATGCTAAGCTCTTGGCGAAGAGAATGAAGGTGCGTTTACCCCTCGTAACATGGCTGTTATCTCATGCCTGAGAATCATGACATTTTATAAGCGTAAAAATGTACTGTAGATAACTTTTACTGGTATCTGAATGCAATTGTGAATGTTTCTAGCAAACAACTTTGTGAAAGTTGCTATTCGCTTTTGCCAGTGCTGGGAAAGCAGTTCTATTGATGAGTTTCATCTGTTTCTGAGAGCTGATTTTGAAGAAAATAGTGGGCTGTTACAGCCCATGACAGTGGCATGTTTTTGCAGTATGAATTTTAGTTTAAATTAATTTGAGTCTGACTAGGATGCTCCATTAGAATCCAGAGTTTGTGTTTGAACGTAAACCAACAGTGATGGCTGAAGTAGTACTCCTAGGATATTTAGCACAATATTAAGTGTTTTGTGACTTCCAGACTGATGGAAGGTAGACAGACCTCTTGTATGTCCTGAATTCTTCATTAATATTTCCACTCTTACTTTGGAAACTGATCTGTATGGGTTGAAGACATATGAATTTGCACGGGTTTGGTACTTACAGAATTCTTTTGGTCTGGGAGCAGTTTAATTCTGGATTTTCTTTATGTGCTTAATAATGCCTAACACAACACTGTGCATTTCTTGATGGTTTTTGTTTTTTGCTTTTCGTTTTTGTTTTTCAGGAGGCAAAGGAAAAACGCCAGGAGCAGATTGCTAAGAGACGCCGGCTTTCTTCATTGAGAGCTTCTACATCTAAATCTGAGTCAAGTCAGAAGTAAAGATGTACATGATACTGAAAATAAAACCCTTTTGTGGTTAAATTTTACTGTGAAACTTCAGTGAATATAATCCTTGGCGATGTCTTAAAATAAATGGTAGTCTAGACTAACTGCAGCACTCAGACCTATATGGAAACTCAGTCTGTTCTTCTTAAGAACTTGTAATGCTTTTTGTGAAAAGCTCCAGTTTACCTTGTGCATACATATGGATCTTTTAGAAGCAACATTTACCTGCTAGAACAAAACCTGATCTTGTGGTTCAGAAATAGTTTGCTTTTTTCCCAGTCTTAAACATTAGATAGTGTTTCCAGATGAGGGACGAAGCCATTTGCTTTGAGTATATGGTAAACTCTACTGCCTTAGGTGATTTTTGGAAGAGTTAAGTGCAGATATTTCACCATTTTGCTCTTTAAATCATTACTGGTACAGAGAATGAGTAAGCCATCTACCAAAATGTTTCATTTAATAATTTCAGTCCTTTAACTTAGTCCTAGTAGTCTGCATGTATTTAGAATGTATTTAAGTTGTATTTTGTGGAGATCAATCAGTTTTAAAGGAATTCTGCTGCAACTGCATATAAATTAATTGATGATGGAATAGGATGTGGCAAGATCTTTAGGTGCCCTCAAATAGTCAGTATCTACTTCAGTATTTCCTTCACATTTGTGCTTCTCTTTCAAGTACAAAAACTTGAACTCATAAAGCTTTACCACCACTGTAGAAATCAGAGCTGCTGAACAGGTGATTTGCTGGCAGTGGAAAATGGACATGGAAGGATCAAATTAACCATCCTTGAATTATGGTTTGAATTAGGAATTGAAGCATAATCATTTCCAACTCAGAGGCAGCTAATAAGGTAGTGTTCAATCTGTCTATCTGTTAGCACTATACCACACTGCCACAGGTTTTGCAGTAAGGTTTTGCATAGCCAGCAGCTGCAGCTGTCATCTTAACATCAGTTCAAAGTCTGTGATACAGAACATAGGTGACAAACATTAAGTGCTGTCTGGCAACAGTTGCTTGTGGTGATGGGATGGCTGCTCCACAAGGCTGAAGTTGTTCAGAAAGCTTGAAGCTCAGCTGTGAAATAGGTACCTGACTTTTCAGGAAAGTAATGGACTTTGGATACAACTTGATCTATTGCTATGTGGATCTCCACAACCATGGAACTGAAGTCATTTCTCCCACAGTAACTGCTACAGGGCTGTCCCTGACTCTTGCAACTAGAACAGCGCTGGTACTGCATCAGTGTTCTGGCTGTTGCTGAGTGGTTCTGACACAGCAACAAGGCTGGCTCTCAATCCTCTCCAAAGGCTGGGAGGCTAAAAGTGAGCAAGAGGCAGGTTGGTCACAGGGTAGACAAACTACATCATACTAAGCAATAAAAGCTGGGAAAGGAAGAGGATGCTGAACAGCATGTCTCTCTAACTCCTGTGCATATATTGAGGGGCCTTGCTTCCCAAGATATGGTTGAACCTTGCTTGATGTGATGTAGAGAAGAATTATTCTCTCCCTCTGCTTCTGTTTTATTTATGAAATGACTCTTTTCTCAACCCATCAGCCTTTTTTCATCTTATTTTCTCCTCCTTGCTCTTTCAAGGAGGGGAAGTGAAAGAGTGGCTCGCTGGGGCTTAGCTGTGCGAAATCACCCCAGCAGAGCACCACGGGGAACAGTAGCAGTGTCTTCCCCCTTGCTGCCTCAACAGGTACCACCAAATGAGATTTCCTCATCCAGCCTTCTGAATCTTCTCTAGGCTGAACAGCCTTTCTCACAAGCACTGAGTGGCACAGAAGGATCACTGCTGTCCACCTCTGCTGTATTAGGATTGCTGTCTTTCATGTAAAGGCATGCTCCTCAGTCATGGTGATACTGGATCCCTGAGGAAGCTTAGATTGTTTCTGCCACGCTGCGCTCCAGCCCATACTGGTACGTGAGGTTATTCCTCTGCAGGTGTAAACTTTTTAGCAAGCAACATTATTGAAGATGGCAGAGAACCTGTGAACAAACAAACAAAAAGCAACCCAAAGTCTTAGCAGTGCTAACAAGGTTATAAAAGAAAGATAAGATAAACTATTCCTGCAATTTCCAACTCCTGATGATATTCACAAGCTGTTCCTGTTATGCATTCTTGTTTGTTTAGGTGTCTGGTTCTGCTATTTTTACTAGCAGATTAATGAACTGGCCACCATAAGGGAAAGCATTTGAAAGACATTCAATCAGAAAGACCTGAAGCACTTGCCAGTAACTGGCAATATCTACTCTTCAAATTTTGTCTGTCAATTTTATTTATTGTTATTTAGAACCTAAACATGAAAACAGGAGGTAGGAGACTCGCCAGCATCTCTTGTGATCTGCAGGGGTGCATTGCTGAAAGCATAACTCAGCAACTTCACTGCTAAGTTACTGAAATAGACCTCACAGCAAGTGTTTGTTTAATAACCTGCAGCCACAAACCTGTTCTCGTGCACCTGATTAACGATGCTTTTCCTGGTGAGCAGAGAGCAGTAACAACTCTGTGATTACAAAGCCATGGTCCATGTCTTCCCTTTAAACACAGCTTCTGCCTCCTTCAGCCTGTTTTTCATTTTTTTCTCTAGCTATGCTAGTCTTATGTATATGTGGTTTGTTTATGGTCCCTCAGAGCCATCTTCTCTTATAAATGAAATCTGCCCAAGACAATGGTATCCACAGTGGTCAGTGGCTGAAGTTCCAGACGGAGATCAGTGATAAGTGTTGTTCCTCAGGGGCCAGTACTGGGACCAACACACTTAATACCTCCTCAATTATATTAACAGTGGGATCGAGTGCACCCTCAGCAAGTTTGTGAGCGACACCAAGTTGTGTGGTATGATCAACATACCCAAGGGATGGGATACCACCCAGAGGGACCTAGACAAACTTGAGCAGTGGGCCCAGGAGACCCTCATGAGGTTCAGCAAAGCCAAGTGCAAGATCTTGCGATTGGATCACAGCAATGCCTGCTATCAGTACAAGCTGGAGGACGTAACATTAGAGCACAGCCCTGCCAAAAAGAACCTGGGGGTACTGGTGGATGGGAAGCTGGACATGAATCAGTGGTGTGCCCTCACAGCCCAGAAAGCAAACCATATTCTGAGTTGCATCAAAAGATGCATGGGTAGCAGGCCCAAGGAGGTGATCTTGACCTTCTGATCTTCACTGGTGAGGCCTCACCTGGAGTACTGCATCCAGTTGTGGAGTCCTCGGGACAGGAGATACATGGAGGTGTTTGAGTGATTTTGTTTCTGGTTGGTTGTTTGGTTTTTTGTTTTCAACAGTGGTGAGGCACTAGAACAGGTTGGCCGGAGAGGTTGTGGATCCCTGGAGACACTAAAGGTCCAGCTGGATGAAGCTGTAGGTGTCCCTGTTCATTGCAGGACATTTGGATAAGATGATGTTTAAGGGTCTCTTCCAACTCTAATGATGCTATGGTTCTACAAATCTGGGTGGTTTTTTTTTCTCTCTCTGTCCCACTTCAACTGTTCTAGCTCTTTCCCACTATTAAGAATTCATTAAGATGCTATGAAAAAAAGGCCCAGAAGGCAACTGAAAGTCTCTGAATTTGCAAAACTATAGGCTCAATTTGCATTTAAAATTAAATTCTGCCGAACAGTCGAATAATTGAGACTTCACAAGGGATTTATACTTACTTTATTTTGCAAAACACATTAAAAATCGTTTCTTAATCTAGGATATCTATACAAAATTCAGAATATGTAGAGTGCCCTTTTAAACTCAAGCAACATTTTTCAAATTTACAAAAACATTACAGAGAAACACTTGTTAATCAAAGCACAGTAAATGGATGCCATTTTTCAACAGTTCAAAACAGTCTCTAAACCAGTGCAAATTTTATTGCATTACAGAAAACTTTCCAACTCAATAAATTCATAATTATTCACACCACATCCTTTCATCCTCATTACAATACAGTTTATTTTAAGCTCCTAAAAGGAGTTTAATGTGCTTCTAAAAACAGCAAACAGTCCCTTTTATTTGCACCACTGACTGATGCAGACTGAAAGACAAAAAGGAAAAGCAATCAATTTCTCTCCTCACATGCATGATATACAGCACAGTAGAAAACAGAACTAGAGTTCCATTCAGAACTTCAGTCTCAAGCTTTAGAAGTTAGAATGGTGTCTCATTTGTTTTTTTAAAAAAGGCCAATGAGGAAAAGCTGATACAAAGAAGGCACTTTGAAGTTTTTATTAGTTGGAACTGGAAAAAAAGAAGCATCTGTGAATAAGATATCCAGCTTAACACTTAATTAAAGTTATCTGCACTGAAGTAGCTGTTCAGTTAACTTTAAGAAGAGAACTTACAAATTTTAAAATGAGAAACTACTGTGTGAATTTTTCACCCACTTATATTTTAACGAATTATTTTTAAAATGTCATTTCAGTGATCTGATTTAGCACACATCTTGGAAATAGGCCACTATGTTGCAGCTACTGAAATAAAATAGTAAATGCAATGACAAGCACATTCTTCTAGCTGCAACAATACAAAAAGCCATTAACTCAAAGTGGAATAAAATTACTCAAGAGTCCAATGCAGCTTGAGCTTAACCAACATTTCTATTTCTTGTTTCAATTCTGCAAAAATTATGTATTTTGTTAGAAACAGACAAACTACTGACAATATCTGGGTGAAAGGTGCTAGATATCTTACCAATGTAACTGACAGCAATTCAGCATTCTTAGGGCTAGGGAACTTCTCTCTGTAAGGTTTGTTACTGTAACAAAAACTTTCCAACTTCTTGGGCTCACTTGAAATTCCACTAAGAGTGGAATTCTGCATATGTTAACAGGCTGATTAGCACCCTCATTCTGTACAAACACTACAAGTTCTGAATGTAATATTTGTCTACAAACATTTTCTTCAAGTTCATACGTAAGAATTCCAATGCACATGCAAAAGAACCATGTCCTCCTTAGCACCAGCTGTTCAGTTACATGCCAGACTACAGAGAATATTCAGAGGCAAGGATAAGTGAGAAAATGCTATTATTTCTGTTTACACTGAGAGGCAAACAGAAGCAAAAACCAAGCTTATCTCCCTCCCTCCTCCTCAGCACCTCTGTTCCATTGTTTTATGCATTATGTATTCATATAACTTTGGAATACTATGTGTAGGCGTGAAATAAAAACATTTGTAGGTAACTAGGACATTCCTACATAGTCCAAGAAGTTCACACTGTTGATAACTGCAGAGAAGAATGTATTCTGCCTTTACTGATTTATTTTCAGAGGGACAAAAGTGTTTTCCAGTTGACTAATATTAAAGCAGGAACAAGAAGTGCCATCATGTACCAGAGAGAAAGCAATATAGAAGCAAACCTTTGGTTCCCAGTTCAATTATTATTATTATTATTTTGTGAACACTCTTTTTGTGGTTTTATTGTCTTATTTTCTTAAAAAAGCATCTCCTTATCTGAAAACTAACTGAAAAAAATAGTTTAAAAAAATTCAGAGTTCTCTTTTTTCTCTTTTTTCTCTTTTTTTTTTTATTAAAGAACTAGCCGAATTGTTAGGTGTTACAAAAATCCAAGTTATAAAGAGTAAGTGCTCACTTTTGCCTCTGTATCTATGTTAGAAGAGTTAATTTCAGTAGGCATTTCATGACTTTAAGTAATTCCAAGCAGGAATTCCACTATTCTGAAATTCAGGTACAAAACAGAGGAATAAAAGCTAATTTGTAGTGTACAAAAACTTCAGTACACAGAAACAAATCAAAGCAAGTTAAACTCTCTGCAAAGATGACCTAAAATCTTGCAGTGATCCTTCTCAGCATTGTTATTTTTTCTGCTCTAGTTTAGTCATGTACCCAAGTTAGCACTAGATGCTGTGACACAATTTACTTTGGCAGTTTCTATAATAATACTGCCAATTAATTGCCCAATTTTCAGCAAAAGATGAGAAAGCTGTTCTTCAATGAAGGTGATCTGCATACTACTGTTACTTATTATTATCTCATTTGCAATGGTGTAAAAGTAAATTGAATGTCACCAGTTCCATAAAAAAACACTTAATGGATACACTTTTTTTCAATTTAATGAGCTTGGAGATTTTAACAGTCACTATAAGGTTGCCTCCTTATACGTTGTGTCACGATCAGAAGGTTTATCCAATGAACGCTCAATTATACTTGCATAGCTGTATGTTTAAGATCAGTAGGAAAATATAAGATTTGCCTTTTTATATATAGAATTATTAAAGTATTTGGAAGAATGCTTTAGAGATTTAATCTGTTTAAAAAGATGGAACCATGCATGTAAGTTGTCTAAAAGGAGAAGAGGATAAAATATCAAGAATCAGGCTCAACTCTTCCATTGATATGGAGGTCTGAAATCTGTAAGCAACTATTTATAAAACCCAAAGAATAAAGAACATAAAAGAAAAGTTGTGTTCTTTGCTTTTAACTGTTGAAGTAGCACAACATTTTCATCAGGAGAGAATCTGTCCAGGCAATATCCCCGTACTGAATTAGGACCAGCACTGTTAGACAAATGGCAAGAATCAGTCTATAATGCAAACATATTCTGTCATAAAGAGTGCAAATCCATTGTTTCAGTCTTTCAAGAAAAGTTGTTTTTGTTGTTTCAGCTAGAACCTCCCTCATCAAGAATAACAACTTTGAAGACTGGTATGAAAGTGAATGTAGTTCCACCCATATGGAACTACAGTTTTAGCTGTGCTCCTTTAACATGCTACAAATCCTTCTGTTCTTTCTCCAGGAACAACTGTATGAGAAAAACCCATCAGTAAATTTCAGAAAAAAAAAGAAAAAAAAAAAACCTGGAATAAATCTTTCCATATTTCTCAAGTAACAGACAAATTTAAACTACACAGCTATGTCCAGGCTCTTCTTTTCCAAAGATATGACCGCTGTTGTCAACTAGTATGTGAGGTGAGGAAGTGTCTTATCTAATAGAATCAAGCTGAAGGTGGATTTACGTTTTTAGATCATTCATTCAAGCAATTCATTTGTGTGAAGTCACACCTTGAAGACCGTATTTATAAATAAATTTTAATTGAAATATTAAATTTGGACTATCAGTGCAAAACAATTAACCCACAGGCCAGTATGAAACCATGGGGGAAGGTAATAAAGATTTCAACAGAAAGAAATTTTCAAAGCATACTTGCATGCAGTATAAAGCATGTTTTGAGATAAGGTCTGTTTGACATACCTTCTCTCAATCCCATTGTCATATAAGCTTCCTATCTTGCAGAAAGCCTTCAACTTCTGAGCCACTTAGTGTAGAAGCCTATAATTCCTTTGCAGAAAACAGCAGTATGTCCATATGATCTTCAATTTGTTTGACAGACAGGACAACTGGGAAGTTACTAGGTTTTACAACTGTAGGCATACACTCAAAGACCATTTTGAATATTAATTGGAACAAAGGTAAGGACAAAGGTAGCAATTTTAGGTACTGTGATCTGTTAGAAGCAACTGCATTGCAATTTCCAATCCAAGGACTCAAATATTTACATGCATACATATATACTGCACAACAATGCAAAAGATCCCCTTGAAGTAAAGGTCATTTTAAAGAAGTACTGAAGGACTTAAACAGTCTGTATCAAGAAACGTCTTTCATTAAAATACATTCCTTGATATTGATAGCCTTTAGGAAACTTACCAACTGTAGTTTCCTATTTAATTATCACCTTTCTGAACAAGTTGATATTGAAGGGGCAAAGATTTAAGGAAAAGAAAGGAAAAACATACACAGGAAAAAATGCAGATAAATCACTGAAACCAACTCACCTTATTAAAACATTTTACAAACATTTTAACATACTTTACACTGTGTCTCATGAGATGAAAGACAAGGTTATACACTGTAGATCCATGAAATTACTGTGACAAGTTGCTCAATTATCACCTTCTACTATTCAAAAGCATGTATGTATATCCCCATACTCCTTTTTTGTTCACCTGCTTTTGTCTTGATGAAGTTTAGCATGTGGTTTCCTCATTTTTATATTAAAGGTGCTCCAAAGTACTTCCGACAACACTCAACTCTACTGCTTGGTGGTGCATCTATTTTCTGCATCTTTTCAAGAACATCTTGTGGCAGATTTTTATGTGCAAGTCTGTATTCGCTATCAAAGACTTCTGAAATACAAAGAGCATTATTTAAGTTGTTTAAGAAACCATGTCTAGTGCGCAATACTTTTCCTATAAAAATATTTCTGGTGATTTTTATAGAATAAAAAATATTATCTTAGGATAACTGAACTAGCTACCGGGTTTTTTTTCCAAAAAGATTCTATCAAAGAAACAAGAAAGCATTTAAAGGCTGAAACATCAAAAAGCATTGTAGTGAAAGCACAACAGGCAAAGAGTTCTGCTTCCAAGATACTTCATGTCACATGGCTGTGAGTGAGTCCCATTGCTTGCATGTTGCCAAACAAATGTTAGAGGACAGCAGGATGGGATGGGCAAGCAGCTATGTAGAAAACACAGAGCTAGTGCAAGATATGTGAGATGGGAAAAAAAAGAAAAAAGGCAAGTTCTCAGTCTTGCAGTAACACTTCAAGATAAAGGTTGTTTAAGATAATTTAACACTTGTTTCATAGAATCAGAGATCATTAAGACTGGAATAGACCTTTAAGATCATCTAGTCCAACTGTCTACCTCCCACCAATATTGCCCACTACCTCCATAATTACTACACCTACCCTTTCCTTAAACACCTCCAGGGATTGTGATTCCACCACCTTCCTGGGCAGTCTGTTCCAATGCTTAATCACTCTTCCTGAGAAGAAACTTCCTAACATCCAACTCAAACCTTCCCTGGCACAACTTAAGGTTACCCAGGAGAACTGATCAAAATCCACTTCGCCACAACCTCCTTTCAGGTAGTTGTAGAGAGACGTAAGGTTTCCCCTGAGCTTCCTCCTCTCCTCATTAACAATCCCAGTTCCCTCAGCCACAACCCACTAAGACCTGTGTTTCAGACTCCTCACCAGCTTTGCTGCCCTTCTCTGAACACACTCCAGGGCTTCAATGTATTTTGTGTAGTCATGGGCCCAAAACTGAACATAGCACTTGAGGTGCAGCCTCACCAGCGCTGAGTACAAGCAGACAATCACTTCCCTGCTCCTGCTGGCTGCACTATTTCTGATACAAGTCAGGAAGTCGTTGGCCTTGGCCACCTGGGCACACTGCTGGCTCATGTTCAGCTGCACTGCAAGGGGTAATCATTTCAAAATTAATGGCCCTGTGTGGACTGAATTTTCAGAGAAGTGGAAAGTACTTCAAGAGTGACAGCCTAGCACTTTTCTTTAAAATGCACAAGTGAAAAGTTACTTAGAAATACAGATGTCAATTTTCTTCACTGGTTTTCATATAGAATATTCACATATGTTGTACACATATCACATACACTACAAAATTCACTGTATTTTTCACTTACCAATGTCAATGTTCTCTCTTCCAAGAGATACCAGAGACAGGAACAGAATTTCTCTGTAAAAACTCCTAGGAAATATTTTGAAGGGTAAATAAATGAACTTGCCAACTATTCTTAGTTTAAAAAGACACTACTCTTCCATTATATAGTTTCTGCAGCTGTTCTTTTAATCATGTTTGTGAAGAATCTATGTGATCTACATGTCCAATAGCTTGAGGTTTTCTGAAGCCTAAGTATTTGCCATTAGATTATGAAGCTGTATTAACCATGGATCTCAGTAGTTACAGTAGCTCTGAAAATCTCCCTGTCGAACATTTCATACAGCCCCCAGAAAAACAAGAAATGTAGAATCAAGCTTCAACTCTATTAATTCATTTCTGCCTGAGGGTGAAATACATAGAGAGAACTTATTTCACAGATCAGCTATACTTTTTTTGCTGTTTGTTTCAGAAAGTAAAGATCTCTCTCAGAAGGGGTACTATCAAACTGGGTATTAATATTTACCTTGTGAAAGATTCTCCTTTAGGCAGATCAATCTTGTTTGTTTTTTGTAACTACAAACCACAGAAGCACAGTTCAATAGACTCCTGAATGCACTTTGGAAATTACATACTTCAGACTGTGCTTTTGTATGAAGCCCTTTTTGAATTACACAAATGGCAAACAGAGTGTCTCACTTCACTTGGGATTATGTTGCATCCCATTCTATTAGTCACTTCTACAAGTTGGCAAAACTTCTGTAGCTGTATCTAGGCAGTTTGTAGACTATTCCAGATTATGCAACAGCATGCTGCACTTCTGTACTTAGTTAGATGTGGGGCAACACTAAAATACACAAAGTACCTATATCTTTTTGAATTCATTTTTAAATTCATTAAATTCATTAAATTAAATGAATTCATTCTGATTAAATAGTTACATTTGTTTGATTTTGGATGAATTCTGGCTACAGAATGCATCTATTTGTAAACACAGCATTAAGAATTAGACACAGTGTTGAGTGGACATAAAAGAACATTAATATTCCCTAGAAGTCCTTATGGAATTCTCAGTGTGAAAAGTATATGGTCTGATCTTTAACTCTGAGTGGCAAGAAAGTAAAAAGAGATTTTCACTTTACCTCTGTCGTTTCACATCTGGTTTAACTTTCTGTAGAAGGAGATGGATTGGTTTAACGACGTTATTATGCTGAATACTCAGTTTAATGTTCTCCAACAAAGTGTTTGTTGCCTGCTGATCTTCTGCCACTGTAGAGGGTTTCTTTTCAGAAGAATCTGGTTAAATATAGCAGTTTAGATTCTTAGTACAGCAAAGATAAGGGTTGTTTTTTTCCAGTTCAACATGCAGAAGGCATTTCAGAAAGTGATATATATGTACAGAATCTCTACTCAGTTTACACAAATGCATCACCACAGAAAGGCTCTGTCTCCTTCTAGACTTTTCTTCATCGCAAATGGGAAGTATCCAGACTCTCAAGATCCCAGATGACAGAGAAGTACAAGAGACTATAGAGTCTCCAGCTTCATATGTTAGCTGTGATAGTTTAGATATATTGCTGTAATTAACCTTCTTGGAATGAAATTTAGATTTTTTTTTTTCTTTTCCTTTTTTTTTTCCAAAAGAAAACACCATCAAATTTCCCAGGAAATTCACTTTCTTGAAATTCACTGATAACTCAAAACCAGAACTGGCATGCTGCTACAAAAGTTACTGTGAAAACATGCTGAAAATGTGCAGATTTTAAAAATTAAAAAGCAGGATGAGAAGTTAGGTCAACAAAAGAATTTTTACTGATCATCAGTAAAGTAATTCTCAGAACCAGTGTGCCACATGTGATGATTTTTCATTCTTCCAAACTAAACAATAATAGACAAGGGTTTTCTTGGATCTCAGTTTTTGGCAGTCAGGTAGACTGCCAAATGCATTTATTAATGGGATTTGAAACCTTTCATTCATTTATAAATACTATAGATACTATTTCGAAGTACTGTTTTCTACTAAATTACTGTACAGCTGTAACCAGATGATACCAAACATTCAAATCACGTGAAGCTTATTTAATAGTGAATTAGAACAAATCCTCCCTTCCTGTGTGTAAGTGTATAGCATATGAAGAACTGGTTACATTCTTTTTCACAGAGATCAGAAAATACTGTCACAAATAATTTGACTCTTGAGACTATGTTGAGTATCTAAGGGATTGTAAATACTTCCTATACTAAAAATGATACCCAGCTCTATGAGTGTTGTAAACTTTACACACTACAAGGCAACTATTTCTTTCTGCAGCCTCTACTCCCTCTGCTTTCTTGAAACATTTGTTTTACTTACTGAGATTTCTCCAGGATATATACAGAGGCTCCCCTGGCTCTTGGTGGAGGTTGATATTGTCCCACAGAAGTTGGATGTATACAAGCTTGCTATCTTGAGCAAGAGATGTCAAAGGAAGCTATAAACATGAGAAAAAGGAAAAAGAAAAAAAGCACACTTACTGTATAAATCTGCTCTTGTACTCATTTTGCAAACAATCAAACAAAAATATTTTATTTCTCTTGAATCTAACAAACAAGTAAACTGATCTTCTAAGAGGAAAACTGCATTTAACAGGAACAAGGTACAGCAACATTTTATAGTTTAGCTGGACATACAAAGATTGCTTATTTTTCTATGAAAATTTGCAGAATATATTTGACTATGCATCCTAAACTAATTCTTGTGTGTCAAATATGTTACTCTTGTTTGTACTACTTATTAAAATACAACTTTCTGTCTTTTGATTCAAATAAGACTTGGTAAGCATATTTATGTGCTGATAACACCAACAACTAGAAATTCTGCTTGCATAAATATATCAACCATTTATTTCCATTATAAAATACGTGCAATAAGTAGCAATACTTATAAATAGAAAGCGATAGCTCCATAATTGTTTTATCAAATTAAGAGCCTCTGGGACCAGAACACTAATATACAATACTAGTGAATACTAATACAAGAATTAGTAGACAAAAAAACACGCCAGCAGTGTATTAATTTCAATTAGTAAAATTTCATATCTTATGTTGTGATTTTCCCTGCTAATATATCTGTTTTTCCAAATGCTTCAGGTTTTATTGGTATTGGTCTTCTGCTACACTTTTAAAAAAACTGCTCCAAGGTGGTTTTTGGAAATTGAAGAACAAAATCTTAGAGTGCTTATAAGTAGATATGACATCACTAGTTCATCGCAAGAGCTGCATACAAATACTCATGGAATTTGGGTATTTGATCATATATGTATCTGAAAATATCTCTTCCTTTAGATGGGAAAGGCAAAATATTCAAAAGATAGCATCAATTATTTAGTTCCATTTATGGATGAAATTCCCTCAGTGTGAATAGCAAAAACTATTAGCAGAAAAGAAAAAGAATCTTGCCTAATAACTTCAAAAACATATATACCAAAGCACATGATCCACCACATACACATAACAACATACTGTAAACAAGATCTCCACAAGCACACACATTGCCTTTAGTTAATCTTATTCTTTGTGTTTTTGTTGTTGTTTTTTTTATTTAAACAGGAACATATAATTTCTTAAGTTCAAATTGTTCATCAAGGACTTACCTATTTTTTTTTAATCAAATTCTCACATTTAAGGTACTGTATCAGCTTCAATTCTAAGTAGAGAAAGTTACTAACCTGCACTCCATCATTACAATGTTCAGATGTTAGAATAAGTCCAGGTAAATTGCTAGGTAGATCCAACCTTCGGAAATACCAAACCAAGTTCCAGAAGATTATGGGGTGTTGATTGATGAATTTGGATGTATGAATTACTTGCTCTCCCTCATTTTCCAACAGAGATTCAAGCTCCTTACGCAGTACCAAAGGACTCAAGTAGGGTACTGATACAGGGAGAGGATTAGGTCTTTCAATTAAAGGATCCTAAAAACAAAACAAAAATTCTTACTAGAATTTTACTTTAGAATTACTTTCCCTGAAAATCCCCCATTGTAACATTCCTTTTGACATTTGGAAGAACATACACTAGCAGTATCAGCAGTTTTGACTGTTGAGGTGTGTCTTAACTTTACAGCACAATCATCTAAGCTCATTTGCTTTCTCTTATATGAAAAAAGATAAAATGCTTATCTGTTACAACTTGTCTCTGACTACACAGTTCCAAGCTGCCTAAGCTTGTACTAAGCCAGTGGCAAATGGATATAGCAGAAAATTTTTTAATTACATCATGTATGGTACTTAATCATGAGTACTTGTTAAGGCAGCCTCTTGCCTATAAAAAGCACTAAGAGAGAGGAGGAACTCAGCTTCTGTTGAAAAACTAATGTAATAATCTGAATATGCCTCCTACTTTTTCCCAATCAAACCATCAAGTAAGTCTACTAGAATATACAGGAGAAGTCTAAGTAAAAGCAGGAAAGAGGAACAGTCTTTCACTCGTGGCCTGCTGTGTTGTCTACATTGTGCGTTAAGTCTTCTGTACTTGTTATTTTTAAAACAACTTTCCAGCTTTAGAAAGACAAAGAGTAGCTCAGTTCTGATAAAGAGAATACATTCAAACTGAACCAGGAAGACACCAAGATTTGTCATAAGAATATGAAAATAAACTTGACCATTTTTATTTCCAAAACAGGCAACAAAGCTAGGAGCAGAACATTATTCATTTTAAATTCACTGCATTCAACACTTTATTGTCAACTCAGTATGTGACTTTGAAACTTACCACAACTTCTTGCAAACTATTTGGAAGACTAACTGTTGAAATGCCATGAGATGGTCTCTGGGAAAGATCAATGTTTTGCAGTGGACCTCCAACACTGTGGCTTCGAGTTAAAGACACTCCCCTTTTTAGAGGATTATTAGCAGACATCTTCATGGTTCTGAGATCTTTGCTCTGTTCTTCTGCAGCTTCACTGTTTCAATTTTAGAAGAGAATATGCTAGTATGAACGATTCAATATTCCATTAGCAACAAGAAAGGAGCAGAGAATGGCCATCAAGTAAGTGCACGGAACCAAGTTTCTCTATCAACAAGGAATTTGCTTAATTAGCTCCACAGTTAAGGGAAAAACAGAATGTGTCTCTTAAGTTAATGAGTCTCAGACACACACTCACACACACGCACAAAAAAAAAGAAACAAAGAAAACAGGATAAGTATGCCTAAAGCATCAACCTGAAAATGCAGCAGTTCTATACAGGCCTCTGGCATAACCTTATCATGCTCAAAAAACCCAGCATGTTATAGTAGCAATGTAAAGTTTTGTCAATACACAAAGATTTTAATCTTTGTTTTGATAAAAATACTACAGGAAACAAAGCAGTATGTCTGCCAAAAAGGAAGTAAAAGGTTTTCAAAAATAAAAATTGTTAGCGCTAAACTTTACCAAGATAATTAAAGCAAACTCCTACTGTTGGTCATCAAATGAATGAAATCCAACTACTTGCAGAATACACCTTTTACGTTCTTTATAACAGAATCAGTGCATAAAAGTAATTCAAGTACAATACAGAACTATAAAATAACAAGAGAAACAGAAGCCGCCTGCTTCCAAATGATCTGCAGGGAGACAGAAATGATTAATTTAGAGGGGTGGATTTTTAATTTGATTTTGTTAACCAGAGATAAGAGTTTAACATTCTACCTTTCATTTTAAGAGAACTAAGACCAACTGCTATAACAATGATGAAAGTTTTAACAGTCTGAGAGAAGTCTTAGTATGAGATATTCGAGGGTTCCAAACTGAACGATGAAAAAGATATTCCACCAAAATATAAGCAAATCCCAGCAAAACCTTCACAGCAACAATATCTCAGTTCTTTCGCCTTCCAATATAGCACCTTTTCCTCAGTGCTTCTTTCCTCAAATTATCCAAAAAGATTTACAATTTGAATTGTCACAATACTCCCTCAATGTACGTATAATCATTCCAAAGACTTTCTCTCAAAGAATTCTGCAGCAAATATACTTTTTTTTTTTTTCCTAATTATGTAGTGTCCTGCTATGATTCTAAACAGAGAAAGGAAGACAAATGCCAGAATTTATCTTTAAGAGCTGAAGGCCTTCTAACAGTACTGAGTAGAAGCCTTACCTATTTATAGCAAACATAAAGATTCAAGTTCTATTTCTGCGGACAGTTGTATGCCTAGACGGCACTCATTTACAGGAACAGGCTCACATTATATTGATAATAGTACACTTAAAACACAGAAAAAGAATAAGAAGAAACAGACAATCAAGTTATTATAGTTGGATTTTTCCACAATGTATGGTGCTTAAGCCAATTTTCACTATACAAATAGACTAAGAACACTGGAAAGTGCTGATACATTTCTGACAGAATTACTCTTTTCTACCTACCTCTGCTCAGCTGTGGAGCTTGATTCTTCAGCTATAGTATGGCTGGACTGTGGGTGGTCTGAAAAACTGATCAAGTCAGTAACAGCTGAACTGGACAGCAGCTTCTGCTCCAGTAGATCCGTGGTTAATGGAGTATTACTACTTTGTAAACTATCTCCTGAGGTACTTTGCTTCAGGAAAAAGCTAAGTTAAAACATGAATGGGAGATGAGGGGAAACAGGCTAAGATAAAAACATACATTCATTTAAATAAGTTTTTCCAACATTTACTTTCAAAAGGTAGCAAAAATCAAGAAGAACAACATTTAAAAGCTTGACAATGGTGACATAATCTTCATCTTGTTCTCTCCATGATAACTTAGAAAGGGAGAGTAAATGAAAACATAGAGAAATTATATTCACAAAATAAGAAATCCTACCCTATAGTGTAAGGATATATAGTTACAAGAAACTTAGTTTGTAATGGTTCTCAACCAGGAACAGTATATCAATACCAGACGTATCAATAAAGACAGCTGTTACTGTAACATAACTGTAGAAAGTAGAAGATTGGGTCTGACCATGGACACAAGAAAACAGCAACAAGTTTTGCAAGTGTATTCTGAGAACACAAACTAGCAATTTGTGTTTCAGCATTAAAGAAACAAAATGAAAACAGACTCACTACTCACTGTGCAACAAAGCTTACCAAGAAAATATCCAGACTGATAAAAAATGCAACCACTTTTCTTTTGACTATTTTACTACAAGAGTCAACAGTTCACACAATTTATAATTTCCTTTAGTACAATTGAAACTGTTGGACAGTTACATTCCTAAAAATATCTAGACCAAAAATACTGGAAGGTATAACAAAAATACTTTCATGAAAAAATATAACTACATACAGGTGAAAAGGCAGAAAATCAACATCTGTGAAGCTCACTAACCTTGCAGAGCCACGTAGGTCTTTAAACTCAACATTAAGTAAAGGTAGGAAAATACTTTTACAGAAAGGACAGGTAGTGTTCAAGTTTGAATCATCTGCTGTCCATCCAGCCATAATTTCTTCATCATAAACCAAAGCATCACAAGCTCTACATTGAGAGCAGCTTGACATCAAAACCTAAAACAGGAAGTAATTAATATTATCATTCTTCTTTTAGGATTTCCTTTAAAATTGCCTTTGTTGGCTTAGCATTTACATGAGTTTCATAGAACCCCAGAATGTCTTGGACTGGAAGGGACCTTAAAGATCACCCAGTTCCAACTCCTTTATCATAATCAGGCTTGTTCCTTACTAAATCACATTATCCAAAGCCTCATCTCATCCTGGCCTTTGACATCTCCAGGGATGGGGCATCCACAGCTTCTCTGAGTAACCTATTTCAGTGCCTCACCTCTGAGTGAAGAATGTCCTCCTAATTACTAATCTAAATCACTTCTCCTATAGTTTAAAACCATTCCCCCTTGTCCTATTACTATCTGCCAGTGTAAAAAGTTACTCTCTCTCCTGTTTATAAGCTCCTTCCTTTAAGTACAAGAAGTCAGTAATGAGGTCTCCCTAGAGCTTACTCTTCTCCAAGCTAAACAAGCCCAGTTCCCTCAACCTTTCTTCACAGCAGAGGTGCTCCAGCTCTCTTACCATTTTTGAGGCTGTCCTCCAGACCCATTCCAACAGCTCTTCTTTCTTGAGCTGTGGGTCCCATGTCTAGCACAGTATTACAGATGGAGCCTCAAGGGCATAGCAGAGAGGAGCAATCACAACCCTTTCCCCGCTGGCCTACACCTATCTTGATGTAGGAGAGGATGCATTGGCCTTCCAGGTTGCAAGAGCACACTGCTGGCTCATGTCCAGCTTTTCATGCATCAAGACCATCAAGTCCTTCTCTGCAGGGCTGCTCTCAATTAGTTCTCCCATTCTGAGCACATCTAGGATTGCTCCAATCCAAAGGCAGCACACTGCACTTGGTCATATTTAGCATCATTAAGTTCACGTGGGCCCTTTGCTCAAGCTTGTCCAGTTCCCTTTGGATGGCATCCCTTCTGTAGCAAACAGTGTGTGTGTGTGATGTATTACAAGCCACAGTGTATGCTGTATTAGGAATGGCACTGATGGTGTCTCAAGAAGACAGGTGTTTGAACAGACAAATAGAAGAAGAAAAATATATGTTCCTACAGGAGTTGGTGAAAGTATTACAGGATCAGATGGATGCAGAATGTAAGACCAATGATCATGTTTTGCAAGTGATACACCAAATAGGGAAAAAAATTCTGTGGTCTGAATTAGAAGAAAAGGAACAAGCAATAGACCTTGACATAGTCTCAGAAAGCAAACCAGGATTTTCCAGCCTGCCTAAATCAGTGGAAGAACAGAGGTAAATTCAAGACCCCCTAATACGCAAGTAAGAAGTTAGAAATGAGTTAAAGACAATTTACCTGAAGAGGAGGAGGCAGCAGATGAGGCCACTTATTTAAACAGAGATGACCAACAATAGCAAAGGTTGGAGGGAACCCTCAGGTTACCCAAATAGTGCTGCATATGTCAGCCAAATGTGAAAAATCATAGAATCACAGAATCCTTACAGTATCATGGCAGACCCTGCTAAAGAGTTCCCTTCTTTCCTGAAAGGTTGCTATCAGGTCACCTTGCAGACTTTTCCAGGCTGAAAAGCCGGAAATACCCTGGAGAGATATAAAAAGTTAGCTGAAGAAACTGAGACAGAGTATGTGTGGAGAGTATTACTTACTGGCAGAGATCAAGTCTTGCTTTCAAAAGATGATGCACAGGGATACTGGGGTCCTGAATTTTTCTCAACTACCAATGATCCATCAGAATCCTGTTCCTTAAATAAATGGGTTGCTTATTCTGCTGGCACTCTTGAAAAGGGTGTATTGAGACACCAGCTGTAAATCATTTGACAGAAAGTTTGCAAAGGGCTGTTTCCAATCAATGCATGATAGGCGTTTAGTCTAGCAACAGCCTTCTCCTGTGTTATTTGTACATAATCTCTATAGAAAAGCCCCGAGTTCAGGGTCTGCCAAATAATTAAAAGCTGAGGGCTTTCAACTAGACATGAAGGGAGAAGGGCATAAAACCAGGCCTGGTCAAGATGAGCATAGAGGAACAATGACAGGGTTGAGGGTGAGGTAAGGGGCTCAGCTGAAGTGCATCTACAACAATGCATACAGCGTGGGCAACAAATAAAAGCTGGAGGCCACTGTGTGGCAGGCAGACTATGACTTAGCTACCATTACAGAAATGTGGTGAGATTGCTCCCATGACTGGAGTGCTGCAGTGGATGGCTGTAGCTCTTTGGAAGGGAAGGTGGTGGCATGGCTCTCTGTTAGAGAGTGCTTTGATGCTGGTGAGTTTGGGACTGGGAATGATAAGGTTGAGTCTGTATGGATAAGGACCAGGGGAAAGGCCAACAAGGTGAACATCCTGGTGGAGGTCTGTTACAGATTGCTTAACAACAATGAAGAGAGAGATGAGGCGTTCTATGAACAGCTGACAGAAGTTGCACAATCACCAGCTCTTGTTCTCATGGGTAACTTCAACTTCCCAGATGTATGTTGGAAACACAAATGCAACACAGAAGAAACAGTCTAGGAGGTTTCGAGTGCATATTAAAGATAACTTCCTGATGCTGTTGGTATGAGACTCTAGCAGGGGAGCTGTTATGCAAGACCTGCTGGTCACAAACAGAAAAGGACTGGTGGGAGACATGAAGGTCAGGACCTGTCTTGGACAGAGAGACCATGAAATAGTAGAGTTCTCAATTCTTAGTAAAGTCAGGAGGGGGGCAGCAAAACTGCTATCTTGGACTTCTGCAGGGTGGAATTGGAACTGAACATGCTGATAGGAAGAGTCCCTTGGAATTCAGTCCTGAAGGGTAAAGGGGTCCAAGAAGGCTGGATGCTCCACAAGAAGGAAGTCTTAAAGACACAGGAGCAGACAGGCCCCCTGTGCTGCAAGGTGAGCTGGCAGGGAAGAATACTGGCATGGATGAACAGGGAGTCACATCCAGCTAGTGACTGGTCATGGGTGGTGTTCCCAGGGGTCAGTAGTGGGGCTTTTCCTGTTTAATACCCTTATTGATGGCCTGGATGAGGGGATTGAGTGCACCCTCACTAAGTTTGCAAATGACCTCAAGCTGGGAGGAAGTGCTGATCTGCCAGGGTATAGGAAGACTCTGAAGAGGGATCTGGACAGCTGGGCTGAGGCCAATGGGATGAATTTCAACAAGTCCAAGTGCCAGATCTTGCACCTTGGCCACAACACCAGGCAATACCATAGGCTTAGGGCAGAGTGCATGGAAGACTGCGTAGAGAAAACGAACCTGGGCATATTGGTTGACACTTAGCTGAATTTGAGCCAGAACTGTGCCCAGGTGGCCACGAAGGCCAATGACATCATGGATTATATCAGAAACAGTATTGCCAGAAGGAGCAGGGAAGTGATCACTCCACTGCACTCAGCCCCAGTGAGGCTGCAGCTCAATTACTGTGTTCAATTTTGGGCCTCTCACTACAAGGCAGACACTGAGGCCATGGAGTGTATCCAGAGAAGGGCAACAAAGCTGGTGAGGAGTCTGGAGCACAAATCTTATGAGAGGTGGCTGGGGGAGCTGGCATTGTTCAGTCTGCAGAAGCAGCAGCTCAGGGGTGACCTTATTGCTCTCTACAACTTAAAGGAGGTTGTAGAGAGGTGGGAGTTGGCATCTTCTCCCATGTAACTGCCAATATTATTAGAGTGAACGGCCTCAAGCTGTGCTGGAAAGTTTGAGGTTGGGCATTAAAAAATACTTCTCCAAGACAGTGGTCAGGAGCTGGAACAGACTGCCCAGGGAGTCACTGTTCCTGGAGGCATTCAAGAAACGTTTGGATGTTGTAACTGAGAGACATGGTTTAGTGGGAAATACTGGTGATTGGTGGATGGTTGGAATGGATGATCTTGGAGGTCTCTTCCAACATTGGTGATTTTATAATTCTATTATGCAGTTTAATTATAAGGACTGTGGAATGTGCTGGCCTTGCAACCTGGATGAAGACAGATCATGAACAGGGAAAAACAGCCCAGGAGTTGATAAACTATGGCAGAAGGATAGAAATCATGGGAAATTATGTTAAATCTAAGTCAGCTGTTAGGAGAATAGAACAGCAGGAAAATCACTCCCTCCCTGAATCCCTGGGGGCAAGGAAAATTATATTATGGACTGAAGGAATTGAGAAGAGCATTCCCAAGGATTTAATGAATAACACAGCTGATGACTAGTTTGAATGCATTAAATCATCACTGCTAATCTGGCTGCAACTGAGCTTCAATATCTATTTGTGTTACAGTAATCCCAGATTCCTGTACACAGTGGAACACATCTGAAGACAAGGGCTATTGTATGCTGAATCAGAGCATCTTCAAGGACTGTTTTTATAAGAATTGCGTTTCTGTTTTTACTTTTAATGATCTCCTGTAAACTCAGATTGTAAATAAACTGGTAACATACTGTTTGCTATTGTAGCATAATCACAGGTGTCATGATTTTGTATGGATGGGTTGTTTTATATGCAATGAATCAGTTGCCATCTAAAATAATCTCATTAAAACCAATCTCAATGTCATTAAAAGACATTATTCAACACCTCCAAAAGAATGATGATGAAGGGTAGTAAGAAAAATTCTTTGCGTTCTTATACTTTCATCTAAAGGATGATTAGTATTGCTTCTACAAATGGGATTTATTATTGTGTTGCTTCTACTTTGTATTGCATTTTCATACATAAAGGCCATTCTGTGATTCTGTAAACTGTCTTCATCTTGACCCTCAAGTTTTTTTCTTGCTTCTTCCCTTCAGATTTTCTCCTTCATTCTAATGAGGTGGAATGAGTGGATAAAGGGGTTTAGAGACATGTAGACACGTTATCTAGTACAAATAATTTTCTTAAAGGAAAAAAAAGTTTGAAAGGAAAAGGAGTCTTGTTTTCATACAAACTTCTGCTGCACATCAAGTTTTAACCTTTTTCCTTAAATTACCTCTTCTCTCTACATACACAAAAGCACTTAAATCACTTTTTCAAAATTACTGTCACATCAAGCCCCTCTGCAGCATAAACATGCAGAAAATGTTATAAGGAAAAATTCAACCGCAATCCAATTGAACAGATAATTAATTCACATAATCATATCAATCTTTAATTTATGAATGTATTAATCTTACCTCCATTGCGTAGTTCTGGAAAATGCTGGATAAACTAGTATTATGAGAAGAGCTGAGCTCTGACTTCTCAGAATCTGGAACTTTCATACTTCTTGGGAATGAAACTTCACCTGTACAGAAAACAGTAGTTCAGGTCTCCATACAAGAAAATAAAGGAACAACTCCAAAACAGAACTTCTATTCAGCCAAGATTGAAACAGGTACCAGATCTCAAAAGAAGTGCATAGCTCTGTAACTTTACTGGAATTGCAACATACGCATTACACACACAGTGATATTGTGATTAACATTTCAATGGGTCAGGTAAAATGAAAAACAACAGTGAATAAAATCTGAAAATACAAAGAACAAAGAATGGTAAGGGGCACATAAGACTGCTCATTATACATACTCTAGAAAAGGTGTTCAGCATTTCTTGAACAGTGCATCTGTATGTAAAAACAAATGGAAGCATAGTACCAGGTGAGACACACAGTACCACATATGCCAGTACTGTGGTTAAGTATTCCCTGGCTAACATTGTCATAAAATAAATAGTTTTTCTTCACTAAGGCTAGGGTTCAGGGTTATGAGCTTTAATGAGAAAGGGAAAAACAGCTGGAATACCAAAAGCAAATGGTTGGAATCTGTCTGATTAAGCATTCACTATCAGCACTACTTTAAGTAACAATCAAAATCTCCTGACTAAAATCCCTACTAGAGCCACCTTGAAGAAGGTTCCTTTGCTTCTTCATATAAAATTCGTTTGTGAACAAATTTACATACCCTAGACAGCTGAAATGGTTTGTTAGTTCTTACTACCTTCTTAACCAACTGGGAGTAGAAAATTTATTTTCAGATTTAACATTCCTAAAAGATTTTGCTAGAAAGGGCCATCTTATGACAAGCCCTCTTCCTCTCTTGATGTATGTAGAATTTATCATACTTATATCATTAAATTACAACAGAGATAGCTAAACAAACACGAAGGTGGTTCTGCAAAACACTTTTTTTTCCTCCACAGATTAAGAGTCAAATCTGAATTGAAAATGATTAGATCTAAATCAACCAGTTTGGGGTCTGAGAAAGAAAAATATAACAGTTTGGCTTACAGGCAAATATTTGCCAATCATTTTCCTTCAAATCAAGTCTGCATCCAGTAACTCCTATTCCACATGAATGCTGGTGGCTTTGCCTCCATCAGTTATGCAACTATTTGGTTCCTGAATATAGACGAATTATTTTACAGTGAAGTCCTGTGTTTTGTATCAGCATTTTATATATTAAGCAAAGAGAAGGATTAGCTCTTTGCTACTGCAAAGGAATGGTATTTATAAAATAATAAGTCTGTGCTTATTTTAAGAGCTCGAAATGATTTCAGTTTATGGTAACACTGCTTCTGATGTTTTGAATGATTTCAGACATAACAGTTTCACTCAATTGTTATAGATTTTGAAAGAAAAAAAAAATCCACCTGCATTGTAATTGTAATGTTGTCTTCCTGCTTCTCCACTGCTACTGCTACTGCCAAGACTAGTAGTGCTTTGTGCAAGCTCATTTGCAATTAGTCCTGGGACTCCAGTTCTTGATGACAGATTATCTCCTAAAATACTATCTTCAAAACCAGCAGGGAAGTTGAAGTCTCCTTGACTGTTTTCTTCCTTTAATATTAAAAAAGAAAAATCAGCACTTTTTTAGGTTAATTTAATTCCATCTTTATCTTCATCAATAATTAAGTTGTTATTATTTTTACATGAAAGATACATGTAGACAACCTTCCCCTCTAGAAAAGAGGAGATATTGACAAAACAGAAAAAAATACTTAACTTCTTTGTTACAGGAGAAACAAGGAGAGAATGAAAAAACAAACATGGAATAAAGCAAAATGCAATAAATTAAGGGAATTATGAAGTTCCCTTCACCAAAATTCTAAGGAGTATGTCATCATAAAAAGAAAGGATTCTGAGGAAAACCCAGACCATTACTTAAATAAGACAAAACAAAAAAACCCAAAGAAATAAAATATCTCTAAAAAGAACTAGTTAGTATTTGTTATTACTGGAAAAATATAGGCAATAACTGGTCAAAAAAAAGAAAAGAAATGTATTTCTTGCATTTAGTAGAGAAGACCATATTAGCAACATCAGTCAAATCTGTTTCAAGTAGAAATAAAACTCGCAGCTATTTCCTTTCTTCCCTTTCTTAAAGAGATGGGGAATCATAGAATCACAAGGTTGGAAAGGACCTACAAGATCATCTAGTCCAACCGTCCTCCCATCACCATTGCTACCACAAGCTACTAAACCGTATCTCGTAGCTCCTCATCCAGACGCCTCTTGAACACTGCCAGGGACAGCGACTCCACCACCTTCCTGGGCAGGCCATTTTAGTGCCTGACCACTCTTTGAGAGAAAAAGTTCTTCCTTAGGTCTAACCTAATCCTCCTCTGGTATAACTTGTGGCCATTTCCCCGGGTCCTGTTTGTTGGCTGGGAGAAGAGGCCAAACCCATCCTCATCACAGCCTCCCTTCAGGAAGTTGTAGAGTGCAATGAGAGCTTGAGGTCTTCACTGAGCCTCCTCTTCTCCAGAGTAAACAATCCCAGCTCCCTCAGCCGCTCTTCACAGAACTTGTGCTCCAGACTCCTCACCAGTGCCCCTTCTCTGGACACATTCCAAGGCCTCAGTGTCTTTCCTGTAGTGAGGGGCCCAAAACTGAACACAATACTTGAGGTGTGGCCTCACCAGTGCTGAGTACAGGGGGATGATCACCTCCCTGCTCCTGCTGGCCACACTATTTCGAATGCAGGCCAGGATGCTGTTGGCTCTCTTGGCCACCTGGGCACACTGTCAGCTCATGTTCAGCCGAGCATCAACCAACACCCCCAGGTTCCTTTCCTCTTCACAGTCATCCAGCCACTTGTCCCCAAGGCTATAGCACTGCATGGGGTTATTGTGGCTCAAGTGCAGGACCCAGCACTTGGCCTTGTCCCATCCACCTCAGCCCAGCGATCCAGCTTATCTAGATTCCTCTGAATGGCTTCTCTACCCTCAGGCAGATCGACACTACCTCCCAGCTTGGTGTCATCTGCAAATTTCCTGAGTGTACACTCCATCCCCTCCTCTAGGTCATCAATAAAGATATTAAAGAAGATAGGCCCCATTACCAACCCCTGGGGGACACCACTTGTAACACGTTGCCAGCTGGACTTAAGTCCATTCACCACTATCCGTTGGGCACGGCCCTCTAGCCAGTTCCTTACTCAAAGAAGGGTCTACCTGTCCAGCCCACAGGCAGCCAGTTTCCCCAGAAAAATACTGTGAGAGACTGTGACAAAGGTTTTGCTGAAGTCTAGGTAGACTACATCAACAGCCTTTCCCTTGTCTACCAGTCTCATCACCCAGTCGTACAAGGAGATGAGGTTGGTGGCAGAATTTGAAAAAGGAAACAAATTGTCTTTGCAGCCTCGAGGGAAAACACAAATCCTTAGAGAGCAAAGCACCAGATAAAAGAGTTAACCAGATCAAACAGAACTCTTTCCATAGACAGAAAAGTACTTTTGGAAGTACTGTAATAAGATGTATATAGAAAATTATTACATTATAATATGCATCACCTCTTACATTTATGTCTCTATACTCTAAAATGTTTAAAACTGAAAAAGACTCTTGATTAAGTGTGCTCACTCAGGAACTTCAACATTTCATTACCAAATTCCTGAAGAGTGTATTTACTAGAGCTTGAGCTGTCTTTTATTGCATTCAGCTTTAACATTCAACAACCTGACTTCTTAGGTTTGTTGAATTCAATTTTTCACTTTTTTTTTTTTTTTAAAGCAATATTATGTAGTTTAAGATTAAATAATGTTGTTCTTGCTGGTGTTTCTTGGGGCAGTTTCTTTGAAAATAAATAAATCTACAAGTGTAGGAAAGAAATGTTGAGAAGATAACGTATAGAGTTTTGAGTTCACTACATCAAGACCATTTAATTCACTTTCGACTGAAAACTTTTTCAGTGCCAGCAGAGAACTCCAACATAAATACATTTTTTTTTAATTAGCTAATAAAATTTATTAGTAAAAAAACATAATGTTGTGAAGCAATCTTTTGGGCACAGAAGTTAGCACTCTTAATTTTGTCTACCAAAATTTTTTGTTATTGAAAAATACTTGCCTCATCATCTGAGTAGCTATATGCTGAAGTTACAACTCCCCACATCTTGCTGGCTACACTGGCAGCCTGTTTCATGCCTGATTTTAGAACATCCATTTTTGGTCCAGACAATATATTGTCTAACTTCAGATTAGACAAAGTTGTTACAACTGATCCTAAGGAGCCATGCGGAGAAGAACGACTCAGTCCTGTCAAAGATGAAGATCGCTCCTTTTGAACTCGTGGATGCATTTGCTGTTTTGGTCGTCCAGTAAATGTTTTGGATCTAGAGACAGAAGGACTTCTGTGATTTTCAAAAGACTCAGGGGGTGGTGGGATGGGATCCAAAGGCAGGCTTGACCTCCTTTCCTGGCTGTGACTAAATGTACCAGAAACTTCTGTTTCCCTGTCTGGCTTGTGCAGTTCCATGCTGGGAAACTTACTACTCATTGGGCTCTTGAGATTCATATAGTTCTCAATTTCATCTGCCAAATTCCGTGCTGCAACTGGTGACACTAGCTTTTCCTCAGCTTCTGGGAGTCTTGGTTGGATGCAGTCAGTAGCCAGCAAAGATAAAGGATCCAAGCCTACTTCAACATCTTCCCTTTCAATAGGCTTAACCACCCCATAAAAGCTATTCCTTTTAGTAATTGCATCTTTGGATTCCACTTTCTGTTTTTTGGACTCAGCTAACTGTTCAGTTTTCATGTCCTCAACCATGGTCACATTTTCATTTCTTCCATTCTCAAGATGCTCCTGCCCTTCCCCAGGTTCCTCCAGCACTGGTGAAGTTCTATGCTCCAATTCCCAATCACTATCAGTAACACGACTCCAAGTGCCATTTTTGCCAGAAACCTGTTGGTCAACAGCACTATCGAAGCTGTAGGATTTACTTGTACTACAGGGTGAAGTTTTGGCCCCAGACAAAGCTGCTGTTAAAATCTTGGCATCTTCTCCCATCATTATTGCTATTTCTTTGGAATGCAAGTCCAAGCTCCCTTTTTTCAACAGCATTCCTGCTTTGCTTTCACTGCTGAAACTACAGCTTCTCTCTGAAAATAGTTTCTGCCTCTTCTGTCCTTTCTCACTTGTTTTCTTAGGAGGAGCATCACCAAAGACTGCATCTTCAACTGAATCCTGAGTTACTGACAGTAGGCTTGAACCAGTTTCTAAAAGAGAAATGGCATTAATGTGGTACCCATAAATATCAAAACTGTTGCTTTCTGAAGTCATCTAGCATTTCTACTGAGAAGACAGTGGGGAACATAATCTCAAGGTCCCATTAGAAAGTTAAACTGATAATAAGATGCTATTTTACTGGCTGCAAAGTTACCTTGCAGATCAAAAATCGTATCTTTTGACTCTTTGAAGCTTTTCCTGGCTTCTACCTCTTTTCTTGTACCATGTTTTGCTTATGATAGAAATACATAGAAGAACATTAAATTCAGCATGTGTAAGATATTAACAAATCCTAAAAACATTCCCATTTCCTCAAGGCAATATGTCCTTAGAAAGGTTAGGCAAGCAAAAATTTTTTACTTCTAGTTCTCCAACAGAGCACTAGATTTATCATACCCACTTGCTTAGAATATTTGAGTGTTCTACTGCTGCTGCTGCTGCTTCTCCCAACTGTCATAAAATTTCTGATCAATTTCTTGTCTAAGACTCAACTCTTTTATATCAAACTAAATGCTGGAAACCCTTTTAAAAAGTCCTGCTGTTTTGTACCTGACCACTGAACATGGACTACATTGCCTTAGTCAAAGATAGGCATAGAAAAAGGAGGAAGAAAAAGAGCCCCAAGATGTGTGTGTCATATATCCATTAGTACTCCTCATTAAAAAGCACCAGATTTGTAAATAAATCTTGTGTGTCCTCTTGCGTGTCCTGAAAAGATATGTACTGATACCAGATTATATACTGGCAGCATAAGACACTGAATATATGTGACTTGTCCAAGGTCACCAACATTCAGGTGACCAGAAGTCCGAAGTAAAGACACTAGTTCTGGTTTCCTAGTACATTACTAAAACATACATTGTCAGTGTGGGAACAAGAAAGATCTTGAGTTCAATCTACTGAGCGCTACTGGTTTTCAACCTTAATATCCACAAATTCTTTTAAAAATCACCTATAAAGGATAATAGTGGAAACTAAATATTGTTTAAGACATTTGCACTTTTATTGGAAGTATTTTTTTACTAGCACTGAAGATGTTGCAAAACATTATAGCACAACAAACTCAAGACTTCAGCAAGTTCTGTTTCAGCCAGTGACTCACCACTGCTCTTTCTCCTTCCACTGCAGTCAAAAATGCCAGATGGAACTTTCACAATACTGTTACCCCAAGCAGGCAGATCTGCTGGACTATGAACTTCTATATTAAGCTGTTTCTTCTCATCAGATTCCTCAGTGCAAACATCTAAAAGAAAGATAATGTGAATTTCAGTTAATTAAACTGAACAACTCCATGTACACTGCTACAGAAAACAAATACTCTGTTTTGCTATGCCGTTACATCTGAAATGTCAGTCCTACCAGTAGGTAGCATTTTCTGGGAGCAGTATCTTGGAAGACAACAGTAGAGAGTATGACAAAGAGAGTGTGTGCCTCATGAGGCTATAGTTTGTGCCATTTTCTTCTCTTCGTATTTTTCCAACAAATCAATGCAGAGTAGCAGTTCCCAGTTTTTCATGTAACACTGTTTGTCTAATGATAATATCAGAGGCCCTAACTGACATACAAGATTTATTAACACAAATACAAAACAGACTCAGTAACAAAATAACAAACCACAGAAAAATTAAGGACAAAATCTGAAGAAACATGATTTTCATATTTTCTTCAGTGGGAAAGAGCTTGTAGAGTAAGTAGTGCCTTTTATTAGGCCTGCTGGTACAACTTAAAAAATGGTCAAGAGTTCAAATACACGAAGGAGAGAAATGAAATACAAAATACCATATGATTTAGCACTTCTCCATTTTTTTTCATCTATACTACATAAGTCACATAAAAGACTATTTTTAACTACATGTACTCCACTGCTGCTGTCTAGTGCATAGCGAATGTCTAGCAGATTCTATGATGTTCTATTTTGACCTTGGCAACATTATGAATGTAAAACATTAGGTATTTGCAGTAGGCTAATGAATGAAGAAAGTATATTAAAAACAGCATCAGTATAAACACGCATACTTAACCTCCTATTAGTTCTTCAGCTTTAGAAGAAACTTCTTCTTCTACTTGTGTTTCAGTTGCATGAAGACTGTCTCCATTATCCCTTAACAGTTCATCCTTAGATCCATAGCCCTGGTCTGACTGACCACCTGTTCAAAGGAATAAAAATATCAGCCTCAGATTAGTTTTTCTTTGCTGAATTTTCCAGTAGGAAAATAAAAAGCTGAAATTAATTTGTTTCATGTTCTATCCTGCCAGAAATATTCAGAGTAAGAATCACCAAAATGCCTAATCTGTGCACAGATCTACTTGGTAATGGTGACAACAGAGATAATTAGACTATGTAGTGCAATCAACATTTTCTAATTTACATAAAATTACTTTTACACCATATAAGCATTATTTCTCCAAGAGCACTTATGTTAACACATGGTAACTCCCTTCATTCCTTTCCCTTTCCCTTCTCATTAGTAAGAAATTTTTCATTGCTGGGCAGTCTACATTCTCACATACATTTACAAAAGAGATTTACAATTACAGTTGTAATTGAATCAACTTCTAGCAATGAAAACAGCCCTGAAAACAACTCTACTGCAAGTTGTGCTATGTTTTTGCAGTATAATACAAATTACAGAAAGTAACAGAAAAAAAGTAAAAAACTAAGCTTTTAAAACAGTCTGTTCTTCTGTGGTACCTATCATATTTGACATTTTTAACTCATTCTTTTATGAAATAATAAAAATACAATTCAAAAATGCTACAACAGGAAACAATCAAAAAAGATTCATTCTTTGTTCACTTTTATTGAAAGTGCTGCTGCACATGCAAAAAATTATATGAGACATATTCCACAGCAGCATGCTAAGCAAGATTATTTATATGCCTCAGAGTACCTATCAGAATACAGGACAGTATTTGGAAAGATCAAATTGTAAGTAAGTTACTGGGTACAAAATCTAAGTTAACAGTACAAAAGGTATTAGAAGATTCCATAAAACTTGAATGACTGATGCACTGTTAATTTTTCCAACATAAAGCAAACACAGAAACATGTAGCCATCAATTATCACATCTGACTACTGTGCAAAATAACCTTTTATACACAGAAGCTGCTTCTGATATTCTTTGGTCCTAATTTTCCCTCTATTCTCATCTCGGTGATTTTAGTCTCTTTGCATTTCACTGAAGTGAAAATACCCTATCAATAAATGGGCAAATTACCTGCAGAAGTAACAGCCAAGGGTAGAATTAATATGCATCCAAGGCTTCACACCATGTAAGTCTGCACCCCACACCATGATAGTCAAGGACAAATGCAGCACCCAAGAGACAGCAAAGAGCAAAAAGCAGAGCAACAAGGGGCAGAGAGAAGGAGAGTTCAGTAATGTAGGCAGCCATATCAGATGAAGTTCAGGAATCAGACACCAAGTTCTCTTCAAAGAGATATCAAAAACATGAAGAGTGGGCAAGAACTATTTGTACAGTAAGTTTTGAGGTAAAAACAGAAAGAAAGTTTAGTTGAGACTGTGCATAGATAGCATGTAATGAGCAGCAGATACTAAGAATCACAGATTTTTATCTCAAGTTGTTACTTTCTGTGTACTCTTTCCACTTCAGTTTAACCACCAGTGCACGCTGCACTCAGGGCTAAGTTTTTCCCCAAGTTATCAACTGTCTTTCCATTTACACAGCATGCCTCCTAAAGACTGTATGACAAGAATTCAAATCATTTATATATTTATTCCAAAAGTAGTGAACTCTGGTGAGAAATTCAGTCATGGCCTGTAAAGGCATGGTTTACTATGACCTAACGTAACATACTAATTCTAGGAATGATAACTAGACCATCTCATCTTATCATTAAGGAGCAGCATTTCTAAGCATTAGCTTTCTCCCTCTTTTCCTTTAATACAAACAAGGATTCTACTCACTGACCATTCATTTCTATGAATAAACAACAATATGCAGAAACTGAACACCAGAGGCTTCTTACCTTTTATAAAGATTAGCGCAAAAAGCAAAGTTCATGAGATTACAGCATGGTAGTTAGTTTAAAATAACTGTACTTCTGCTGCACTTCACTCTAAAGAAGGTGCACAAACTGTGGCTAAGGAATAATATTCAATGATAGTGCATCTCCTTCTTTATAATGATTAACTTCATGCTTCATTCTCTACAGCTTCAAGAGGAGAATATGGTGGGTGGTGGTAAAGGGGAAATCAACAGGAAAACAGAATATTTTGCCTTTTAGGGGACTGTTAGTAGAGAAACCCAGCAGAATCTAGTACCTGTGCTAGAGTGATTATCAATGGAATCAAGCCTGACTAAGTCACTGACGAAGAGAGTGTGCTCCCCACTGTTAGCATCATTAGAACTATCCACGCTACCATGGCTCACCATGTCCCCATCACTTCCACCCGTGGTATTCCGCAGAGCTAAAGACATGAATGAGAGCTGGTTAGTAAAAGAGGATTTAAAATTCCAGACTTTCAAACGCATCTAACCTCTTCAGATAACAGTAAATACTTTTGCTTGCACATGTTAAATGAGAATATGAAATTCCAGCAACAGAACTTATACAATTCATACTTCAGGATGGGAAAGACATTCTAAGACAAAGTCTGAGCATCAGGTTGACAATTTTTATATACTTTAGGAAAGAGTTTCCACTTGTAAAAGCCAGAATGTTAGCTGCAGTCTCTCAGAAACCAAGTCATGCTGTCATCTGGCAGAAAAATTTACTAATAATCTAACTTATTACCTGATATCACAGGTATGTGTGGGCTCTGCGTTGCTTTCTTTAGGCATTGCCTAAATTGTGCCGTGCCACGAACTACATTTCGTATCTTTGTCCACAGAAATATGCCACTGCGGTTACTGCTAGGCCAAGGAGATTCTAAAACCGCCTACAGAAAGGAAGATTGCAATAAAAACATAATAGCACATTTATACTAAGGAACACAGTACAGTGAGAATGTTTTCTTTCCATATTCAGAAAAGACATTATCTACCAGCAGTATGAAGAAGGACAAATATTTCCACTTCTGCTAGGTTTTCCCTTTTACGAGACAGCTGTGGATTCATTAGCTGAATGGCAACTAACTATAGATCAAGTTTTCTTCAAATAAACAAGATGGATTTCATTCATATCATATAGAAAAAATAGAAAGTCATAGTATAGACTCCTTTCATCTTATATTACAGAGGTTACTACGAAGCTCCATCAGAAAAGTACAGGCACACCGAAGCAAGGAAAGGAGGAAGCTACTTCAACTAGCCTAATTCCAACCAGTCATGGATCATGCTGCCTTAAAGGATTCACCTAGGAACAGATGGCCTTAGAACCCTGGAACAGTTTGGGTTAGAAGGCCCCATAAAGATCACCTAGCTCCAAAGCCCCTGTCATGGGAAGGGCTGCCATCCATTAGATAAGGCTGCTCAAAGCCTGGTTTTGAACACCTCCAAGGATAGGCATCCACAACTTCTCATTTCTCACTTATTTCAGTACCTCATCACCCATTAAGTACGGTGTGTTTCTTCCAACACCTAACACAAATTTCTCCCCTTTTACTTTTAAACCATTCTCCCTCATTCTATCACTAAATCACTTTCTAGTACCCTCTTAGGTACTAATAAGTAAAGTAATAAATAAGTAATAAGTAAACAAAGTAATAAATACATATAAATAAAAAGTCTTGTAATTGAAAAACTACTAATGTACAGAGGTTGCTCCAAAATTTATGACTTCCACTTGGAAGACTTCTACTTCCCATAGAAATTACAATAGCTAATAGTTACCACCATTAGCTATGCATTTTTACCAGTGATGAACAAAAACATGCATACAAAGATCATAAAAATCAGCACTAGTGGGGGATCAACTGTTTCATAGCTGCTACAACAGTGTCATTTCTGAAAAGCACCATCAATGGGTGCCATTTTTTCAGCATGAAATAATTCAATTACACCTTTTTGTTTCAGATGCACTTACATGTCAGATACCATTATGTCAGACTGACACTCAGCTGCCATCTGTAACATAGCAACAAAATGTAACAGAATGCTGGTGCAAAGGTTCAACCTCTACTACCATACCATTAACATATTGAAATAGGAAGCATTTCTTTCATACCAGCCCAAGTATATTTCAACAGAATTAATAATTAGACAAACAGCACAGGAATGTACATATACATATACATAATGCCATAGATCAAGTTAAATGCACTACACAGAATCAACAAATTTGACTCAAGAGCCTTACGGAAGTCTTGACATTGTACTACAGGGCAAGGAGATCAATGAGGAAGACATTTGACCAGTATCCTTTGCCAAGATTTCTCCTACCTTATTGTAATAGCCGTAAGTGATGGCATTTGGCTGTATTCCAGCATTTTTCATTTCAAAGAGGACTCTCACAGCCTGAACAGGCTGACCCCACAGTCCACAGAGCTGCATTACAACTCTGTAGCAGACCTGACAAGATACAGACATCCATTAATGAATTAATGACAAGGATTTTAAAAACAGCTAAAGGTCTTCAAAAATTTCCAATTTTTACACATGCATACAGGAAAGATATGTGAAAGTAGCTACTCAACTAACAGCTAAAAGAGGGAGCAAAAATTAAACAGGAAATCACACAACTGAAATAACATCAGCCGTCACATTATTAAGTCCTGACTTCTCCCATGTCTCTTCTGCTTGCGAAAGAGAGGAGGGAAGTATACACCCATTCAAAGAAGTAGGATAACTTGCTTCTTTGTGTCTGTGCATTCTACTGCAAGAACAGAATGCTGCATACAAATCAATTACCCCTTCAGTTCACTATCATGGTGGCATATTAATTCAAAGTTCATTTTAAAAATAGGGATATTCAAGAACTTTTTTCTGAAGGAAGTCTGAAAGTTGGAGTACCTGAAAAAACTAACATGTTACTGAAAAAAAAGTCCAGTTTCACTACTTAAGCAGGCTACAAGACTGTTTCAATGTAGCTTTAAAACAGGACAAACTGTAAGAATGCTTCGCCTGCTGTTGCCAGTGAAATACACTACATTTGCACCTTGTTTTCCATGTTCATTGTAATGATATTTGATTTACACTTGCCTCATCTAGTGGTTCCACATCAGTTTTCCTCATTTTAATTAGAATATCATATGCCTGCTGCAGAGCTTTGACCTTTGGATGTGCAACTCTGACGTAGGCTGGTAGACAAATAAACCATAAGCTGTAACTGTGGCTGAAGAGACACTTAGCCCACTGCGGAGGGCTTACGTAGTATTTCTTGGCTAACTTATGGGCTGTTTTTATCTCCTGGGTGAAACAAAACAACAACAAAGAAAGACAACAGAGATGGAACAAGCAGAATCTAGAAATCATCACTAACTCAAAAGCCAGACTCTTAAAGGAAGCATTTAAGAACAACAGACAAACATTAAACTTTCCACTCTTAATACTCTTTTACTAAGGCTCACCACAAATGAAAAAACAACATCTGAATCCCACCCTCTCCTTTATTTTACTCCTTTCATTCAAGCACACCTTTCAATTTTTTTTTTTTTTTTTTTTTTTTTAAATATGACTGCCTAAAGCTTTAAAATTGGTTTGAAAATAAATCTTCATCACAGATGCTAATTTCTTGCTCTCCACTTCTTTCCTTGGCCAATGTTTCTTCCCAATAGCAACACTGAGACCTACTCTCCAATAGCATAATTTGTAGTATAAACACACAGTGGTAATTTTTCAAAAACCTTTGTCTCTTTCAATATTCACACAGTGGTTACCATAAGACATATCTGACCTGTTTCGTCCTCTTTGCCATGAGTGCTGGACTATTTGAAATGCTGCATCCAGCTGGGTGTCTCCTGAAGGAGAGCTTGAGTTCCTGTGGTCTGTCAAAGAGCTTGAAATCTAGTCGTGGGAAGTTTTTATAGCTATATAAATTATTAAAAAAAAAAAAAAGAGAGAGAGAGAAGCTTTTCCTATATCCATTGATAGCCCTATGAAGACAACTTGTGAACAAAGAACTAATAAAGAGAATAAAGAACCAAGAGGAAAGGAAAGTGAGCATGCAGGAGTGAGAAGATGAGATTCTTTGAGTCCTACTCAAAAAGATACTCAAAAAGGAAAAAAGGAAGATGCTTAGGATATTAAATCTTAGTAAACTGTGAATTCAAGAACAAGACTGCCGTTCATACCACAGAGGACAGGGGAGCAATTAATCAGGACAACAGCAGGAAACAGAACTTTTATAACATCCAAGAGAGATTAAGAAAAAGCATATATACACTTGGTGAAACTCCACACTTCCTGCATAGGGCTGAAAAACACTGAATGAAAGGATCTGAAAAGCTTTTTCTCTTTTTTTTTTTTAGTTCATCTCTTAGAGATCAGTAATATGGGAAGATCCATTACTCATCCTCTGCAGGTGAAAGAAAGGGAATATACTCAAGGTATTATAAAATACACCTAAATGGCTCAGTGACAGATAGATGTTGAATACATAGGTCACTCCAAATGTAATGCTTCCTATCTATTTCCATGGAAGCAACAACAGCTACAAAGCACAATAACATTACGTGATAGAGCAAACTCTAAGCTACTAAAATCTATTTTTCAACACAGTGACCACCATTAGCTATGTATTTTCACCAGTGATGAATAAAAGCCTACATGTCAAGCTCAAAAATTTTCACCAGCAGGAATGACTAACTGTTTCACAGCTGCTATGATGGTGAAAAGCATCACCCACCACTTCACTGTGACCATATCTACTGCTTGGTCTCCATAAACATTAGCAAGCATTATATATGTCTGCAGGAACAACTTTTTTTAGCATGGAAGAATTCAATGACACTCCTTTGCTTCAGATGCACTTCCATATCAGATGCCATCTTGTCAGACTGCCCCTCTGCTGCCTTTTGTCACATGGCAATAAAATGTAATGGAATACTAAGAAGAAGGTTCAACCTCTATGCCACGCCACCAACATCTGCCTCTGATGTGATAGGCAAATATAATAAAATAGGAGGCATTACTTTCAAAGCATCCCTCATAACAAAGAATTGTTATAAATCCGGCAAACGGTTACTGAAAGCTTAGAACCAAAATCTGCTTGCCCTCAAACATACACAAAATACTGACTTCCAGACATTCAGATAGTTAGCAGAGCTCGAACAGATCACATTTTTATTGATATTATTTACATCATCTTATTGTAAGTTTTGAACCGAGTTGGAACATTTGCCCTTTTTAACATCATAAGCATCCAAAAACTTCAGTTCTTCTCTATTTTGTTCTTTGAACCGTACCTGTATTTTGGAGCTCTGTCTTGTCCATCATCAGGGAGAGGTTCTGGTGGCATTATAAACACTGTGTGTTCACTTTTTTGGGATTCATCAAGTTCAATCAACCGTGCATCTTCAACAGAATCTACATCAACCTGAAAACAGAATTTGTAATCTGAGCTCTGAAAGTAGTTTCAGGATAACATAATTAACATTATTATATGTTGTGTATATATATATATATATATATATATAAAATACAATTAACATTATATTATATATATTACAATGTATGTTAATATTATATATATACATATAAACATCTATGATTAAAATGTACATTTTAATGTATAAAGTACATTTTCAAAATGTATTTTATTTATTATGTATAAGCACAATTTAAACATATATAACATTTATATTTGCTCTCAACATTCAAGTCAATAACCCTGGCTTGTCATTTTTATTTCATGATAAAACACTGAGGGACAAAGTACCTTATCTCCTTTTTCTGTTCCTTTATCTGGAAAGAGCTACGGAAAGAAGGAGAAAAAATCAGCTTTTTCTCAACTTAAAAAAGATCCTATATAGCCTTATTTCAGCTATATGATTTACTGATGCATCAAATGATCAACACTTAAGTTTCCACACTACTCTGGAAACAATTATGCTCTCTTTCATAGAATTACTTTGCTGAAAGCAAGAAAAGGTAGTTATCATCATGTTTTCAATGTTAAAATTACAGGCTAAACATAATTTAAAATCAATTAAACAAAGCAATTTAATTTAACTTAATTGAAAGAAACTACTGTTAAGCAGATACTTTCAATATGAAAATCTAAGTCTGTGACACATTAATAACCTGCACTAAGTTATTAACATTATTAAACAGAGAATAGCCTAGATACACACTCTGGATGCCCGATATTCAGGAGAAGAAAAATGCATGGAAACTTAAAAATCCCATGAGGTGTTTACAATCAGAATCGATACAAAATCAAGAGATTCACTCTGTAAAAACTTGGCACAAAAAGGAATGTTCTATACATATACAAATTATATTCTATACATATACAGTGCATAAAATCCTTTAGTTCCTAAACTTTATTTTGTGAACTTGCCATTTTTCAAATGAAGCTACGAACTCAATAACCTACCTGGACTAGAGCCATGCTGAAGAGACTTTGTTTCAAAAAACAAAACTGGGTAACATCAATCTTACTCATACAAATATAGGCAATTAAATAAAGTCTTATCTATGGAAATCAGCTATGACCACAAGCCTGACCATTTGGCATATTTTTGTTCAAAATTCAAGCTGCATGAAAAAGAACACCATAAGTGACCACTGGTAGATAATTCCAAATTACATGAAGGCTGAATACCGTTTAAAGGGAACATACAAGGGTACTGTGTTATAAGATATTGGTACTTCTAACATTCTTTAATAGCTTGACACCCAACAGGATTTCAATAACAGTTTCCCGTACTAACACAGAAAGTGGTAACCACTCAAGAAGATGGAGGATGACAACAAAGCAGCAATACATCTTACACAACACTTGCTAAAAGGATACCTGCCTTTACAACTAAAAACCAATATAGCAAGTTAAATGAAGTATACAATTTAATAATGTTAGTATGTTTTTCACCTTTTCTATGCAGTCATCAAAAAATGCCAAGCCTGTGTCCTTGTCACTCACAAAACTGCACTCTTCAATAAAGCTGCTGAATATTTGTGTTTTGGTGAGGTGTGTATAGAACTTTGCATATGCACGGTCTCTACTTTTCAAAAATCCTGGTTAGAAAAAAGGAAGACAACTAAATACCAGTTACAATTTCCATAAAAAACTAACACAGAATACATCAATATAAACTTAAAGTGCAAATAAATAAAAAATTGGCTTTTTTAGCATAAACAACTACTTATCACTACTTGCATTCAGAAAAGTAGAATAAATTTTTTAATGATAATTTTCCTCATACAGTTCATGATACATGGCAAGTAGCCACTTCCTTGTAATCATGCAATTTGTTCGCTGGATTTATTTGCTTTTTATGCATGGAAAAGGAGAAGACTACCTCATTGAAAAGCATTCAGAACAAGAACAAAAAAACCTTCTGATATCAGAAGAGATGTTACACCTGAAAACACCTATGTCTTTTCAAGCCTTGCAATAAGAATATCTCTTCTAGTTAACTCAAAAATAAACAAGACAAAAAACTACCAGTGACATTTCAGCTGGCATTCAACACATGATCTCATCAGAAAACCTAAGGTGATAAGGTCAGGAAAATAAGAAGATATTTGCTAACTAGTGTTTATTACGTTTCTGATCTCTGCTAAGCACTCTCCTATTTTCCCATCTGCACAAAAAAACCCCACATTTATTTGCTCTTCATTACTAGGCTTATGACACTTGCTATGTCCAATTTGAAAGACATTCTTTATTTCCTAAGAGGTGCCCTTAGAGAATATGCCAAGCAGAGAGGGTAACCCACTGTTTTCTCAATACCAGAGCTCTTAAAAAAATGAGAGTTCCTGTTTACACACATCAATGTTCTAATCAATTTTGAATAGCCTGATTTTATATAATTGCAATTCTAAATATAGCCAAAAATTGCACAACCAAATAAAAATTAACTTTGAAGTTAAACAACTCCATGATTCTGAAGCTGTAACACTGCCAGTGTTATCAGTGGCTGATTTATTTCAACTTCACCTTGATGATCAAACAAAGAATCAGCAGCAGTTGCTTTATTCGAAGGTGCCTGGGTGATAGGTTTAAGGAATGTTCTGTAACCCTTTAAAATAGATGCCATAAAACGCAGGAAAGCTTCCTGGATCTCCATCTCGAGTTCTGTCATCTTCTTCTGCCAGGAAAAATCTGCTTCAATAGGAGTCATCTCCACTGCAGAACCTTCTTGAGTTTTTCTGTGAACTAGCAAACAGCAATATATAGAATCCTGTATTAAAATATAGTGTAGGTGAACAGCCAACTTTTGCAAGATGTTAATGAAGGTGTGATTTTTTTTTTCCTTTTTTATTGCCCATATTCAAAATTACCTACACTGGAAACTAGATTTTTCCTTGGCCCATGATTACTTTCCAATTTATCAGGCCCATATAAGAAACAGTTACCTCAGCAGCTGCTCATGTGTTTTTCCTATCTTATCAAGCCCTCTGTGATCTGAGATAACATAGAGATTCTCTGTTGAGTTAATACTACATATACACCCAACTGCTGTCTTTCAGTAATACATCAACTGAAATACAAATGGTGAAGAAAAGCAGATGACATCCAGAGTTTACTCTGGCATTCTTCAAGAAAAAAGACAGTAGCAGAAACTGCTGAAAATTCAACTTGGAACAGATAACAGTTCCAGATTTTTAAGATAAGTACAAAAGTAAATAATAATATAAAATAACAAAAGAACACTGGTTCTGCTCCACTTAACATTGGAAAACAGCTTGCAGCATTTATACACAGACTGCTCTGAAAGTAATGCCTCCATGGAAACTACAACAGCTACACAGAGCAAACACTATATATAATAGAGCAACAGAACACTATTTTTCAACATACCATCATTAGCTATGCATTTTCATCACTGATGAACAACAGCCTGCATGCCAACTTCATAAAAATCTGCACCAGCCAGGATGACCAACTGTTTCATAGCTGCTATGTCACTGCCAAAACACACCACTCACCACCTGACTGTGCTCACATCTACTGCTTGGTGTCCATAAACATTCAGCAAGCATCGATGAATGTCAATGGATGCCATTTATTCCTCATGGAGGAAATCAGTTCCATACCCTTGCTTCATCCACACCTTCATATCAGATGCCATTTTGTCAGACTACCCCTCTGCTGTAATCTGTTGCTCAGAGGTACACACTTAACTAAGCCTGTAATGAAAAATTGTTGGGAAGGTTCAACCTCTACTGCCATACCACCACCATCTGCCTCTGACATGGTGGGCTAATAAAATAAAATAGAAGGCATTACTTTTAGAACATTCCTTGTATCAGGTAGAGCATATGGATTTCCTGCTGACAAAACAAAACAAAAAATTGATGCTAACAGATTAGGTAAAGACTATCTGAAAAACAAAACAAATAAACAAATCCGAGGCAAGAAAGCCCAAATCCTAATTAATGCATCTTTCTGTTCCTGTAGCTCACCAACTTTGTATATCTGTTGTGTAACTATGAAGCTGTAACTATCCCTGTTGTAACAAAGCAACTGAACACACTCTGAACCATCCTATCTTGAAGATTCTATGAACAGATAAAGCTATGCATGAAATATGCTTAGTCAGATACAAGTTTGTTTTTATCTTTCCAAGTTATTAATTTGATGATGAGTTTTTTCCTTTTAACAAAATACTTAATATTTTGCTTCTTGATTATTTTTGTAGTCAGCATTTGAGATATTCACAAGTATCTGCATAATACCTGAAGTACTGAGCACATACGTAAGAAATTGCTCATTTCCTCTACTATTTTTTATCAGATTCATAAACATGGCTGACATTGAGATACAAATGCTTAAGAAAGTTTTAAAATTCCAAATATGAAGAAGTCACAGGAAAAGGAAAAAAGCAAAAAGAAAAGAAAAATTTACATCACATTTTACAAAGAAGTACTTACATTTATATGCTAATTATAATTTAAGACTTGTAGATGTGTATCAGAAAATTTAGTAGTTCTTTTAATATTTATTTTCCCTGCTTATGCAGTTTCTGTTCTTATCCCTTCCCATTTTATTTTATATATTTCACCTGCTGCCAGCTGTGGGTGCAGCTTCTTTAAGGTGCTGAGCAGACTTTTACATGGCTTCTTAGGAAACTGCTTCCAGTTTGTGCTCTTCTTGTCATCTGATCTAAAAAGCAGGGTAGATAAAAGAATATATTAAAACATGGACCATATAGAAAAGAATTGCTTACATTGGGCTACATTAATTCATTTTCAGAAAAAGGAATTTATTTAAAAAGAAATCTGTCCACTGCCCATTTATCTAAAATAAAATTTGGAAAAAAAAAAAAAAAAAGAGGCAGAAGATTGATACCAACTCAGAATTTCTTTTCCTCAGAAAAGAACAGTATAAATTGAATTATGAGTCAAGTGTTCTCCAGTCTGGTAGGAGGACATGCATTAATATTTGATTTAGACTTTTCATTTGAAGTTTCACATTGTAGACTTCCCTTTCAAAATTTTTATCACTCTCACTGGTACAGTCCAGGAACACCAATCTGTATGCAATTACTAGTTATATTACAGTATACTTGCCTTACTGCTATTGATACAAATTAATTAATACAAATCATTTTGGAATATAATATGAACTTGTTGAAAGAGAGGGAGAGAATGCCTATTTAGCACTCTGTATCAATGCATTCAAATGGAATAGAGATATCACTTAAGAAGGGAGCCTAAGTTTCATAAACTAAAAACGCTTGTCATCTCCCATTTTATTTATTCTTTCCCTCCCACAACAGCATGCCTTTAAACAGTGTGTTTTTGTTCCAAAAATGAAAAAAAAAAAACCCACCCAAAAAACAAATTCTCAAATTTGCATTCAAGAAAGGTTACTTTCCTTAATGAGTTTTTTATGTTACTTTCACAAGGACAGTAGAAAACATCCAACAAAAAACATTAAGGAAGATGTTGAATGAATAAAAGACATTCCAAATTTCTGACTGTAAATGAAGCTTCAATCTATCATGAGGAAGATACCAGCAAACCTCTCCTAAAAATACTAAATCAGACACACTGATGTACTAGACAGCATTGAATTCTTCAGATGTTGTTCCTGTATTATGTAAAAGCTGTGCATAAAATAAAATCGAATATTAATACTCCCTGAAAGTTTTAGAATTCTATATGATCTTCAGCACCATCTCACATTTACTTCAAGTCAAATGTAAGACATTCAATCTCTCTGTACGTCAAGTAAATGGTATAGATGATATATATAAAAAACTGAAAGCAAAAGATAATCAGCAGATTAGCTACTGAAAAAGAAATGGACTTATAAGACACAGGAAAACAGTGTCAAAGTCCTTTCATATGAATAGAAATGAGGTCAGTAACTAGTATATTTTTAGCTCAATATCCAATAACCAATGCAAGAAAGGTCTGCACTCGATCTTTCTGTCACTCATTCCAACAGAATCTTGACATTTTTCTCTCTCTTCTCTACTACTACTTTTTTCTGCTTCATTTTTCCACAAACCAGACTTTAATTTCCATTCTTGTTGTGAATAAACAACCAGATACTTTTCTTCATATAAACAAGTTAGCTTCATTGCATTTTTTCAATGTGTTGTTCTTTCATAATATCTGTTACAACTTTTCTTTTTTTTTGGTGGCAAAAGACTTTATACACAACTGTGAAATGAGGATTGAGGAGAAGAAAAAGACAAATAAAATGAACACAATCTGCTTTGCTGTTTACTACTTTCTTTGGTGCTAGTAATAAAACAATGCACCTTCAGCAATTTAAAGGAAGCATTTGCTTCAGCAGAGCATCACATAAAGGGTTCTTTTGACATAATGAAAGCAGAAAAACATTCAACTGACCCAAGTAACTAATTTTGACTCAAGTTAGTAAAAATGACAATCAAGAGTTAAAGTGATACAAGATGATGTTACGATTGTATTTTCCTAATGAAAAAAACGCACATATTTACTTACTTTCATCTTTAAATAGCTTAGAAATTCTTTCTACTTACGATCTAACAAACTAAAACGAAAAGATAACTCAGCAACTGAAGAAATTAAAAAACTTATTCTCAATTCAGTTATCTGTACTCCCATTATAATCTACTACAAAATGAAGTTATTCTAGATAAGCCTCTCCTAGAGAAAATGCGGAAAAACTTGTCAGGCAATACCTTTACTTGAGAAAGGCATTAAAATATAATTAAATGAAGATACTTGTACCAAATGTTGGTAGTCCAAAGGATCTTGCTTGTTTGATCTCACTGAGAATTCAGCTCTTGTAACTTAAGAAAAATTAACACTTAATTAACACTGACAGAAGTGTCCTCACTGTAAGACAGCATCAAAAACTGTCATGAAGAGTCCTGAAACTTTGATGTTCATACCAATACTAAGTAAACACATGCAAACCAAGCTCCAAAGTGGTGGAGCCAGATGAAAACATATAAAACAGTGGCATAATAAAAATTAAAATCTTCTTATATGGCTTTTCCAGCACATTTTCCTAGTGAATACATTATAATTGCTACTTCATTTATAACAGCATCTGCATCATGTATTTTTCAGCAGCCCCCTCGTTTTAATAGATTTTAAGTCTCTAAGAAATGTGTGAAAAGAGAAAAAGAATAGTGGGCAGGCAGAAACAATTAAACAAAATAGGTTTTAAATCAAATTTTCTCTAACGTAGTTTACCAATCTCTGCATCTACAGATAAATGTAAAAACCCCATATAACTTACATGTACACCATGTTTGTGTCTAAGTCAATGCATACAATATCCTGTGGTGGATCATACAGATCAAAATATCGTGAATCAACTCCAACAATAAATGGAACTGGTGCACTGAGTACGGTGGCCAGAGACAAAGGACAGAGGGGGATATATGGACATTGCCACTGAAATGGAAATATCATCTGAAGGAAAAATGAAATGAAACCAATGCATTAAAAAAGGACAACAGATATTGCACATAAAAAAAAGGTGAAGTTGTTACATGCAGTAAGCTGAAACTGCTAAGAACCTTGTTTTACTGTAAAAAAAAAAAAAAGACTACATTTGATCACTTTTTACAGCAAATTTCTTAAATATTTATGAAAAACGTTGATCACTTCAATAGTTACAATTAGACATGCTAGGGTATTTTAACTAAATGATATTGCTAGGAAAAAATGATCAGTTGATGCATTAAGCATTCTAATTTATGTAAGCTTCACAGTAATTATGGAGTTCGCAGCAATTTCCCTCACTGCTGTACTGAACATTTTGTACTTACAGCTACTACAGCTTCAGCAACTCCTGTCAACACAGCCGGTCGAAGAGAATGGAGGAGGATCTTGCCTTCTAACAGTACAAACAGTAACAGGGTAGCACAGTTTTCTGGTCCAAGATTCATGAGTAGAGTGCTGAAGTTTGCTCCACTAAGGGGTGAGTGGAAAAGGGGAAAAAAAGAAGAACTTCTGACAGCTGTTGTGGACCTAGCACTTGAGTAATGTTAATATGATTATCACACACAAAATAGCCAGACAGCTATCACCCCAACACGAGACTTGTACTGCCACAGAGAAACCTAAATTCAAAATCCACTCTTAAAGAAACTTATAACACACTAACTCCGTGCTTTTTATAGCCTTATTGTATGTGCACAAGCACACTGTTACAATTTTTTGTAACAGTACAACAGATTTAAGGTATTATCAATTAATCCAAGTACAAAATAACACTAATTGTTTCAAACAATGAGATAAAGGCAAAAATCTTGTACTACAGTATCCATTTAATATTAGTATCACAGTATCAAATCTAATACTAGTCAAGTAAAAAAAAAAAAAAAAAAAATCAATCAATCAATCCATCCTTCTGATATCAAAATGTGTTTAGTTTCTGCAATTTAATCTCCATTTCATTTGTTTGGATACTGTAAAGACCTTCAGGAGTTTTATCAATATCTGTCAGAGGATTAGAGAGGTGTAAAATCTGTCCTTTGGATAATGCTTACATCTTACTTTGCAGCTTGGTGTCTGGCTTTTCCCTTAAATGGCTGTGTAATGGATGTGATTAAACACTGGATCTTTCTATCTATAGAATATTGTGTATGTTAACATTTAAGGAAAAAAAAAGTAAAAAAAGGGATATTTTGGTTTTTAACTTAAAAATGAAATAAAAGAAAATAAAAAGTCAAGTCACATCCATAGGGATCTCCAGTCCTAAAAGAGTAGGCAGTACTCCCAGAGGCTGCAGTAACCTTCAACCACAAATATCAATTTTAAGGTATAATTTTCCATTTCCAAAATGTTTGTGCATTGATTGATTTCAAGTAATTGCTTGATAAAAGTACCTCCCACGTATCCATAAAAGGGATAAATAATGCAAGATTTTAAAAAAGTCTAGCTGCGGTATTAAAAAAATTGCTTGCTACATATATTCCAAAGATACAAGATATTGAAATACATATATTTTTCCCCACAGTCTATTCTTATTTCTACAATAATCTGGTAATCTGTCTTCATTTCAGAATAATCAGAAACACTATTATTTCATAAGGGATAGGTCTATAACAAAACAAAACCACTGCCTGGCATTCAAAAAATGTATTAAGCTTTCTATTTAAGAGAACTAATAATGCTGTAGCAGTGTTTGGTTTTCTTTTATGCCTCATTTCTATTTGGCACAGGATGTTTCAAGCAGCAAACAGATTAAGCATTAATACCTTAATGGCAGTGGAGTAGAAACTGGCTGGGACAATATTAATGCATCATGTGCAGAAAGCTGAAACACACAAAAAAGCATGATTACTAAGAATTCCAAACTTAGTGAAATATAATATTTAAATCTATAATCTAATAAAATGTTTGGTAGATAGGGTCACAATGTCACACAAGAGGTGCAAATCAGAAAATATTCAGAGCTTCTGTTCATTAAGTCAGCAAGTTTGTACTAGTTACCAGGATCATTCTCGTAAGTTACAGGTAACTGTTTATGACTCAGTGTTGAACATGTAACTGCTGCTAGGTGATTAAACAAAGCAGAGGAGACAGTGCCACAGGGGAATAACATTTGACCAACAGTAGTTGGTAGAAAAGTGACATAAACAACTCCCCAGTGACATAATGCAAATGTCGTCTATAAAATGAAAGAGCAATGTATGACAGAAATTTCAAAAGCACAGGCAGGACAAGTTCTGCAGTTTTTATCACCCACTGTTATACAACAGTGTAAGAGAAGGAGATTCTGCCCACCAGTTTCCCCTGAGCTCCTTACAGCAGTATATTCAAAACTGAGGAAAAAACAACAGGAAAAAAATCCAGGCTTTTGAAGGCAAGAAGGGTTTGTCAATACCTTTGTAAATAAAACGTAAATAAAAATGAAAGCAAAAATTCTGCTTACCTGCACAAGAATTCTTGGTCTTTGTGGTGAAGGGAAAGGTATATTGTGCATAAAATGGGAAATGTGCCTAAAAAAGAAAGGTAAGACCTTAGAAAACTAGAACTGCAGACTAAGCAGGGATTGAATACAGTGTTTGTCAGATTCTGGAATACTTACGTTTCTGTACATTCTAGAAGTGCATTTGCTATTTATTTGCTGTTTTGCTACATTCAGAAGGCTACTTACACAAATTGAAACAAAGAAGGCCTACTCACCCACATTTCATGAAAAGTAAAAAGTTAATATTGGCAGCTTCAGATATGTACACAAAATACAAAAACACACTGGCCTTTAGGCAAACTGGTAGCAAAATTCAATACTACAAAGTTTCTAACGAGGCTTAGCTAGGAAAAGCAAAATGCTTCATTGCTGGACATCTAATGCAGATTTGAATCTGAGAACTTTAAATGAAAGATAAACAGGCTCCAGAAATTCTAGCAGAAAAACAATGGTAAAATCTGGTTCACAATCCAGTTCACACTCCTAGCACTGCAGAACCTACTCATATTAACCGGAAGAAACAATTTCTATCAGTACAATCAGTACAATACAAGCTACACAGTGTAAGAGATGGAGCAAATATAGCAGCCATGAAAGCGTGACAAATAGATCAGATGAGTACTTGAGCTGATATCTATACATATTAACTTGAAAAATAATAAACGTACTTTTCAATCGGAAGAGGATGAGGTCCAGAGACAGAGAGTTTGTAGATGAACATAAGAAATTTTCGAAATGCATCAAAGAAAGGCCAATGTGAAAGAAGGCAGATACATTTATTAGAATTGATGGACTTGGAAGTAACCACTTTTCTCTCTACAGCTGTCAAGAGACCCAACTGCAATTGTTGCTTTTCTGTTAGCAGCTCCCGTGGATAAGGCTCATAAAACTGAATAGCAGCACCATAAACCTAAAAGATGAAGAAATACAGCTGAGTAAATTGATTATTTAATGGGAGTTTGGGTTAGAACTTTTGAACTATCCATAAGCCACTGGTGTTTGCACACAATACTTGGTAGCTTGGTAACTATTTTATATATAACGTACAATAAATATCTTATAAAACAAAATATATAACAAATATATAAAACAAAATATATATTTTTGGACCCCTGTACCTCCCTTCCTCTTTTTCATGCCACTTCACTCTAAGTATTTACACTCAGTAACATTGGACAACCTGCAGCTGGACAAACAATCAACTCTGACTACCACATCCTGACTAAGCTGAAGGCTCAAACTTGCAGAGTGAGGTCAGAGAAAACAACCTTTCTTTGAACAAAGGTAATACTGTGCCATTTTGAAAAGATCATGAAGTACACTGACAGTCTTGACTGGAATGTCCTATCACACCCACCACAGAGTCCAGACTTGGTGCCTTCCAGCTTTCATCTGTTTGGGCTATTGAAAGATGGACTGCGTGGGCAACATTTTCTTAGCAACAATGCCATCAGAAGCAGCTCGTGTAGATTTTTTTTTTTTTTATAATAAGCACGGCATGCAGACTCTTGCTCAACACTGGCAAAAATGCATAGCTAGTAGCTGACAATGTTGACAGTGTTTTATAGCTCAGAATTTGCACAATCAAGTATTGTTACAGTGCTATGGTATACCTGTTGTAGATTTCATGGAAATTAGTAGGTGGCATTTCAGAGTGACCTATGCATAATCCTGTTGCATACAGCAGACACTAACTTCTTGCACATGGGCTGAGTCATGTAGCACATTTTTGGTGCCTGTGTGTGCTTGTGGCTTTGCGCAGATTTTGCACACTGTTTGCATTCTGAGTTGTCATTTTATGTGAATTCCAACATCATCACTAGTCACAGGAGATCTTCACTTCTTGAGCACTTGTCACATACTTCCTCTTTGTACCTAGCTTTCCTCTCCTCACTGTGCTCTTTTCTGGGAACTATTTTTCTGCTCATACACAGATAGCTGCAGAGTCCATTCATACCAATTCAAAAGGAGCTTGCTTTTGAGGTAATCACAGAGAAACCACAACTTAAACATTTTTAATACTCGATAAGTGATCATTGCTTCAATATGGCGACCTTTGCATTGCCTGGAACTTTTCTTGAAGGAACAGAAAAATCCATGTCCTGCATTGTTAGTTTTACTAAGCATACAGTTCTACTTACACATGACTACATAGCACAAACTCTTTCATCTATTTCCTTTTCCTTTTACATCTGTCTCATAATAAGGCTTATGACATAACAGTTTTCTAAGTGAAATATTTAACCATTTCTTTTGGTAGTGGTCAAACACAGAAGAGATTATGGCTATTTTATCTTATCAGCAAATTAAATTAAAGCAAAAAGCAGTCACAATGTGTAGCTATACCTTTTCTGCAGAGGAACAGGTCAGTACAAATGTTGAGAAGACTGGTAGTGGATATTTGGTTTGAGGATCCCAGCATTCAATAGTAGCTCCCATAGGAAGGCAAAAGAGAGGTACAGACTCTGACAGTGGGAATGATTCATAGTTCTCTTGAGGATATCTGAAAATTAAGCCTTCAGTATGGGAAAATGAAAAGTCAGTGAAATTGCTCTACAAGCCCTATGTAAGCTATACATTTTCCAAAATATGCAGAAAAGTCTGCTGCTTATCAGAACTTAACAGCTGAAGATTACATCTACAGAACAAACTCACTTAACAGTAAGGCTAAAACATCTCAGTAACAATCAATTAGAAATTTCATGTGAATATTGAAAAATTCTCTTTCAATAACTGCTCAAGTATCTCTACATAGTAAAAACTAACCACTGAGAATTTTGACTTTGGGAATTATCTGCGTTATTTTAATGTGCCATTGAAACAGATTTTGTTACAAAGGAATCCTTATGAAGAAAGTGATAGATTACCTACTGTAGTAACAGTATCTCCACTGAAAATAGGGTAAGCTAGCTATCTCCTCACATTTTCTGCTAAGCTCTTAATATGTTCAGTTAAAAAAATTCTTTACTCTGTTTTCAGCAATATAGTTAGGTCTTGCTTGTAGGAAATGAACACACAAGTCTCAGTTCACTTTTACAGTTCATCTCACTCATTTCATGTTACACTGACTTTGTTATCTGTGCATTCAATTTTTATTTAGCAGTTTACTCATCTCAAAGGAATTTCTTGCATTTAATGCTCAGTAGACACTACTTTGGAAGTGTTTTCGATTTCTTCAGGAAAAAAAAAAAAATCAATAACAATAAATTAAAGATATATATAAAACCCAGACTTAAAAGGCTTTCCTGTCATTTATTGTTCAGAATATTTGTCACCCTCCTTTACTATGAAATAAGAGAATAGTTGTAGAACTCAACGAAATGAACACATTTAACTTGCAAATTAATTGAAAGATGTTGATCTGCTATGAAACATTAAAGGAAATACAAATAAGGCTGACTGGAATTCTCAATTACTCCTACTCCATCACCAACAACACAACACAAAATATGAAGTAATTTATTACACATGCAATGCTTGCTATGCTGTTCATTTAAACTCCCAAGCTACCTATTCTGCCATGATATAAATGAAATTAACACAGAACAATGTTGTTTCTATGAAGGCTTCCCTCTCCCATTCCTCTGGGAAAAACTGAGGTGAGCAGAGAAGGCAATAAAGGAGCCGATTTCAACTGACATGCTCTAGGAAGACAATTACAACAGATAACAAGTTTTTAGAATTTTTTGTTTGATTTCAGAAGGTATTCTGCTAATATATTCAGACAGTCTGCTTCTGAAATTACTTACCAGCTTTGTATGCTATGGAGTTAGAAGCCGGCACAGACTTCTTATAACAAAGGTATACACTGGAGCCCCACTGAAAGGCACAAAATTCATGGTAAGAACCAACAAAGATGACAATATGCAAGAAATGAAGTATAAGCATTTGAATATACTCCCACTTACAAATAGAACAGAAACAAAGTATTACAGAACAAACATACTGTTTGGCTGCTGAGGGTATTTTACTCATAGAATGAAGAATTTGCCCTTCTCACATTTTTAGAGATTGTGTATTTGCATAATCACACCACCACACTATTCTTTGACTTATTACCATGTTAGAACAAAGAAATGTGAAGCAGGTCACTTTCCGCTTTCCGCTTTCACACACACAGTTTTCCTGGTTACTTAAATGCAGACTCATCATTGGTAGTAAAATTCTAAACAAGATCACTAGAAGCTTTAGATGTACTACTATAAACTGGCTACTTACATAGGGTTTGGGTTTGGTTTTTTTTTTTGTAGTTTGTCTACCATTTGAGGAAAAAAATTGCATACTGCAGCCAGAGAAAACTAAACACAAATCAGACTAAATAAATATGAAATGACTGAAAAAAAGAAGTGTAAGCAGTAACTAACATTCTTATGTATCAATAGAAATAACATATTAAGAAATTTCTTTTAACGGAAAAGGAAAAAAAAACAGAATAATAAATACTATAAAACTGTTCATACACATGGTATAAAGAGAGAAAGAATTATGCAGCTATAGAACGCCAACTGAACAGTGCCAAGAAGAGTCCAAAGAGCTACCTCTTTTGTGTTTGCTTTCTTTTTTCTCTTACTTCATTTGCAATTAAAAAAAAAAAAACAAAACTTAAAATGTCTAAGTACTTACCATACCACAGTTTAAATTCTTATCAACTTTGCAGAATGTATGAGGAGGAGTTTCTCCTTTGCTGGTAACAATAACACAGATGTCTGTCACTGCCAATGAATTCTGAGGTCGTACTGAAGGAGCCCTTCGATACGTGATGAAGATCCGTTGAGAAGAAGCTGAACTATTGTTAACGTTAGCACAACGACCATAAGGAGTAGCTTGAACCACTTCGCAGCCTGAAATGATACGTTCCTTCCCTTCATATAGAACCCTGCAGACAGGAAGGAAACAAAAATATTACATACATTCAGGTACATACAAAACTACATTGTCAAACATAAGAACTAGTAGACAATAGCATCTATCTCACACAGTACATCTGAGTACTTCTTAGAAACTATTCCTGTTAAAAAATTGTGTAGACAATAAGAGGTACAGAAGTCTGCTTCCTATGGAAAAAAAAACTTTTTTCATAGTTTGGTTAGTATTTCCAAGGCTATAACAAAAATAAATAAGCAAACAGCAGGCACATGCACACCAAAAAAATGCCCAATGCTACAGAGAAGGAAAAAATAATATATAATAACTAGAGCTGACTGTATTCCTAGAAAGCAGAATATATACCCTAAACACCCATACTGAAGCCTTCAAATCGTATCTGGATCTTTTTTAGCCAGATCAATAGCTTATATTGCTGTATTCTTACCTAAGTGAGATAAAACTTTGTACTTCTGTCCTTTCTAAACACGCAGCCCTTGAGATGTGACCATGACAAGAAACACTGGAAGTTGAACTACATATCCACGTGTACTTTTAAACATACAAACATTAAGACAAGCTCAGTGTTCCACTTCTTACTCCAAATAGCAATGACTTTATTCTCTACAGTACCTATGGAGTACTTGACATATTCAAACAGCTTTTCATGTTAAAATTTAGGAAAAATGTAACGACACTGTTTTTCAGTTTTCAAAGATTCAACCAACAGTTTCCCCACAGGAAGGCAGGCATCTTTAACGGTCCTAAAGTTAAATGGTCCTAAATGTTTGACAGGCTACTAGTAAGTACTGGTTGAAAGCTCTAGGTAGGCAGATATATAAGCTAAGCTCTAGGTAGGCAGATATATAAGCTAAAAAAGTTCTTTTTACAGATAAAATAATTTTCCAAACTACCAAATTAACATACCTTTCAAAACTCTTTCAAGACTGTTGACCACCTTTAAAGCAGTATGTATATGTATGCATTTATATATATGCATACATAAATATTACTGTTAATTCAGATTCCACATAACAAAATATCCTTAATTCTTAAACAAAACAAAGAGATCAAACACGGGAGACAACATGATCACCTTCAATAATTCTTTAAGATGCAAAGAGTTGGCTCAACACACTTTTGTTACATTTAATTCAAAAGTTAACCCTGGATTCAAAAAGAGCATACTGAAAGTATTTCTGAATTGCATCACTTTTAAAACAGTACTACACTAGATGCATCTAAAGGGAATATTAACAGATCAGTCTCCAATGGAAGTTTCATTTTATTTCAATTTAATGCACTTCCATTAGAACACAACAACTTAAAGTTATCCCCAAAACACCTGTCAGCTGACATCTTTTGAGATGGACGATCACATTAATTAGACAACTCTGGAAGTTCAGTTTAACAGGTTTACATAGAATCACCAAGTTTTGAAAAGACCTCTTTGATAATTTAGTCCAACCCTCCATCTACCGCTAATAATTCCCCAGTAAGCCGTGTCCTTCAGTACAACACCTAAATGTTTCTTGAACACCTCCAGGGATGCTGATTCAACCACCTCCATGGGCAGCCCATTCCAGTGCCAGACCACTCTTTCAGAGAATAAATTCTTCCTAATAACTAATCTGAACCTCCCCTTTTGCAATTGAGGCCATTTTCTCTAGTGCTATTACTAGTTACAGGTGAGAAGAGGCCAACCCTCACCTCACCACAACCTTCTCCAAGGTATTCTGTAGGCAACTATAAGGTCTCCTTTGAGCCTCCTCTTTTCCAGACTGAACACTCACAGTTTCCCCAGCCACTCCTCATAAGATTTGTGCTCCAGATCCCTCAGCAGTTTCAGTACCCTTCTCTGAACACGTCCCAGGGCCTCAGTGTCTTTCTTACAGTGAGGGACACAAAACTGAACACAGCACTTGAGGTGTGGCCTCATTAGAGCTGAATACAGGAAAATGATAATTTTCCTGATCCTGCTGGCAGCACTCTTTCTGATACAAGTGAGGATGCTATTGGCTTCCTTGGTCACCTGGGCACACTGTTGGCTCATGTTCAGCTGAGAGTCAACCAAGGTCTTCTTCTTCCACACCGTCTTCCATCCACTCTGCCCCCAAACCTGAAGCACAGCCTGAAGCTGTTGTGGCCAAAGTGCAGGACCTGGCACTTGGTCTCGTTGAATTTCTTGAACTTGATGTGTACAAACGCTTCTAGAATATAAGAGGCTTACCAGTTTTCAGAACTGTAACAATGGAATCACTTCTTCCATAAAGCAACAGAAAAAGTGAAAGCTGTCCTCAAATTCCAATTTTTCTGTCCTTTAGAGTCCTTACGCAAAATAACTCTTTACAACAATTCTTATCTCATTTAAGATAAAGCAGAACATAAATATTATAGAATGAAAATACACTACATACAATAGGGGTCAGAATTAGGGTCAAGCAGAGGGAAAAGAGTTACCTTCTATTTCTACTGTCACCATTATTACTATTTATCTAAACATGTAAGTGTACTTCATTATTCTAGGATGTTCCAAATACTCTATTGCAGTTGTCACACTAGTGGGTTTTAAGGAACAATGGAAGATGCTGGCTAGTGAGATAATCCTACATTTTCTCTTAATCTCCCTGAAACTTGAGTTCACATCTCTAATAAGAAAAGTATCAGCTCAATCAATTCATGCAAACTTTCAGAAAACAGTTACGCAGAATGAGATGCATTCTTGATACAGAAGCTCTAACCAAACTAAAGCTTCCAATTCAATTAAGAAATTTAGCATTTATTTACATATATTTATTAGCACTAGATACCAAGCTTAAGCATTACTCAGTAATGCAAAAACTCTGCTTAAGAAAAGAAATTTAGGACTCTGATTGATCTCTTCTACAGAAAGTGTTACAAAGATCAAAATCACTTACACTTAAATGCATTTCTCTGTCAAGTTTTCCTTCATGTAAGAAACCAGTTCTGGAATTCTCCTCTATTCTTAACAACCCATAATTAAACATCTCCAGGGATGGGGCCCCCACAGCCTCTCTGGACAACCTGCTTCAGCAGCTCAGCACTCTCAGTAAAAAACTTCCTCTCCTTTAAAATAAAAACATTTCCCTTTATCCTACAACTATCTACCCGTGTAAAAAGTTAATTTCCCTCAGGTCTATAAGCTCTCTTTAAATAGTGGAAGGCCACGGCGAGTCTCCGAACACAGACTTCTCTCTTCCAGGTTAAACAAGCCCAGCTCCTTCATCCTGTCTTCATAGCATTGGTGCTCTAGCCTTCATCTTCATGGCCCTCCTCTGGACCCTCTCCAAAAGCTCCACGTTCTTTCCACGCTGGAGGCCCCAGACTTGTACACAATACTCTAGCTGGAGCCTCACAAGGGAGGAACAGAGGGGGACAATCACCTCCCTCAACAGAGAGATCTTATTTCAATGTATCGCCGCACCTAAATGGAAACAAGCCTCAAATCTCAGTTCTTGCTGACTTTTGGAATGTCAAGAAAAATATTTGGGAAGAAAGCAACAGAATGCTTTCAGTATTGAAACAGTAGCTGAATTATTTACCGATGCATACATTTAAAGTACTGAATTTTAAAACTATACTGAAGAAAAAGACCTTACAGATCCTTGCCCTATCATCAAATCTTTATTCTTCCAACTAAAAACAATCACAATTGATGCAACAGTCAAACAACTGGCAGACTATATAAAAGTGAGCAGCTATAATAGGAAGTTGCTAGCAGCTTACAGACCCTACAGCTTAAGAACCAGGATAAGAACAGGAAGGTTCTGACAATGGGATGGAAACAGGATAGAAGACACAGAAGACAGAATACAAGGAAGATGACAAAGGAACAGCAGAACAATGCTTCCACTTCACACATTCCTCCAAACAGCATTTCTTTAATCCATTTCCCTAAATATATATATAAATCTTTCAGGACTATTGTACACATATACACACGCACACATACATACACATAACACACATATATACAAACATGTATATATACACATACATACACAATGCTTATTTGAATGCTCAGATGGCAAGATAAGTAAAGATATTCATTTTAAAACCAACAAATGAATAGGTTTACAACTTCAAATTGTGTATTTGCTACATAATACTATAAATATAAGTATCTTCCTTAGATGTAATTATGGCTGTTTTTTTATAAAGTGTTATTTCAAGTAAGTTAATTTTATTTTGTTTTATAAATGCCTGTCCTATAGTAGTATATGTTACATTATAAAGTTGTTTGTTTATACATTAAAACAATATCCAACTATGGATTTAACCCTTTTGAGGAGATAATCTTCCTCTACTAAGTCTATTTAGCGCGTCAACTGACTCAAAGGACAATTAAAGCTAAAACATTCTTTCACACAACTTCCAACTGAAAAAAAAAGTAAAACAGAATAAATTAGCCTTCAGAGAATACGTTTGACCTAAAATACATCTCTTGTACAAATTCCACTTTTATTTGAACATACTGAAATTCACAGAGCAGATTGCTCTAACCGTCTCTTGAACATAGTTGCAAAAAAGCAGGAGCAGCAGGGGAAAACATTCACATGCACCACTGCTCAAAGAGAAAAGTCTGCCACCACTTATTAAGTGTGACATCCTTACTAGATCTGTGTATAACAAAGTACAGAATAAAAAGCCACTTGCCAAATATCAATAATTTAAAATGAACAGATCTACCTGGAAAGCTCATAGTAGACAAATATTCCTCTATTTTGCTCGTCAACTGATAAGCAAAAAACCAATCCCAGCACTCAAGTTCCAAAAGTTGAAGAGACAAAAATAAACACATACTAGCAGAGTCCCTTCCACAGAAGCATAGGATGAAGGCTGGTGGTTTAGATATCACTTTCATCCAATTTTCCTCTGCAAATTTTTCCTCCTGCTGAAACTTAGTGGAGTTTGTCACATCACTCAGTCACACACTGCAGTTCTACACATCACAACAGTTATCCTGCAGTTTCAGGCACACGTACAGAAAACAAGTATTTTAGAATCACAGTTTCACTGAAGCGCATTAGGACATAGTTTAGATAGCCAAGATTCACTAAAATTTGAATACATAAGGCTAACTATATAACTTGTCCTATAATCTTCAGATCACAGATCTTGTCACATAACCCACTTTGTTACCAAGATTTCACTACTAGTTTTTTCCCCCAAACTCGACTCTACTTATCAGCTGGCATTCACAAACTCTAAGTCCAAAGAGTATGTAGTCATTGTGCCTGACATGCCTACGCTTATAAATGAGATTAACTACACTTACCACTGACAAAGACATGTGATTTTACTTTACTCTTCATTGCTTATTTACTAAACGAGGAAAAGCAAACACATTTATTAGATTACCACCATTGTAGCAGTTGCCCCCACCAATTTCCCATTTTCTTTTGCTCCAGTAATTCTGTATTCCTTGTAATTCTACAATGTCCTTACCAGAGGAACAAAGAAACAGTGCTTTTTGGAGCAATTCAGACAATACTGCAGTGCTGCACAAGTTGTTACAGATGGAGCATTTCCTCAAGATGGTAGTAGCACAAAATTATTACACTTACCACCTCAAAACTTTGGGGGGATTTTTTGATCATACACCTTAAAATTTAAAACCCAGAATCCTTTAAGTAATAAAATTAGTTCAGAGCTTCCACACTCCCTTTCATTTATTCTGCACCAAATTTACAACATCCATGATTCCCAACCACACAGATGTTTCGGTTCCACTCTGCTGTTTTTGTTTTTGTTTTTTTTTTCTTCCCCCTCTATAGGTTAACACTCAAAATTATCACATTTTCATATACAGATAAACTAATTTGATAAAGCCACAAACATGTTAATCTTCAACAAACATTCTACATATATTGAGCTATATACTTGCAAAATCATTTAGAGCCACAGATGCTCCCAATTTTATTTTGTCATTACATTGCAGCAGCAAAACACAGCCAAGAACACATGTAAGACAATACAGAAACTGAGGACATCTCAAGAAAACAAGGGACAGAAATGTTACAGAGATCTGCCTCAGTGCTAGTAAAAATTTTAGAGCTAAGAATTAGCAAATGTTGCAGTTAAAATATTTAATTTGTATTGTAAAAACTGAAACTGAAAAAGTCAGCACTCATCTGTGCAATTTTCTGAGCTCACTTTAGAAGTAAGGCTAATATTTTAAAAAGTTTTGGAGATCAGCAGTAACTTTTCCATTCTGAAAGCCAGCACTGATTAAAGTTAACTGACTTAAAACAAGTTGCAGTTTAGACTTCAGGGGAAAAAAAACCTTTGCATTTCTGGAAGATGAAAAAGGTTTGAGTTTTTTAAGTGTATACTCTTAAAAATTATCACACGTAATCAAGAGAAGAGGAATAATTTCAGGAAGCATGCAAATGTCATAGACACCATGATGCTCTAATACAGTACAATATGTGAAAGTCTTACAATTACAGTACTAGTAATCCTGTAGAAATCTATACTTCAGGCTAAATAAAAAAGTTTTTTTGTTTGTTTGTTTTGTTTTGGAGATACAAGCCTGAATAGAGTTGTCAACAACATATAAAGTGTTTGCAGCTCATTATGTCAGAACCTACAAACAACCTCATAAAATCTCTCACCTCTTTCTAAGGCAGGCTTCAAGACACTTGGTTAAGTAATTAAATTTAGATCTTTTGTTTCACTGTACTTTCATTTTAAAGTGCATCTTTCATCTTAAAGTGAGCTAAAAGTGAATTCTCATAGCAGTATTTTTTTTCTTAACTTATCACTTCCAGGTGAAATACATTACTTTTTTGAGTTTGCACAATACCACTTATATACCTTAATTTTATAATATTATCTTACCTTTCATGAAGCCTGCAGCAGAGAACTTTACTTCTCCTATTTGACTTACTCCATATTTAGGCATATATGAAATCTCAAGTTAAAACTTTCCCATTCCTTTCAAAAAGACAAGTTCACTAGAACACTGACAACTTATTTCAGAATAAAAATTCCACACAGATACATGAAACAAGTAATATATATTCCAAACTATATGCTTTGATTAGCTTTTGCATATCTGTTTTCAGCATCACCTGCGAAGAGCAGGATTTTATCATCACTGCAGGAGGAATTAAATAGTCACAAATATCTCACCCGATGTCAGTAAGAGGTGGTTTGTCTCGGCCTCTCTTGTAGCAGAGGAAAAGTTCAGGACTCTTAAGACTTCCATAGTTTAGATTGGCTTGGAGGGCTGTAGGGGTGGCTTCAACACAGGTGTACCCCTCTGGGACAGTTTCACCAGCTGATTTAATTATCACAGCAATGTCAGTGATTGGAGCTTTCGGACCACTTTCATGACGGCTTATTTCTTGGTCCAAGAGGTTTGAAGTATCTGTATCAGTCAGTCCTGCCACTACAAAATAGTCAGCCACCCGTGGGCCTTTGTCTTCTATCATGGTTATGAAAGTACTCCTAAGGAAAATAAAGAGAAATAAATCAAACACACTGCATTCAAACTAAAACCTATTCCTAAACAGCTGTCAAGCTGTCACCATTTAAAATATTTAAGAAAATTAAGCAAATAATAAAATTCTATATAGTCTTCAGAGAATTCAAAAAAATTCTAGAGAGACTCCAGGAAAAAAAAAAAAACTCAAAAAGATAGGCAGGCAATTACATTCCAGTCCTAGCACTGTAACAGAAGTGTTTTAGCACAAGGAAGTTTAAGTGAAATATAGAGGTCAAAGTCCCTAACACAGCAGCTGCACAAAAATATTGTTTGGCATTAGCTATTGGATCATTCAAGCTCTTCACAGGCCATAAATAAAAGCAGGTACCCCTAACTAAAACAACCTATATTTTTCTGGCATCATTTACTAAGTAATTTGTCTACAGAATTACATTTAATTTTTTTCCTCTCAGAAGAGAGAACAATTTAAATTATGTGCTCACTAGTTTATCATCTGCATATTTCATCCATTTTGTTCCATATTTTAGGCCTAATAGCAGGGTCTTGAAACATTCAGCAGGCAACTTTAACATTCAGAAATAATTTATGGAAATCACACATTCAAGCCCACATTTCATCAGCTGATTAGGCTGTACATATCACTGTTCAGCTGCACATTTTAGATCTGGAAAGATTTGTCCTCCAGATACTCAGCATGTTCTCTTAACATCTGATTTTAAAACAACAGAATGCTTTTTTTTTTTTTTTTAATGAGCAAAACTATCTGGCAGACTACGCTTAAATATCACAAGTACAATTTCAATTATCAGTTTTCATGAAATACCCATCCTTCTGAAAGCTGACAGAGAAATATTTAAGCACAATCTACATTGTGGTCCCTTCCAATCTCTACAATTCTGTGCATAAGTGCACCAAAATTGAGAACATGTCATATTTACAAGATCCTTATTGCCACTGTAATTGTACAAACATTAACATCCACTAACAGAAAAGTGTCTGCCTCCTTTCTCCAGTTTAGTTCAATTCTGTCAGATATTCTGTCCTCAGATCTCTTGAAGAACAAAAAAACGACCTCAATGCCATATCTGCTCGCGAAGCTTCTGAGTGACTTTCAACTCACTGCAGTTCATCCTCCTTACTGTCATAAATAGCATTAAAGTAGTGATAAAACTCTTCACAAGTACATAAGTCATCATGAAATGCACAGGCTAATGGATTCAGGTTAACCTCATATAAATTAGTGCTTCCATTAAAAAGACTCTTCTCACACTGTTACTACTCAATCCCACCTCACTTTTGACCAGAAACAGAGTCTATGCAATTACAAAATCAACTGGAACAAGAATTGCTCTGGCTGAATGTTAACCTGACAAGGACTGTCTAGTGCTCAACCAGAGTAATTATGCGGTGACTCTATCTCAGCAGAAAAGCAGCAGCTTTCAGCAGCTGCACTGACTTGCACTGGATTAATCATAAAACTGTGATTCTAAAATGTTTCAGTTTACCTCTCAAGATGCTTGAACTTGTCCACCAAAAAAAAAAAAAAAAAAAAAGAAAGAAAGAAAGAAAAAAAAAAAGGAAAAACTTCTCCCTTCAAAAAAAAGTCCTGAGCCAAAATGGTTGGCATGGCTTTCCTGAAGTCAAATTTCTCGTTAAAATTATGCAGTCTTTTACTACCCCTTACAAGTTCTTATGCCTCAACATCATGTTCTCTCAATGGTAAGTGTTAAAATGCTTACACATAGAGAAGGAAATAAAACAGTAACAGTATACAAAGCCAAAAAGCTCACAACAGTTTCTATTTTTGACCACAGCTGTAATAACAGAAATTGCATTAATGTTATTTAAAATTGAGTAATGTGGGTTTCCTTAGTAAGCAGAAGAAATTAATTGAAAAGGACTTGAAAAAATTAAATACTAAAATATGAAAGGTTAAAATGGAAATTATGAAAATCCTTTCCCAAATTTTTCCAGTGAGGATCAATGAAACTGTAGCAATTTGTTGCTAAGGAACATACAAACACAGCTACGATTTTACACTTTTTTCTTAGCCATGGTTATGATTTACTTCATAGAAAATCTGTGTAATGTGGCAGGCAGAAGTCAGAGTCACCTGACAATTCAGCTGAGACACTTGGCACCCAAGCTCCATATGTCAGCACAACATTTAGGAATTTTTTTTTTTAAATGTTCTAGAGTTCCTTTCTCCAAAATGTTAAGGTTTCAAGTAAGCACTACAACTTGGTTATTTGAGTTGTATTCACAAAGATTTAAAGCAAAATGGCTTCTCAAGAGGGATCTCAGTTTTATAGCTCTTACTAAGCCCTGGCTATCTCACCAATGCAAGGGTATCTTCTGTATTGCAACACTTTATAAATGTAAGTGCAGACTACGCTACAAATTAACAGCCATCAAAACAAATAGAAACAGATCTTCAGACTTCAGTTACCCTAAGGATGTTTTGTCTTCTAAACTGCAGTGAAAAAAAAAAAAAAAAAAAAAAACCAACCAAAAAAAGTATGACTTGCAGGGCTTCAAGATGAATTCACTGCCGTTTTCCACTCTTTTTGTAATACCTCATACAAGAATTAGCAAACGTGCTACTCTTAGTACCCTTATCTGAGCACCACTGGACACATAAATTATCTATGATACACACTACAGAAAGGGACACCTCATTTAAGCCAAAGGCCACGCTCAGCAAAAAACATGAAGAGAGAAAAGCACACTTTTTTTTTCATTACTCAAAGCCAGAAACACAGCCCACATTAGGTTTAACTTTCTAAAAAAGACAACAGGTTTTCTAACAACGGGAATGTAACTTTTATGGTGCTTCCATAATGTTATATCTAAAATATAAGAAGTCAGCTATTGGCTTCATATAGAACATAGCTTTTCTTAAGGGGAGATTTCATAGTAGAATTGTTTTTGGAGAAAGGTTTCTCACTAAGACACAATTATGAAAAAATGCTGAAATAGCTTCAGCATTTATTGACAGCACCCCAAGCCTTCAGTTACAAGCTTCTTTCCACACAGCTATACTGCAACTCTCTCAATTTACAGTTAGCTATAACTGCAACAAGAGTCAATCTTGTGAAGAAATAAAAAAAATTGTGACAGTGATACACAATCAGCCAGAAGGAAGCGAAGACGAAAAAGTACTGCATTTGCATTTTATTTCATCGCTACATTGCTTTTATTTTACACTTAGAAGCTTTTCAATTCCAAAATTGAGATAAAGTCCTCAGCCTTCATTTTACATAGATTACCAGATCTGAAGACTTCTATTCTTTAGATATATACATATATATTAAAAAAAAAAAAAAAGTTATACTCTGATATATACATATATATATATATATATATATTTTAAAAAGTTATACTCTATATTACCTGCAAAAACAAAGGGAAAAGGAGACAACTCTTAATTCCAACATGCCATAATCTGAGTAACAGTAAATATCTTAACAGTGTAGGATGCAGAACTGCTTTCCCAAGATCCTTCTGCATAGAATTCATTTATGACATAATCTGCTTTACTGCTATGCCCACTACCTGCAGTCAAGGAATGTTTGCTTGTAACAGAGGTGTAAGATTCACTCACCCTGCCAAAAGACAGATAATCTCATTTTCGAAAACAACATACCAATAAAAGATTCTTGGAAATGATGCTAGGAGAGGCATTACACAGTGAAGCTTTTATCTCAAAAGATTTTGAAGTATTTCAGAACGCATTTAAAATACACTTTGGACAGCCACACAACAAAATCCAAGTTTATACCAAACAGTGTTGTATAGAGTAGATGCAAAGCCAACTCAGGGAACAGAAGCAACACAAACGTGTAAACCTAGCATTGGTTTTTAAACTCCAAATAGAACTTCAAGTATCTTATCTCCAGGATCGAACACCATTGCTGTAACACACTGCCCCAACATCCCATGAGCCGATTGTGCTGAATAAAAACTGCTTCAGTGTTTTGTTACCTGCCTTTAAAGTATAGTTTAGATCTGCTCAAAAAGACTGATAGAGAAAATAAAATTTGTCCACTAATTCCCAGAAACTTTCATCTTAGTAGAGACTAGAGACCTAGAAGAGTTTTTTCATCAATGAAGTGACAAAACTTACAATGTACTTCACGATATCTGTCTGGCTAAAATACAAGTAAGAGAGAAGCGTTACTTTGCTTTTTCAGCTACTGCATGAAGCAAAACTTCATAGACCAAAAAGGGATAATCATAGACAACCAACTTCACAAAGAAAACTTAGTAAGTTACTCAAATAAGTCTTTATACTTACGATTTCTCCACTGTTTCCAATGAACTAAAGAGAAGAGGGAAAAAAAAACCCTGAAAATTCAAAAAGAAAAGTTCCCTTCTGCGGTACAGAGGGGGAAGATATCTGCATCTTTTTCTCTTTTCATACTGGCTTTTCTCTCATCTTGTTCAAGAGTAAGTGGTATTACTGGTTATGGAATGGGAAGAACAATTTATTTTCCCTTTATGTAAAAGAACCTTCATTACGCTTGTTAAGAAATCTTAACTTTTTACCACTGCAAACAGTGCAGAATTTCTTTTAATGAGTCACTTCGGAAACATCCCTGATTCACATCAGAAGCACTACTTAGCAAACAAATGTGAAAGAGTTTATATATGTAAAGACAACTTATTTCTTGAACTAGTAACAGTTGCACTAGAATTCAAAATGGAAAGAAGGTAAAATAAGATTTGTAATTGCCTTTCATGAAGCTAAATATACAATTAGCAAAGCACAGCAAAGAGATAAAGCTAGGCCGCACTAGTCCTTCAGCTTGCACCTCCTCTTCTTTCTGCACACATTTCAAATACCAAAGTCTGTATGTAATCTCTTGCAGCAGTTGTAAAGATAAAAGCATGACAAAATTTATTCAAAGAAGTTAACTGCATTGACTAAAAAAAAACAATTTTTGCAAATATTAGTGATATTAAATCACAAAAATACATTTAAGTTACTGTGAACAGGAGAAAGCAGAAACGTAAGGCCTGAACTTAGTACATTTGATCACTAGTGAGGGTGTGGACACCTAAGAGCTCTGTCTCAGGTTGTTTGATTAAAAAAAAAAAAATCAAACAAATACAATCGTGATGAAACCACTCTCTCTCATGAAGTTTGTACTGATACAGTTAGTACAATATTTTTACAACTCCACAGTAGTGGAACTGCATCAACAACATAACACTGAACCAACAATAGTACTTTCTTCAGGCTGCATTCTACCCTACTTGCATTCCACACCCATACTAAGAAAGGTAGTTCTCAATACTAACTGTATTCAAGAAAAGAAGCTTTCATTCTAAGTGACTCCAATTCTGTATTTCTTTAACAAGATCTTAATACGTGAAAGTTAATAATTGAAGTTACTTTGAAAAGTAACAAAGAACACAATAATGGACTTGGCAACCAAAGCTTGTTTTAGACTTCTCTAGAACACAAAATGCAGATTTGACTGCACCACACAGATGTACCCTCACAGGATTAGGCATAACTGGCACAAATAATGAGAGTCACCAGTAATTTAAGAACCAAAATGCACAGGACAATGCACACAGGGTTCCCAAAGAGCTTGCACTCCAGTCATTTGTCCATTTTAACGCATCTTTGCTAACACTGTTCACATCTTTATGCTTGTCCATATACTGCCAGTCCTAAGCAAGCCCATCTGTGCTCAGATAAGTATGCAGCTCCTACCTATGCATTTCAGTTTGGTGTGCAGGCAATAGCAGAAATCGGGCATTCACATGACCTGTGGACAATTTAAAACTATTACAGAATGGAACATTATAAACTCATTCAACAATGTTGAACATGTTCAGATTAAAAGTTAACAGTTTATTGGTCACATGCAATCTGCAACAAGCGAAAAAGAACCCCTAGATGTGCATTTAAAGACTTTCTTTTTTAGAATGCATATTGTATCGTCAAATTAGAAAACGAAACAGTCATTCGACTAAATCACAAGATCATTTAAAAACAGAGTTAAGAAAACAACTTCATAGACATGCAATGACCACCTTCTACCTGTCCTAACACAGCTAGCTGTGGAACAAGAATGGTTGGATGTCACTTGTGACTGGGTCTGAACACGCACATATGCAAATACAGGACTATTCCTTCATAAAGTTTTCAAGTGAACATTTGAGAATGTAATGGCTGCATAACTATGAAGGTTACAAAACACAAGCTGACTATTTCGTAGTTGTCTATATTACCACAAAAACAAATCTGAGGACAAAGTAAGAGATAAACAGCATGTCAATTACTTAAATGAAGCATTCTTCCAGCATGTTTTGTCGTTTTGTTTTTTCTTCTTCTTCTTCTTTTTTTTTTTTTTTAATTTTTTTTAAATCAGCTAGTTGAACTTCATCCAGAAAACAAGTTCTGTCAAGGCTCGATAGTACAAATAACCTTAAATGGCTTTTTATGCTAGACTGTAGAAAATTTGCACATAGTCAAAGGAAAAAGTTAACTCCATACTAGCTCGTTGTGTACCTGATGGCAATGTATGCATAAAAATCAAAATGAATGCAGCCAGTTTAGTGAGAAAGTTTTCTAAAACATTCCAAGTACATCAGAGCCCTATACTAGGAAGAAAGCAGAAAAATCAGAGTAAAATCACCTCAGGTGAAAAACTGCTATGCAAGTAAGGGCACCAAGTCTTGGAATACAACTAGATGAAACAGCTGCTGTCCTCCCATCCCCAAGAAACAGTCAGGTGTCTTAGTTCTGCAAACTGAATATTTGAGAATAAAAACATTTTTGCTTTAAGCTTCTGAAATACTGAAAAATAAACTGCATTTTACAACTTCATGAAATATGAAAAGCCAGCACCAAATCAGAAGACATACTTCAAACCCAAAGACCAAAGGCTAAATAAAATATCACAGCTATAACATTTAATATAACATATTAAATAATATATCAATAATATTACTGATATAATATATCAATAGTTCTTTAAAGCTTGACTAGGGCAGACATTTGGTATCTCTGAGGATTTATTACTGAGATTTTCCATGAGCATCAGTAACAAATGCACAAGTAATTGGAAACAGATCTCTATCCTCTGCCGAAATAGCTTTTCTTTTCGGTTTCAAACTGTGGGCTTTGAAATGACACAGCAGTGTGCTTCATATTATGAAGGAGTGGTGATGAAATGAATCTAGTTTTGTAAATCCACTACTGTAGTAAGTGATAATTATCTAGCAATAATTAACTAGTTTTGCAAGACATATACAAAAATATATTATTGATCTCTATTGCCCTGAATTTTCCTTGCATTCCGTTTTCCTGCCTTATGTGCAATTCCTTGGGTTGTACAAAAAAAATAATCAAAAGAAGAAAGGAAACTAGTTAAATTTTCAACTTTGTATTTAATAAATTGAAATTATTCAGCAAAAAAAAAACTAAAGATAACTTGAAAACATCACATTCTGTCTTAGGATGCAGAACTTAGTTGTGTTTTTTTTTTTCTTTTTTTTTTTAAGGGTATTAGCAAATCCAGTTACTGTTGCTGCAGAATAGTGAGTCAGTGACATTACAATGTGAATGCTTATACCAAACATAAAAAAAACTTTCTGAACCAAAGTTCTGCAGTTACGGTTTGAACATTTATGCATTACAACTGACTGACAAAGTCACCAGGTTAACAGACCCTGTGACCCAGGATGGTGAGGACTATGAAGATGCCGCTCAGAAATATGCTTTTTGGAAAGAGAATTGGAGGCAAAGTAGAGGAAAGGGCATAGTAAGAACTAAAATCTGCTCCAGGCTATATTTAACATACTGTATAGTTCAATTTTCTTTTCTTTTTTCTTTTTTTTTTTTTTTTTTGAACAGTAATTATGAACTGTCCAATGGTACAAAAATTGGAGTGGTTACAGACTAGAGGCAAAAGCACAAATTTTGAAGTGACCTACAGAGACTGGAGAAACAGCAGCTGGAATCAATTGAAGGCAAGTTCAGTACTAGTAAATGAAGTTCTATGGCCAAGGACAGAAAACAGAAATTGAAAATACGTGAGAAAGGAAGAATGATGATCAGCAAGCAGTTCAACTATACTCATTTAATAAGCCAGTTTCACCAGGCTCTTCTTTCAACGACAAAAAGTAACCACTCCAGCCACTGCAAGAAAAAAAAATAGCACAAAAGAGAAAACTAGTAATAAATATATCAAAAGAACATGAATAATAAGAAAACTAGTAATAGTCCTCAGAGCAAAGGAAGTACACTACAAAGTGTACTTACTGCCCCAGTTGCAAGCTTTAAAGGTTAGCCATGCTAAGTATTATGTAATGAGTGAAACATCTGCAGCCCTGGAAACATTCTTTGTTAGAGAACGCTTTCTGTAATTGGAAACTCTGTTGGAGCAAAGTCAAATATAGTAGCCTGAAACAAAAATAAAACAGTAAAGAAAAAGTCAAAAGACAATAGTCCAGCAGTGAAGTGCCATCTGGGAGCCCAAGTCTCCTAGACTTTTTTTTGTAGGATTTTTTTTTTTGTTTTTTTTTTCCATGGTTTTTCTTCACTGTTTTTTGAGCAGGTAGGGCTGGACAGTGTTTTATGTGGAGAAGTTAAAAGGAGGGACAAAAAGATGTTCTGTTTCAAATGCAGCTCAGAGGTTAACCAAAGTAAACTGAAAAAGTCTGATACTTGTTCTCTCTACTAAGCATTTGAAGTTATTAGAACTAACATTACTTTGCTAGAATCTCTAAAGACAGATTTGCCAGATTGTAGAATCATACTTCCATTTTGTTTCTGTTAGCTATTCACAATACAGAAAAGCACATGCTTCTTGAAAATCTCCTGATACCACAGGTCTAGAATACACCTTTTGCTGATTTTGAGAAACACTTTTACAGGTTTTCATCTTTGGGAGTAAAAACACAGCAGCAGACAGTAAATTGTCATTCTCTATAGATCCCTCCATTGACAACTTTATCACAACAAGCATAAGTTGCTTCAACTACAATTTCAGAACTCCACAGCCTATCCCCACCCCACTAAACACATTCCCAGTTATTGAAAGGACGACTCCCATTTCTATCCAGCTTATGACAGCAGCATCAAAACACTTGGTTTCATGTCAGCATTTTCATTCTCTCTCTGCTGCTTTTGAAGCTTGGCAGGAGCTTATTAACACTTCAGAAAGACTGTCTTTTAATCCTCTTGCCAATTTCTCATTAAGAGACACTCTTTTGCCAACATGGCTTAAAAAGTCCAAACCACATGGTTGATAGCAGTTTGAATATTCATGGCTTTTGTTTTATGCTTCACCAATAAGGAGCCTAGAGGAGGAGCTGTCTTTTTTGTTCTTTATGCAGCACCAGCCTTTATCAAACTCTTGATCTGCAGCAGTTTTGCAATGAGGGTTTGCGCTAGCCCTTCTGCAGCAAATGCTCCAAGGCCTAGCCTATATGCTGTTTCTGCAACTCCACTGCAGCAACCACTTCACCTTGCAGTGATATTACTACAAACACAAATCAAACATAAATGCCTTAAAGTGAGTGGCTTCGGCTTTCTGCATTGTCAACTGTGACAAAGAATAATAAAGAAATAGGTTTCAGCAACCTCAGAAATTGCATTAACAGTCAACAATTGCCCCCCATTTCTTTCTCCTAAAACAGAAATTATTGCTGAAATTTACACTGACAAAGACAACCTTATTCACAGATAAGAATACTAACACTGTATATCCAATTTATATTTTCTTATTTCTTTTATGCTGAACTGTTCATTACTTGTGAGGCAACAAGAAATAGAAGCTCATCAACAACACAAACAAATCTTCTCCCCTCTTCTGAACTCTGCAACATATTTTAAAAAACTTGCATTTCTATCTCTTGAAAGCCTTTAGTTACCTCCCCTGTTTCCTGCTGTGCTTACTTACAGCCCTGAACATATATACAGGAGAACTGAATATCTGAAGCCATTAAAGCCTGAATGTACATGAAATGTGAGATCATTACATGTACTCCCAAAGAAAACATTCATGAAAGATTATATGTAATAAAGATACTTCTTACACAGACAAATATATCAATAAACATTTTTCTCAAGCAACAAAAAGCTGTTGAAGAATAGCAAGACTGAGATTCTGTGATGAAACACTATCATTCATCAGCTGGCAAGTAAATGTGAAGGCTGACCCACATTTAGACATTTTTTACATTACCATCTAATAATCAAAATATCTCTGCTGTGTTTCTCTGCATTGGTGGAGTTCTCAGACAAAACATTTACTGTAAACTTGATTTTCTGGGAATAAATATACAGCCTTTAAATAGCAAAAGTGCTTCAGTCAAATTATTACAAAGAACATACCAGCTAAGCTAATAACGCACAAAAAGCAGGGAAGAAACACTCACATTTAAAGTTTCAGCCAACATTATTAACAGTGTCCAACATATATAAAAATCTGGAGAACTACCCCTTCGGAGAAACCAAAGCTAATCTATGATAGGACTTCGAAAACATTCTGAAAGCAAAGATGAGTATTGAATCCATAGTGCAAAGGAAACACAATGCAAAAATCAGTATGGATTTACTGTTTAAAACTACTGTACTTTTTGCATTATTGTTATTACCCTTTGTTACTATAAACTTTAACAAAAATGAATGTTTAACACATTCACTTCTGCATATATTAACATACAATAACAGCATATCTTGGGTTGGAATGGACCCATAAGGATCATTTGAGTCCAACTCCTTGATATGTATGTATACCAAGGAGAAGGATGGGTATGTACTCCAATGTAAAATACTTTTCATAAATGTTTTTTATTTAGTTGCAAACGATCTAGTATAATGAAAATAAATACGCCCTCTTAAAAATAAAAACAAACCTGTTTTGTTTCCTGAACTCTTTAAAACGTCAGACAATATTTCCCACAACTTTCATTAGCACAGCCCCATCCCTCCACCTACGCCCAGCTGCTATGGTATATGCACACAAGGGACATCAACATTCAGAGTGGACTGAAATTCACAATTTCTCACTTCACAAAAAAACTACATCAGCTATCACAACCTCTTCCCAAGTACACCGTGTTGTAACATCTTCATTCTTCTCCACTGATAAAGCACCCCTGTGCAGTTATTTTAATGCTTCCCTTTCTTTTGAGACTTTTTCTTCCTCTGCCATTTGTTAACAGGGCTAGGGCAGCAACAACACTGAGTGCTGACAAAAAAGAGCAGGGACACAGATAGAGTCATCTGCAGTAACTCTGTACTTATCACTCTGCTATTCAAAAGAAGGCGCTCTAACTCAGAGGTTCAACCCAGTCTTCTTCCCTTTGAGGAAAGTCAGCACACAAAACAGAGGTGTGACAAATCTTCAAGGATTAAAAAAACTGGGTAGAATAACTAAATGTTGACAGCAAAACCTGAAAGAAATTTCTCTTCTGCAACTCAGAAAGGCTTTCTATTAAATTACATCCATTACTACTGAACAAAACACACTGCTGAATACCACCATAGTCTCTGCTTAAGAAAAAAAGTAAGAGAGGAAAAAAAAGGTGCTTCTGATGATATGTCTATCTATAGATAGATACCATCTGCCAACTTTGCTAGAAGTATCGCAGGCCACATTTCAAGCTTGGAAAATATTTTACCTGTGCTATAAATGCCACAACGCTATAAAAGAATTTTCATTTCTCTCAAGCAAGCACTTGAGTTAAACACAAGTTAAGGATTTTTAAAAGGACAAAACAGGCACTCAAGGCTTAAAGCACAATCTCTCTTCTCTGATTTGTGCATCACCAGTTAGTACAGCTAGGGAAGTACTTACCTTTAAGACTTACCTTTAAGACTTTTTCCCCCTAACAGAATTGGTTCAATCAGGAAGATTAAAGACCAATGAAGTTAACAGTGTATGCTGTGTACATGCACTATGAATCTCACAAAGAAAGGAAAAAAATTATAAAAT